TCTAATATGATGATTTTTACGGCAGTGATTTTCCATTAATGTTGAATAAAAAATAACGTCATCCCTCATCTTCTTTTAGTAGTTGGGTGGAAGAGAGGGGAGTTTCAATCTTCAAACACAGATTGGAATTATGTTCATACAGAACCTATTATTCCTAAGAATTCAAGTCAATTGGTATCCACATCATAAATCTCTTCGAATTCCGGAAAGATCAGAAAATGGCCATTCTTATCTATTAAATCGTAATAAACCGGAACCCATTCATGTTCCATCTTTCACAAAATATACGTTCCTTATCAATTCTGATTCAGTTGTTGTGGCGAATCATTTGATCGAGAATGTCTTCATTGTTTATGGAAAGAATACCTTCAGTGAAGTCAGATCAAGCTAAAATACAATCACGATAAAAGGGTTTCTTATATTTGGGAGAATATTTGGTTTAAACTGATTACAATTTAGTTTCTTTATTTTAAATGAATTTAACTTTTGTATATTTTTTTCAAACATCGCACACCATTTTGATTTTTTTTCTTGTAATATTGTTGTATTATTGAAATCTTTTCAGCTTAAATTAATTCTTTGAATTTTTGGACTTTGAATCCTCCGTCATTTGTCCAACAAGTTATCTGTTTCATTTTTATCTTATCAGGCGTTTTTCTCCGAACAATCTTAAAACATGTATTTGGAAACTATCAATGATGTTATCTGGTGGATTAGGTATGGGTGAAAAAAGAGATGGTTAAAATGGATTTTAATATTATATTCTTCCCAGTGGTGTCAAGTTTCTGGCTACCTTATACCTATAATAGGGCGGTCGGGTAGCCAAGTGGTTAAAGCGTTCGCTCGTCACGCCGAAGACCCGGGTTCGATTCCCGACATGGGTACAATGTGTGAAGTCCATTTCTGGTGTCCCCCGCCGTGATATTGCTGGAATATTGCTATAAGTGGCGTGAAACTATACTCACTCACTCACTATACTTATAATATCTATATTATTTCTTATCAGTTTTGCTTATATTTAGACACAAAGTCAGAACAAGTATGATGATAGGGGTCGCCCTAACGTTTCAGCACAAAATGTACTTTTGCAATGAAATCATTTTATACAGCTAACTAGCCTACCAATGTATGCCTTTCGTTTTAATCCCTTGTCCCAAACATAGTGAAAACAAATTACTATAACACCCTTTATAAAAGGATTTTGGAAGTCTCCAAAAACTGTTGGGATGCGCTTTTTACTATTACTTGTTCAGAGTTTTTAAAAAACTATGACCTGTCTACATATTTACCAGATAAATCAACTGTAGAGGTTGACAAAGTTTGAAAAGCATGATGCGCCGCTTCATCTGACCCCAGATGATTGGTAACTAAAGTTAAAAATGACAACTTGAATCAAACAACTAAATGAGGTCATTTTGTGATGTAGTAACGTTATATAACGTCAGATCTCGGTGGGAGACAAATAAGCCCCACCCACATTCTTCAGGCCGTTTCTACACCTATGAGTTGCTTACACTTACAGCAGTACACTGCCACATAACAGTTCCGCTCCTACATTAGGCTGTGTTGATATAACTAATATGCTTCAATAAACGCAACCCATTCACTCATTATTTATTGTAAACATAATTTTTAATAATATTCCAGCTACACGATGACTTTATGTAAATAGTCTAGACAACCCAGTGGTTGACAGCATGAGCATCGATCCACGCAACTGGCATCCGATGACATGTAAATCAACCAAGTCACCTAGTCTGACGACCTGGTCCATCTGGTCGCATCTTACTTCAAGCATCGGTTGCTGGGGGGGGGGGGGGGGGGGGGGGGGGGATATAATCTTACCCGGAATCCCGAGTTTTTTTGTATTATTGTTATTAGTAGTAGTAGTATTATCATCATCATCATCATCATCACCATCATCATCTTCTTCTTCTTCGTCGTCGTCGTCGTCGTCGTTGTTGTTGTTGTTGTTGTTGTTGTTGTTGTTGTTGTTGTTGAATAAACATTTTGTTATAAATGAAATTATTTTCTTGAGGATATAGCAAATAACACGCTATTTCAGTGAACTGTGAGTATGTATGACCTTCATCTATAATGTACGCCAACTATATGCATGTAACAGAAACATTATCATGACGAATGTAGTACATCTCCTATCTGAGATATATTTTGACAAATGAGGTCACCGAAAAAATATAGTCACACACTATTTCTGACGGTTGCTACGGCGACCATTTTTGTCAAAGGGGAACCTTATGTTCTGTGTGGGTGAAATACAGGAGAAACTCTCCAGAAGCATTCGAAACTAATGTCTTCGCGCAGCCTAGAAACCCAACTCTGCGCAGCGAGTTGAAGCGTCAGATACCACGAGATGAAGATAATATTCTCAGTAAATGGACAACGTTGATTATTTACTTAGAAATAATCATTTTTCACGCTTTGGTTCTCTCTAAAGTGGCTCTTTTCTGGGACTATATTCCGGGACTTCTTTGAGGGGCATTAAGAAGTTGGAGTGCTAAGTAAGGATAAGATATATGGATGAACAACTTCTCTTATACAATTAGGAACGACGTTTCGGTGTAGGTTCTAACACCGGTATGAAGCTAGCGATGTACTTACTTACTTACTTTGGAGATTTAACGTGCGCATTTAATGTGTTTCCGAAAGGGGCGAAGTTGTCTGTGCAACCCAAGAGGGGGGTTTAGGGGTTGCTTATATAGAATTTGGGAATTTTGAGATTTGGAATAGATGCCGAAGGGGTTGGGGAGGAGAACTAAGCTAGCGATGTACAGAGTATGGTTGACAAGTATGTATATAGTTAGAAGGCAGTGTTTATACAGCAGGGTTGATTAAGATGTAATACACTGGAGTGGCGAAGCCTGTTATGTACACAAAAGGGTAAACATATTGACCAGTGAAGCCAGTTATATAAACAAAAGGATTATGACTGATTGGGGTCTTTAATGAGTTGACGGTACGCCGGGGTATGTAATAGTCTTGGTCACGGTTGATTGACGGTTGGAGTCTTTTGATGTTGTTGGCTTCTTGTACTTTTCTGATTTTGAAGTCTTTGAGGCTGGTGGTGAGGGCTTTGACTTTGTCCCATTGGATGCTGTGGTTAGGGTTGTCTCGGATATGGTGAGGTGAAATGGGGTTTAACGTCGCGTCCAAGATTATTGCACTTATATATCGACGTGCATGTACGTGTGTCTGTTTGTGTGGCTGCTTGTACTAGTCCGGACTGATGCCGATTTATAGTGCTAGCTCACTGAGATACCATGCCGCAGTTTAACATGAATACCCCACTCAGACACAGTATACTGACTCCGAGCCGACCAGTCCTTGTTTTAGCCCCTTAATGCCGAGGGCCAGACAGGATAACAACATGTACCATCTTTGAACGTCTTTTGGTATGATGCGGTCGGGGATCGAACCCCGGACCTTCCGCTCTCCGGGCGGACGCTCTACCACTAGACCAAGGAGGCGGTCGTCTCGGATAAGGTCACATAGAGCTGACTTAGAGTCATCTTTGGAGACTGAGCTTTGATGTTCTTTAATTCGGGTTTGGGGGGGCCTAAATGTTTCGCCGCTCCAGTGTACTACATCCTAAATCTACTCTACTGTACAAACACTGCCTCCTACCTGTATAAATATTTGTCAACAATACTCTGTATATCACTAGCTTCATAACGGTGTTAGAACCTACACCGAAACGTCACTCCCAATTGTAATAAAGAAGTTGTTCATCCATATATCTTATCCTTACTTATATTCTGGGATGTAGAAGTGTCGATCCAACTGGGGTTATTCCACTATGAACATAATACACTCGGGCACATTCGGCTTATTCCGCTATCAACATAATACACTCGGGGACATTCGGCTTAATCCGCTACCTGTATAAAACAGTCAAATTGTCCACTCAATTAAAGGGAGCCTACTCCAATATGCTTGTGACTCAATCGAGTAAATCAATAGAAGTGTCATAAAATGCTCCTCTGGCTCAACGTTCTCTGAATAACGTGTATTCTACCCGTTTTTTTAAGGGGATGGGGTGAGAGAGACATTTGGAGTGTTTTGGATTTTACGTCGATAATATTGAACTGGTTTGTTTGTTTGCCGCACTAAGTAATATTCCAGCTATGTGACGGCAGTCTGTAATTAATCGAGTCTGGTCCAGTCAATCGCCTATTACGACAAGGGTTGGGAAGACCAATTCCAACAGGGGTGATATGAATCGGTCTTCACCTAGTAACCATGTGGGGAATCGAACTCAGGACTCAAGCATGACAAACGAACGCTTTAACTACATGAGCATCGTTCTAGGCAATTGGGATACGATGACATGCATCAATCCTTGTAAATCCGGGGTAAAATATATCTTCAGCAACCCATGCTTGCTGTAAAAGGCGACTATGCTTATCGTAAGAGGTGACTAACGGGATCGGGTGGTCAGACTCGCTGACAAGATTAAAGCATGTCTTTGATCCCAATTGCGTGGATCGATGCTCATGATATCAATCACTGGATTGTCTGGTCCAGACTCGATTATTTACAGATCGCCGTCATATAGCTGGAATATTGTTGAGTGCAGCGTTAAACAACAAACCAATCAACCCAACCAACGATATGCATCAACCAAGTCAGCGAGCCTGATTACCCGACCCCGTTAATCGCCTTTTACGGCAAGCATGGGTTGCTGAAGACCTATTCTACAATGTCTGTTGTATAATAGATAGGAACGGTTCAATTGGAACTTTTCGTCTGGATTAACGAAGTTATACAGTATACAAATAACGTTTTGAAAGGGAAGAAGTCAGGAGACGGGATTCAAAGGTACATGCTCTCGGTGTTATATATTTTTTATCAACCACACGTGTGCATATATCCTTAACCCATAGTTCTTAAGAAAACAACATTCCGCATTTCTGACATTATTGTCAGAGAGGTCGAGTGACATTGCACAAACAACAACTTGGAAGTTGACAAGTTGTCCGGATGACAGTTACGCTTCAACTTTCAAATCCACGCATTGGTACTTGAGCGGTGTTAGCGGTGATACAGTCTCCCCCCGGCCCATCCCCCGCCCGGCCAATCCCCCAGAGTGAGCGGCGTCTCCTGACCCGGGGTGAATGGTTATCATGGCAACAGGGGCACACGGAGGTGGCTACATCCGGCCATAAAGGGGGCAATGTGAATGAGATATTTACATTATGAAACTGGCGATAAATCTCAACAGCGAGACTCTCCAAGTTTCCAATTACACCTCTATGAGTCACAGAAGGAAGAGAACGCCGTCAGGTGGAAGTCTCAGGTAGACCCTCTAATTACAGGTAGGTCCTGCTTCTTGGACAATATAACAACGTGACAAAGTTACACGCAGCACGTAGTATGCTACATTTGATATCAATATTCATAAGGAACAAGTTGCATCGTACTGAGACCCACTAACGATAACTAGTTACCATGCATCATATATACGATGGAGGGGGCCATGATTCTTACAAACATACTCCACCCATTGGCGGAATGGGGGGGGGGGGGGGGGGGGGGGGGGGTTAGTGTTCCAGGGACCCCATTCTCTATTCCCTATTTAAAAAAACAAATTTAGTATGGTGTATGCAGCAAGGAATTTTGATATTTTTGAACCCCCCCCCCCCCCCCCCCCCCCCACATGTTGTTGTCTTCTGTTAAGTTGCAAACCCTCTTTAATCTGGCACGTGTATTTCCTATCAAATTTAATATTTTTTAAAGTTTAAATAGAGGCTATTTGTACTGCTGATATTTCTCATGTTGTCATTAAGCAGCTTTAACTCAGTACACACATGCACGTGCTCGTTTACAGCTATGCGCAACACAAATAACGGTCCATATTTTCATATTAGCGAAGGCGTGCTACAGATACACGGCGTGATGTTTAATGAGGTCAGACGAATCACGGGGCATTTAATCTGGTGGCCGCAATCGACATGAATGGCGAGAATGCTAAATCACGATTTCCGGCTTATTGTGAGGCTTCCATTCATCAGACACCGCTAGCCCACTCCGGTATTTTCCGTACATCTCCGGTAATTGAAAGCTGTGCGCTATGAAAATTCACGACCATGACGCCATTACATGACCACACTGTATAAGTGCACTTATCAAGGACCGGCAATTTATTACAGGGTGGTCAGAGGTGTTTGATGCTATGATGTACTGAAATAACGGCCCTCTCCTAATGCTTGTCATATTTTTGGATGACCCTCCCCATGTCCTTGTACATCTTCTCATGACCATTCCTGAAAAGACAAAATGCAAATATACTTCATATTTTATAAATATCCATTTTACATGACCCTCGGCCCTACCAAATATGTGTATTATATTTTATAACCACAGAGATTCTCATTTTTTTGGTTGTCGTAATCATGGCGTCACTGATAAATGAGAAAAAAATCATCTAAATCTCAAATTCCCTACAGGTGTTGTTATCTAACATATTGATACAATTGCAGTGAATCAACATCGTAACCAAAGACCGCATGCAATCTGTGCAATGAATCAACATCGTAACCAAAGACCGCATGCAATCTGTGCATGGTCTCCTAGAACTGTTCTTTGTCTCCGGTTAGTGCTTATCACCCCCACGGAGGACCAGTATCATGGAGAGTGTGTATTGGTTTACATGACTATCAGTGGGTCAGGTCACCCTTCCAGCTGAGGCGGGGGCGGACACCCCCAAAGCCACATATCGCTGTCTTATCACCCATTCATAACCAGCAGAGCGGCACACGCGCTCCCTTCCACACATAACCACCGCAGGCTATTCGTGGACTTAACGCAATGTAAATTTCGACTTCCTCCATAGCTCGTATAATTATACCTAGTGTAATAGAAGAAGATCTTTCAGCAGCTGAATACAATTTTCCATGTCCGTGTTGACATCTGTAGGGGCAGTTCATTCGGGTAAATGTTTGCGTTTTTTACAATTCATGATCAGTTTTTTAATAGTTTCACAATGTGTTATCATGCCTCTGTGTGTTTCTGTTTTAAATGGTTTCATGGTTATGACAACGGACTGTTGAAAGTACTTGAAACTAAGTCGTGAGGTTTCATATAGCTTTAAATTGTGAGCATCGTGTCTATATTGTGTCTAAATTCCACCATAATTACATTTACATGTATGTGCTATTAAACCGCGAGATGGGGGATCAACTCGCTCAGCAGGCCTAGGGGTACCACTGTACACGAGCAGATTCATGAAGATCCAGGTAGAGAATAGGTCTTCATGGATCAGCAACCCATGCATGTCGTAAGAGGCGACTATGCTTGTTAGACTAACGGGATCCGGTGGTCAGGCTCGCTGACTTGGTTGACGCATGTCATCTATCCCAATGCGGTGGATCGATGCTCATGATGTCAAACACTTGATTGTCTGGTCCAGACTAGATTATTTACAGACCGCCGTCATAGAGCTGGAATATTGCTGAATGCGGCGTTAAACAAGAAACAAACAAACAAACAAACAAACAAACAAACACGACGACCCCACACAGTGACACATGACCTGAGTTGTTGATAGGCATTTGTTAGAAGTTGACGGATGACAAATATGACAAAATATTACGGATAACAACTTCTTTAGTATAATATAATAGCGACGTTTCGGTATAGTGAAATAGATGTACCGCTGGGTGTATAACTCATTCTTTATACTTTATACTTTATACTTTATACGTCATACCTTATACTCAGTCTTGCTTGACAACGGTGTAAGGATCTATACCGAAAGGTCGCTATTACGGTATTATAAGGAAGTTATTATCCATATATTTTGATCTTCACAAGTCATGAGTGAAATAGTCAGCCTAATAACCTTCACAATCAGTTGTAGATATAGGTGTCAATTATATGAACGAAGAACGTAAGTATCGAACACGTTATAAAATGATTGATAATGATTTATAAAAATGATTGATACATAGCTTGGTCAAAATCTGCATACGACAATTTCCATATATTCCGCATACAATACATTGACACACTCTTTCTAAATACATATAGCTGGAATATTGCTAGGTGCGGCATTAAACAACAAATGAAAATAAAAAATATAATTTTCTCAATACATGACCCACTTTATAAGGAACGTTTACTATCTCTTACTGCGTTAATTATATGTTATTACCTATGGCAATACCTGTAAGTACATGTTATACAGGATTGACATAATCTATTCACAACAGTATTTAAAAAAAACTGTAAAATACACACACAGGTAGCACATATTCAAATAACCTCATGTTCTTGCAGGTATTGCCAAAGGTAATAGCAAATTATTAACGTGTAAAAGATCGTAATCGCTCCTTACGTTGGTTTAATAACAGAGGTTTATAAGTCAGCCACAGACTGATCTGTGACTGACTGAAGTCCTTATCTATACCTATTCAAGTTTTAAAGATAATGTCATTTTCTGATTAACTTGGCAATAAAGTTACACTAATGTCGACATAATGTTTTAATTAGACTGAGGCATTTGAGATAACGGGTGAAGTTCAATACGAGGAAGACAAGGTGACCAGTTACTTGTACAACACGAATGTATGTGTACGTTGTACTGTCATTTCACAAGTTTATCAAGTATACGATGGGCATAACAGTAAATACAGATAAGGATGTTACTAACGTCTTAATATTGTTTGCATAGCATAAGCATCTTTAAGATATTGGAACGTGTTCGGTTAGTTTGTAATATTCTCTTATTTCACAAATCATGTAATTTCTCAATACACACGTTATAAATATTTGTAAACTGTTGTCTACTTCAATATGCCCATGTTTAAATGCTATACTCCACCATGTATATGCTATTTATTAAGTCAGTAAGCATATTTTGAAAGTGGAAATAAATATTAAAAAATATTGCTCCATAAGGAAGTTTTGTATCAAATTCAGTTTTTGTTTCACTCTGTCGATTTGACTGTTCTAGTTTCTAAACTATTGCATATATAATTTGCCATGCCCAGCTTCTAATAATATTTCCTTCTGTCTTTCTTTGTTGAGGTGAACAAACTGTTGAGTTTCTTCACCTGCATCAAGTGTAAATAAGTATGCTGACGTCGTCCGTATATTTTTTCTATAAACCACCGTGTCAGCTAGAGGAAAGAGAAACTTGACGCGGTGGAAGACGTTTAACCCTCTTATGAACCCAATGAACATAATTTATGTTGCTGACGAAACTAGGATTCGAACACTGGTCCCGTGGATCCTTGCAGCTAAGGGGCACAACTCTGTACAGTTTCTACACGAGTGATCGGGAGATGTAACGAAGTAACAACAACAATGGCATTAGTTCTGCAAATTGCAGAATGTGTGAGTGGTGGACGGTAGGGCAGGACATGCTTTACCCTTTTCGCGAACACCTGGGGCCATCGCTGATTTCCAGTGATCCACCCATGTACTTTTCGGGGGCACGGGTGGCCCAGTCGTCTCAGGCGCCGCGATTCGCTGTGCAAAGTTGCGTCCCAAAGGCACGCCAGAAACCTATGATTGTGATTGTACGTCATATGTACATTGTAGGTAGCTGTAGGGTTGATAACTTGCGCATAAAGCCTGCTGTTAATCACATTGGCGAGCGGATGTGACTTGTTGTTAGGAGTTATGCGTTATGAGTCAGGCAACAGACACTTACTTTTTCACGCATTTTGTGTGAGTGACAACGGTAGAGCAGAGGCCTGTTCGGGATATTACGCGAGCGCGCGCTGTTGAACACGGCTGACATGCTTACTCCTTTCGCGAACACTTTGTGTCATCACTGATTCATTCATGATAAACTTTACCACAATTTGAAATGGAATATGTTGGGTGGCCCAGTCGTCTAAGGCGGCGCGATTAGAGAAGCGTCCCTTGGGCACGCCAGAAACCTATGATTGTGGGTTCGAATCCAGGTTCGCCCCGATTATGTTTCTAGGTTTGTCAGCACCATACCCGTGCTCGTGGGTTTCACCGAAGTGGTAAACGTCTGAGACCTGCATCACTTCGGGCTTTCCCACATTAAGCTGACACGCCGCGATATAACTGGAATAATGTTAAAAGCGGCGTTAAACTCAACTCACTCATGTACTTTTCACCGCTATTTTGCATTTTACGCCCAATGGTATCTGTTTCGGCGGAAAATCGAGACTGTTTATTCTCTGGCGTTGACATTTTATATAAATTATTTATTCAATTGCTGTTTCAGACCCGGATTTGGTATGACAAGCTCTAGTGGACCGTGTGCACAAAGACACGACACTGTAAACTCCCTGACCGCTGGCAATGGAGGACAAGCTCATCCATGTCTACACAGAAACTGATCTTCTAAGGTACCTCGTCGCCAACAACTTTAAGAATGACAACTCGTGCAACCCTCAGAACATTGAAACCATTGAGGTGTCCGGAGTCAACATCAGGAACCACTCCTTCAAAATGAAATTTATCGGCATCAAATCCTTCAAACAGCTCGGTGTCCACGAAGCAGACGGGAGATGCCACGTGAGCATCATGGTGTTCTCTGAGAAGAAGCAAAAGGACCGCGGGATGAGGGTTCTGACTGTCACTAACGGTAAGAAGGACACCCTTCACGTGAACACCCTCAGGAACCTGTGCTTCTCGATTCCAGCCCTGGTCCGGAAGCACGTGATCCTTGGGGACCTTGCTGACAGGGATCGGTTGTACAAGATGGATGCCAGACCCCGAGGTCTCTGTGTAATTATCAATAACAAAACATTTGAGGACTCCAACGGGAATGATTATTTACCCTCAAGACTGGGGTCCGATATCGATGCCCAGAACCTCAAGAAACTGTTCCAGAGCTTCGCTATGGAGGTCAAGATATGTATGGATCTCAGTGACTGTGATATCATCAAGGAGACCAAGAAGATATCACTGAGAGATCATTCAGACTATGACATCTTCATCTGCTGCATTTTGTCCCATGGTAAGAATGGTTCCGTGCTTGGCGTAAACAATTCAGAGGTTCCGATCCTAGAAATCACATCCACCTTCAGAAACAGAGGGTGTCCCTCACTGGCCGGCAAGCCGAAGCTGTTCTTCATCCAGGCGTGTCAAGGCGAGAGGCCCCAGAGAGGGGTTGTACAGTCCGACGTCATCATGGACGAGGAGTTCACGAAGGTTCTGCCCGATGGGTCGGACTTCCTCATCGCGTGCTCCACGGAGCCTGGGTATGAATCGTTCCGTCACACGAGCACCGGTTCATACTTCGTCAACTCTCTGGTGAAGCAGCTACGTGCTTCGGCCGACAGAAGCCTGGTGGACATTCTCACTGACGTGTGTAGCGAGGTGTCGGACCACACTTTCGACAACAACAGGAAACAGGTGCCCTGGTTCACCTCGACGCTCAGGAAGACGCTGATCTTCAACCAGTGTAGTCATTATGTCAATGTCTAGCGAGGAGGGGCGGTCGGGTAGCCTAGTGGTTAAACTGTTCGCTCGTCAAACCGAAGACCCGGGATCGATTCCCGACATGGGTACAATGCGTGAAGCCCATTTCTGGTGTCCCCCGCCGTGATATTGCTGGAATATTGCTAAAAGCGGCGTAAAACCATACTCACTCACTCTAGCGAGGAACAACTGAATGTGTTGCTGAGTGAGAGAGTGAGTTGGTGGGTGAGTGGATGGTGAGAGTGAGTGAGTTGGGTTAACGTCGCTTTGACATTGCTTAATGAAAGAAACTGAACTTTGTTCGGGATATGCTTCATGTCAAAACGGATTCAGGTGTACATTCACCACCAACAGCTGTACATAATATTGTGTTGATATGAATTGGAATTCGTGATTGTCTTATAGTTCTTGTGTGAATTGGTTCAAAATGAATTCAAAAGATTTTGCAAGAGTTAAACAATTAAAATGAACTTGATAACGAGACTGCTCACGCCAGAGACAAATCGAACAAAGACAGTATATGTGCAAAAGGTGGTTTGTTTCTGACACTGTCGCAAATTGCTCAAGGAATACAAAGATATATATATTTCTACGAAATAAATAAAAGTTTAATTATAAGCGTTGTCACAGTTGGATAAAACAGAAGCCTACATAGTGCTGAAACGGACCAAATCACAAAGTTTGGGGTGTGTTGATTCACTTCAAAGCGTGGGGATTCCGGGTTAGAAAAGGTCCCCAGCAACCTATGCTGGCTTTAAGAGGCGACTTAATGGAACTGGATGTCAGTCTCAGTGGCTTGGGTGATGACGTGTCAACATGCACCGGCGGCGTGGATGGATGCTCATAAAATCAATCACTGGATTGTGTGGTCCATATTCGATCATTTACGAGCTACCGTCATAAACAATAACCACATTCATAATTCATTTCACGATGAAGTGTAAACATTCTGTGCTTTTCTGTCTTTTTGTGAAGATTTCGTGCTCAAAAGTTGTTTGATCAAGGTTACAAAATTCAAGGCCCCAGTAAAGCTTTCAAAACGTTTTATGGTAGACATGTGACTTTGGCTTAATTAATGATGACATGCTTTGTTCAGAAGACACAATATACAGAAGATCTTTCCAAATTTGACCCATTAAGCCGGGTTTATTTTTGGTTGCGGCAAGCGTTGCGGTGACGTACCTTGACTAGCGATATAGTTTAGCGTGAGGGTCATCGTAAGCTGTTTCGCTGCCGTCGCAGAGAGTTGGCCGATGTTTAGGGTTTGGGAGTTTCATGGGGAGTAGTTTAATAACTGGCCAATTGTATTGGTGTTTTCAAGGTCATTTCGTGAGTGTGTGTTGTTGTTTTTTTGTTGTTGTTTTTTTGTCAACAAAGCAAAACGGCGAAAGGAAGACTTGAAATTCATGAGTTGACTGCCCGGCTATCTATGGTGCAGCTTGTGATCGCAGTGCTTGGAACATTGTAGTCGCCATTCGATAGTAACGGAAATAGCATTCAGGGTCACATCTCATTTCTTGAACCAGATTTCTGTAGTGTCTGAAAGCTTCGCGTCGACGTAGTTTTGGACGAACGTATTTTCTCCGTCCTCTACGTCGTGGGATATATCTGTATACGCACAACAATAGCATCATACCACTGAGGTGACCTCGCACTGTGTCTGTACTCGGTGCTGTTTTTCAGCGTAAAAGAGGGAAAATATAATATATAAAGACGTTCGTTTGCGATGAGAGTTCGGCGGTATCTCTACTCAACGCACCCCGACTTAAGGCTGCTACCGAAGTACAAACCAGTATTCAGTGACCAAAATGTCCGAAGCAATTCCCTATTTCGACTTGTGCTGTATGTCTTTGTGTTTGTTTGGATGGACAGTTGACTTGCCTTTGCATGTGTTTGTGATGCGTGCCACCAGTGGCACAGGATACGCTCACCTTTTCACGAACACCTGGTGTCATCACTATTTGATAGTGATTCATAAACACTTGCTTATTAGTCGTACAATGGACTCACTTTTTGAGATTTCTTGTGATTATGGCAAAGGACTTTGTCGCTTTTATTTCCTCGTCCGAGGAACCTGAGGTAACACGAAGTGAGTGACACTCCAGACACAGTGGGTGCTTGGAGCGTGAGGGCTGCATACGTATACTGTTGTTACAGAGTTCATTAAGGGTGACCGCATGGAACAGGACAGCCTAACGGTGGGCTACTGGTACTCCATTTTGTCTTGTAGTAAGTGAGTGAGTTGGGTTTAACGCCGCTTTTAATAGTATTCCAGTTATATCGCGGCGTGTCAGCTTAATGTGGGAGGAAAACCCGAAGTGATGCAGGTCTCAGACGTTTACCACTTCGGTGAAACCCACGAGCACGGGTATGGTGCTGACAAACCTAGAAACATAATCGGGATTCGAACCCACGATCATAGGTTTCTGGCATGTCCTGGGGACGCAACTCTGTACAGCGAATTGCGGCGCCTTAGACGACTGGGCCACACGTACCCCCTTATGTCTTGTAAGAACAGGGGGCTTGTGAGACGGGGGTGATGCCCATATACTACTAACAATTGACAAAAACTTCAGTAAGTGATTTCTCATTAGATCACTATGTAAGGGATATAACAGGTCATAAGACGGTATTGGGACATCAATACTATAAAGTAGACGTCAAGCAAAGTGCGTACGTCATATGTACATTGTAGGTAGCTGTAGGGTTGATAACTTGCGCATAAAGCCTGCTGTTAATCACATTGGCGAGCGGATGTGACTTGTTGTTAGGAGTTATGCGTTATGAGTCAGGCAGCAGACACTTACTTTTAACGCATTTTGTGTGAGTGACAACGGTAGAGCAGAGGCCTGTTCGGGATATTACGCGACCGCGCGCTGTTGAACACGGCTGACATGCTTACTCCTTTCGCGAACACTTTGTGTCATCACTGATTCATTCACGATAAACTTTACCACAATTTGACATGAAATATGTTGGGTGGCCCAGTCGTCTAAGGCGGCGCGATTAGAGTAGCGTCCCTTGAGCACGCCAGGAACCTATGATTGTGGGTTCGAATCCAGGTTCGCCCCGATTATGTTTCTAGGTTTGTCAGCACCATACCCATGCTCGTGGGTTTCACCGAAGTGGCAAACGTCTGAGACCTGCATGACTTCGGGCTTTCCTCCCACATTAAGCTGACACGCCGTGATATAACTGGAATACTATTAAAAGAGGCGTTAAACCTCACACACTCACGAATATGTCCCTGACAAACCAAGCATCATATTGGGCCACCGTATTTTCAATTTCTTCAATCAGTAGTAGTTGATTATTTACACACGTTTTATATTTTAATTTGAATAACTAATAAAGCATTGAACAGTGATTGTATATTCAAGAAAGACATACAACGCCTCAGTGACTCCAGAGTTTTATATGAATGACACAGTGAAAAGGTCACGTTTGTGTAACCATCACTCTTTCAAAAACAACCTAATTTTAGATTCCACATTTGAAAGGTATGTTACTTATTATTCGGCAATGCACACAGTTAATATGATACGAGTGTTATAGTTTTCGATAAGTTAATACTGTTTTTCATTTAGCAAATCTTAGACGATAAGACCCGATTTAATTCTGTTGATCTTGACCTTTAAAGGAAATCACCCGCGTAACAGTAAACACTGGGTAAATGTGAGAGGTGAGGTGGATTGGGGTTTAACGTCGAGTTCAAGATTATGGCACTTATATAGTGACGAGCATGCACGTGTGTGTGAGTGCGCGCACGTGTGTGTGCATGTCTGTGTGCGCGCGCGCGTTTGTGTGCGTGTCTGTGTCGGTGTGTCGGTGGGTGTCTGTGTGTGTATCTGTGACTTTTTAATTGGCAATCTGGAAGTTGGTGAGTAAATAAGAACACATAAATCTGAAATACTTCTTTTTGAGAATCTACATCAAAACGTGTGTGCTGCGTACGTGCGTTCGCTCCTCTGTGTGTGTGAGTGCGTGCGTGCGTGCGTGCGTGCGTGCGTGCGTGCGCTCCTCTGTGTGTGTTTCTCCAGCTATATGACGGCGGTCTGTACATAATCTAGTCTAGATCAGACAATCAAGTGATTAACATCATGAGCATCGATCCACGCAATTTGGATACAATGACATGCATCAACCAAGTCAATGAGCCTGATCACCCGATCCCGTTAGTCGCCTCTTACGACAAGAATAGTCGCCTCTTACGGCAAGCATGGGTTGCTGAAGACCTATTCTGACCCGGGTCTTGCCAATCTTGAACTGTGGCAGTGAACACTTGGTCATGACAAGTTTTGGACAGATCATCAAGAGCTGTGTTTCACCTAGAGCGATATGCGTACATAGATGAGGGGGTGAAGCGGGTTCAGTAGGACGGTTCAGCCTTATTTATTGCATGTTCATCCGAACCAGGGAACCTTAAGAGAGTGAGTGAGTATGGTTCATGCTGCATTTAGCAATATCCCAGCAATTCCACGGCGAGGGAACACCAGAAATGGGCTTCACACATTGTACCCATGTGTGTAATCGAACCCGGGCCTTCGGCGTGACGTGCGAACGCTTTCACCACTAGGCTACCCGACCAGCCCCACCCTTTAGAGACACATAGAAGGGATCAAATTCACTGGTCAAGCATCTGAAATTATATCAATGTATGGGCATCTTTGACGTACTTGCGGAGGTTTGCAACGACGTTATCACGAGGTACCAAAGCAGGTTTCTTGCCCCAACTCCACATTTAGGAAAACACTTGTGCACAAACGGGGCACAGGTGGCCAAGTCGTCCAAGGCGCCGCGATTCGCTGTGCATAGGTGCGTCCCTTGGGCACGCCAGAAACCTATGATTGTGGGTTCGAATCCAGGTTCGCCCGGATTATGTTTCTAGGTTTGTCAGCACCATACCCGTGCTCGTGGGTTTTACCGATGTGGTTAACGTCTGAGACCTGCATCACTTCGGGCTTCCCTCCCACATTAAGCTGACACGCCGTGATATAACTGAAATACTGTTACAAGCGGCGTTAAACCCAACTTACTCACTCACGCACAAACAGTGACATTCATTATTGACATTTTCTGCATAAACCGAGAGGGGCGGTGCCTTTCTGTGTCAATATGTCTGCATGAATTGGGACTATCAGGCAAATATAAGAAAAACAGAGGTATCTGTGATTGAAAGTGTTTTAATGTGGCAGTAGAGAGTGTCGTAAATTTGTAGTGATTTTAAGTGGCAGCAAATGACTGTCTCAGGAAATGTGATTAGAGTTACCTCCCTTGATTGCTGACAAACAAGATCATTAAAGAAGTTTCGGAATGGGACAGTTTCTGGAACGCTGGCTGTACCCATATAGGAGCGACACGAGTGCGATTCTAAGTGTTTTACGACCTGACTTGCGTCTTATCTACTTGGCCAATGTGGATTCGATAGTAATGGATACCCGACTAAAAACACCAATTGTTTTTTCAAGAAATCAAGAGTGGAGCAGGAGCTTCTTCCAAGGCATTAACAGTGACAAATTCTTGATATTCATGACTGTACTGACACATGTTCTAAGGTCTGTCATTTATTGGTCTTGTCACTTATTGTCTTTGCTGATTGTAAACGTAAAACTGTATGTTTCAATATACATTGTGCATTACTTCTTGACCTTGTAAGGGGCGGTCGGGTAGCCTAGTGGTTAAAGCGTTCGTCACGCCGAAGACCCGGGTTCGATTCCCGACATGGGTACAATGTGTGAAGCCCATTTCTGGTGTCCCCCGCCGTGATATTGCAGGAATATTGCTAAAAGCGGCATAAAAACCATACTCACTCACTCACTCACGACCTTGTATGGTCACTTAGTTCTATACAAACCGATTTCTGGGTTAACCTTTGGTGTTCAATTTGGAAATCACCTCATAACACTTGCAAAAACACAAACATGGTTATAAATTGAACTTTTTAAAATATAAACGTTAATAAAGTATATGGGGACCTCCATCCAAATGAACAATGAGAGAATTTTGGGATATATGTGTTCTAAAAGTTCCCATTATGATAAATAAGGTACTCGTGCCTTTAGGTACATAAAATAAGCAGCACTAACCCTTGCAACCTACACAAATGCACGTCTGCATAGCATGGTACCTTCCTGGACAATCATTGTTGTATAAAAACAATAACTTGAGCTCTGTTTATTGGATATTGACATAGGTGATGTAAAATGGGGTTTAACGTTGCGTCCAAGATTTTTGCACTTATATAGCGATGTGCATGCACGTGTGTGTGTGTGTGTGGCTGCTTGTACTCGTCTGGACTGATGCCAATATATGTTGCTAGCACGCTGAGTTACCATGCCGCAGGTTAAGATGAATACCCAACTCAGACACGGTATACTGACTCCGAGGCAACCAATACTTGTTTTAGCCCCTTAATGCCGAGCGCCAGACAAGTAACAACAAGCACCATCTATTAACGTCTTTTTATATGACGTGGCTGGGGATCGAACACCAGAACTTCTGCTCTCTGGGCGGACACTCTACCACTAGACCACAGAGGCAGTCGAATATTGATGCAGAAATGCAAAGGATTTTATCAAATAAGTAGTCAACACAAAACGGAGAACTGGCAATCTCTGTCCTGCACTTTTTTCATAGACATTGTATGGATGTCAAAGCTGTCTGGGCTTTGTTGTTTCAGATATTTGGGGGGGGCTTGGCATTTAGCTAACAATGGCCCAGTGTTCAGGAATTGTTTTGTACATACATAAAGAGATGGCTGAAAAGTGTCTAACTCATCATGTCACAGTCAAATACCAGAGAGTAACTACAGCAGCTGAATGTCAACATAGTATTTATTTCTAAGCCACAAGTAACACATATATACAAAGTCCAGGTTCACAACTTCAGGAGAGTGACCCAAGGATCTCCTCCAGTCAAACCACGTCCATGCTACGTCCAGTGTCACCACAGAATGAATACATAAGTCTCTCCCCAGATTGTTCCACGTCACACCTTTTCAGGGTCACCGCTTACGAAGAATCCTCTTGGTGCTGGCCCATTCCTGATCTATCTTCTGCTTCCTGAGGAACACTTCCTTCATCAATGTCCGTGACTCCACCTCGTTTATGCTCTCCCGGTAATGTTTCATCAGGTCATATTTCTCCCACGGTTTGGACACCGCCACCGCCTCCGCCTTTCGCAACCTCTTCTCCGACACATGGAACTCCTCCACCCCCTTCAAGTCCATCCTCTCCCACCTCTCATGCCAGGGCGGTGGACTCAGCTTCACCTACAAGACAGACCAACCCTTAGTTTAGTTCCTTACACAATAACAGACATCCTCTCATGCCACAACAAGGGACTCAGCCCCACCTAAAACAGAGACCAACCCTCAGTTCCTTACACAATAACAGACATCCTCTCCCACCTCTCATGCCAGGGAGGGGCAGTCAGCTTCGACTACAACACAGACCAACCCTCAGTTCCGTACAGAATAACAGACATCCTCACCCACCTCTCATGCCATGGCAGGGGCCACCAGTAACACAAGGGAATAAAACAAGAACACAACTCAAGATCCTAGCTTTTCTTATGGGGCCTTTACACAGGATGGCATCTTTCAGAGGCAAGAGAGTTAACTGACTATAAAAGTCCAGTTTCCACCCTTGCCGAACTAGGCTGGTATTATGGAGTTACATTTTGGCTGGACTAACAAGTCTATGCATAGTCCAATAAAAATCGCGCACCAAAATCGAAATTCGGTTCGTAAACTGTCGTGCAGATTTCAGTCGATTGCAGGATTTGCAAAGCATGTGCACTGCCAACTCGTTGTCAACAGATATTTTCCAAACCTTTTCACGTTTTTAATCACGGTGCTCACGTGATTTAATGCATTTCGCAATGTAAGACCCGACTTATCACAATATAGATCTTGATCATTGATCAGATCGTCTTGCCTGGGCGCCGCCATTTTGTGTGAAGCAAACGCAAATGATATGAGAGGTGGAGTCTGATCGGTCCATAGGAGAGGCTTAGAAGGAACATAACTGGTAATAGCCACTGGTGGCGCTACGATCGAGCCCAGTAGTTCCAGCCTAGTTCGGCAAGGGTGGAAACTTGACTTTTAAAGTCAGTTAACTCTCTTGCCTCGGGAAGATGACAGGATGTGGACCTTTGTGCCTTCCGTGTGCAACCATAGAAATTGCCAGGTCATTGTTGGAGGCTCAAAGGAGACAGAATGGTTGCCTAGGTCATTCCAAGGTGGAACACAGAAGGTTCAGACATCGCCAAGGACGCCGTGAAGTTTTGAACATGTTCAAAACAGTCGCCCAAAGGTCGCCGAGGAGGTTGGTTGCTCAAAGGTGGTTCAAAGGAGGCAGAAGGGAGGCAAAGCATTGCCGTTGTTGCAGAATGAAGGCACAGTGTTTTTTCCCGTTAATCTGGGCGATGCTTCTGCCTCCCTTGTGCCTCCTTTGGGCCACCAACAGCGTGCATTGAACGATGACTCTGGCGACCGCCGTGCCTCCATTCGGCAACCACGGCAACCCTTGAGATACCATGGCAATGCTTTTGCCTCTTTTCTGCCTCCTTTGAGCTACCTGTAGTGCCTCCTCAGCCTGCCTATAAATAGAGGGCTTGTACCTGCAGTGTTTCATTGTGGTTGCAGACATTGAACAACTTGAGCAGTTACTGCTAAACATCTGCTGGAGCAGTTACATAGAAACATGATTTTCTGGGTTTAGGCGACCATTGAGCGTTCTGGCCAGTTTTTGGACGCTCAAAGGTGGCACAAAGGTCGCAGCACTGTTTAAAGGGGCCTTTAGTGGATTATCTCAAAGCATGGCTACCTCCCAAGAGTACTTACAAGTAAGTTGCTGAAAAGGTTTGGTTGATTCACATGAACAAGGCATGACACACCAGTAAACATGACTCAGAAAAGATTTCGTCTCGCCACGTGAAACTGATGGCCAAAACAGTCATTCATCTTCTAGATTGTTTTACAAATCACTTGGAACCTTTTCAGTCACACATTATCTAAACAAGTAACAGTTGCAAAGCAGACAAGTAAAAGGGACAGGAACAGTGCTACCTTTAGGAAGGGGCATGGCCTATTGGGATGTAGTAAATAGACTGACCTTCATTGCATTGATGGGGACAGAGCTACCTTTGGGAAGAGGCGTGGCCTATTGGGATGTAGTACAAAGACTGACCTCCATTGTGTTGATGGGGATAGAGCTGCCTTTAGGAAGGGGCGTGGTCTATTGGGATGTAGTATATAGACTGACCTTCATTGTGTTGATGGGGACAGAGCTGCCTTTCGGAAGGGGCGTGGTCTATTGGGACGTAGTACATAGACTGACCTCCATTGTGTTGATGGGGACAGAGTTACCTTTAGGAAGGGGTGTGGTCTATTGGGATGTAGTACATAGACTGACCCTTACTGTGTTGATGGGGACAGAGCTGCCTTTAGGAAGGGTAGTGGCCTATTGGGATGTAGTATACAGACTGACCTTCATTGTGTTGATGGGGACAGTTACCTTTAGGAAGGGGCGTGGCCTATTGGGATGTAGTACATAGACTGACCCTTACTGTGTTGATGGGGACAGAGCTGCCTTTAGGAAGGGGCGTGGCCTATTGGGATGTAGTATACAGACTGACCTTCATTGTGTTGATGGGGACAGTTACCTTTAGGAAGGGGCGTGGCCTATTGGGATGTAGTACATAGACTGACCTTCATTGTGTTGATGGGGATAGAGCTGCCTTTAGGAAGAGGCGTGGCCTATTGGGATTTAGTATACAGACTGACCTTCATTATGTTGATGGGGACAGAGCTGCCTTTAGGAAGGGGTGTGGCCTATTGGGATGTAGTATATAGACTGACCTTCATTGTGTTGATGGGGACAGAGCTGCCTTTCGGAAGGGGCGTGGTCTATTGGGACGTAGTACATAGACTGACCTCCATTGTGTTGATGGGGACAGAGTTACCTTTAGGAAGGGGTGTGGTCTATTGGGATGTAGTACATAGACTGACCCTTACTGTGTTGATGGGGACAGAGCTGCCTTTAGGAAGGGTAGTGGCCTATTGGGATGTAGTATACAGACTGACCTTCATTGTGTTGATGGGGACAGTTACCTTTAGGAAGGGGCGTGGCCTATTGGGATGTAGTACATAGACTGACCCTTACTGTGTTGATGGGGACAGAGCTGCCTTTAGGAAGGGGCGTGGCCTATTGGGATGTAGTATACAGACTGACCTTCATTGTGTTGATGGGGACAGTTACCTTTAGGAAGGGGCGTGGCCTATTGGGATGTAGTACATAGACTGACCTTCATTGTGTTGATGGGGATAGAGCTGCCTTTAGGAAGAGGCGTGGCCTATTGGGATTTAGTATACAGACTGACCTTCATTATGTTGATGGGGACAGAGCTGCCTTTAGGAAGGGGTGTGGCCTATTGGGATGTAGTATATAGACTGACCTTCATTGTGTTGATGGGGACAGCTGCCTTTAGGAAGGGGTGTGGCCTATTGGGATGTAGTATAAAAACTGACCTTCATTGTGTTGATGGGGACAGAACTGCCTTTAGGAAGGGGCGTGGCCTCCATATCCATGGGGAAGGTCGAGTACTCAGGGGAACAGTCACGCAGATACATGAGATCCTCATCAAGACGTTTCTCCAGCCTCAGCACCTCCATCTTCTGCACCACAGGGTTATACATCTCGTACATGATTTCCACACCTGCCAACACATCATGGCCATAGTTTGTGTACGTCACTTGACACAATCAGAAAATATCATTTTGTTTGTTTGCCATTTAATGCCAATATTCCAGCTATTTCACGGATGCCTGTAAATTGAGACTGAGCCAGACAATCAAGTGGTTGATATTATCACAACGTCCCCCACCTCAGGGGTCTGATGACATGCAGTACAGACATCCATGACAGTAACTCTCCAACGCTGGAGGTACAAAAAGGGTGTGCGAAAAGGGGAGACAATTTAATGTTGTAGCCAGGACTTTCTTCATGTCTTATTATCAACAACACCTCAATGAAAGGAGCTTGAATTGCAGAGATGACACAAGATCGTCAGAGATCAGCTAAATGTTTGTTGCTATGACGGCAGTGTACATGGAAGAGTATCAAAATGTCAAAAACAAAAAATACAATTATTTTACATGTAGACTAATTGAAGAAACCTTGCAAAAATATGTATCAGAAAGCAGGAAACTTTCAATGTGTCGACATTCACTTGTGCTACAATCTGGTACAAACAAGAAATAAAAAGTCTGAAATAATTTGACATTTATGATATTTCTTTGATTATCAGTTAACAAGTCATCTTCCCGAGGCAAGAGAGTTAACTGACTATAAAAGACCAGTTTCCACCCTTGCCGAACTAGGCTGGTATTATGGAATTACATTTTGGCTGGACTAACGAGTCTTTGCATAGTCCAATCAAAATCGAGCACCGAAATCGAAATCCGGTTCGTAGAGTGTCATGCAGATTTCGGTCGACTGCAGGATTTGCAAAACATGTGCACCGCTAACTCGTTGTCGACAGATATTTTCTAAATCTTTTCATGTTTTTCATCAAGGTGCTCACGTGATTTGATGCACTTTGCGATGTAAGACCTTGACAATATAGATCTAAGTGATACGAGAGGTCAATAAGAGAGGCATAGAAGGGACATAACTCGTAATAGCCACTGGTGGCGGTACGATCGAGCCAAGGAATTCCAGCCTAGTTCGGCAAGGGCGGAAACTGGACTTTTAAAGTCAGTTAACGCTCTTGCCTCAGGAAGATGTTAACAAGTATAATATACATATAATGCAAAAGGATAAAAGGACATTGACAGTGACTGCCTTTAGAGCAAAGACTATCATATGCCATGGACAAATGGGAGACAATTCTCTATTCAGATTTTTTTAAGACCAATTCAAGTCCAGTAAATATCACAAAGCCCTACTCATTATCGTTCTAAATACATTTTACACTAAACTGAATTCCAAATCCGTTTAATTCTAACTCCTTTAGTGATAGTAATAAGCGAACCTATCTGAATAATTCCATGTGGATTATCTCCCCTGACTAACCTTGTCCATCCACCACATTCCTCAGGATGAAGTAGGCTCGGAGTCCGTGGCCGCCACGCCGAGTGCAGATACCCACGAACCGGTTTGTCCTCCCGGCTGTATATTTGTCTGCCACCGTGACAGCCAGGATGCTGCCTGAAGTCATACAGGGAACCAATGAATTTGTTGGCATCGCATTTGTGATAGAAGCACAAAGTCGGGGGTAGACCCTCAACATACTGTAAATCTTGAACTTAACACAAGCATGAATTAAATACAAAAAATGCGAGCAGTCTTTGTTCGCATAATGTAACTTGACTATGACTATCAACAATAACATGGCCTCCCTGCACACTTTGGATAGTGGAAATACCAACTTGAATATAAACACAAACATGGTTTGGGCAAGAGCTCTGCCCACTCGTGTCAAACTAGGCATCATTGACCACTCCAGCAGTTAGAACAGAGGCCACGAGGCGTACACTTCGTCAAAGGGTAACACGGACCAACGCGCACCGATAGGCTTCATCACACTCCTCATATCTACAGCCTTTGTCTGCCTTCAAGTTTGCATCTTCTCTGCGTACCAATCAGTGAACTGTTCTTGGTTCAATTATTTTATTGTCTTTGAACTTCCTTAATGCCAGTCAACTAAATAAACATATAAACTGTGTGTTGTTTTTAGGAAAACACTGTTTATTGTATTAGTGGAAGTGCTTTACTCAGCACAAATAAGCGGTGCTATTTGCTGTATGATTGAATGAAGGTAAAGGATATGCATCATTCCACTGGGGATGGGGTGGGGGAGTCGCATTGATATTGAGTCACATTTTTGGCTAGAGTTCAGCAGTTGTATCAATTTGGAGATGCATTAATTTCAAGATTTACAGTACATCTCAAAATGAAAGTAACAGGTGTTATTCGAAATGTTATCAATATTCACCTGGTATAGCTAACAACTTTCCCAAAGTTACAACAAGTAAGTGATTTTTTACAATCTTCTGGTCAGGATACACTGCACTACAATATCATTTCTTATCGAAAGTTTCTATTTCAACTATGGCAACTTCCGATAATACAATGTCGCATTTAATGTCGCGTCCAAGATTATTGCACTTATATAGCGACGTGCATGTGTGTGTGTGGCTGCTTGTACTAGACCGGACTGATGCCGATTTATAGTGCTAGCCCACTGAGATACCATGCCGCAGTTTAACATGAATACCCCACTCAGACACAGTATACTGACTCCAAGTCGACCAGACCTTGCTTTAACCCCTTAATGCCGAGTATTAATGTACCATCTTTTTACCGGCAGTGAATATAATAACCTTCTCTTTACCTCTGTCTATGAAAATTTACACCTTGTGATTTGTAATCCATAAATTGGTATATTAACTTAAATTGTATATTTTCATTCTTATCCTATCAAACACTATGCATTTCTAACACCCTTGACAGCAGGCTTGCCTTGAAAGAGTGAGTTGGGTTTACTGCCGCTTTTAATAGTATTCAAGTTAAATCATGGCATATAAGCTTAATGTGGGAGGAAAGCCCGAAGTGATGCAGGTCTCAGACGTTTACCACTTCGGTGAAACCCACGAGCACGGGTATGGTGCTGACAAACCTAGAAACATAATTGGGGCAAACCGGGATTCAAACCCACAATCATAGGTTTCTGGCTTGCCCAAGGGACGCAACTCTGCACAGCGAATCGCAGCGCCTTAGACGACTGGGCCACCCGTGCCCCCTGCCTTGAAAGAATTAGCTCAACTATTGACCCACTTCTACCATGTCTGTACAATTTCTTAAAATAGTTTGACAGCACTTTCTGCAACATTCCAACCCTATTACAGTGAGGGTACCAAGATCAGCTTCACAACTTGTACTCCTCATCAATCCATGACTTCAACTTGACATCACTAACATGACAAGACTAACACACCTAAAATAAATAACCAGGGTATTGTTTGGATTTAATGGGAACTGTAACACGTCCATAGAAATGAGAATAATAAGTTTCCGAAAAAAAACCACTCAGTAGGCCTAAAAAAATATTTAAAATGGTTCTCAGGCAATGACTATTGAAAATATAGAGTGGGTCGGCGGTGTATTTTGTGTGTGGCTTGTTCAAACTAGTATGTAACCAAATAAACAGTTGCGTACTATCAACCTGGGGAAGGACCTTGTTACATAAACAAGCATACAAAAACCTATTGCCACCATGACCACAACTTGATTTTCGCAGTAAAGGGAAATAACTGCGTAATTTAGGATTTTTTATATCTTTTTGGAAAAAGGAAATAAAAACGAAATGTGCTGCAGACTTTACGATGATCCGGGCTGTGCCTGAGAACCAAGACTATTTTTTTTTTAGCCTTAAATTTTATCCGTAGCTTGACCAGTGTTTATCAAGAACAGCATTCACTAATCAAACTATGGTATGTCAAACAACCTACCAACGTAAAACTCGGGGATGTCCATGTGTTCTCGGCGACGGTACATGTCCTCTCTCTCCAGCAGCTCTCGGACACGGTCTCGGTGCTCCGGCCGCGGCAATGGGAGAAACTCATGCATCACATTGCTGTAATACATGTGACTATAGTAAGTGAGTGAGGTGGTTTTGCGCAGCTTTAAGCAATATCTAAAAAGTTAACAGATACCATGTTTGATAATTGTAGTTGTATCTTTTTACTTTTATCATCAAAGATACAGTAGTCAGAGTGAGTGAGTGAGTATGGTTCAATGCCGTTTTTAGCAATATTCCAGCAATATCACAGCGGGGGACACCAGAAATGGGCTTCACACATTGTACCCATGTCGGGAATCGAACCCAGGTCTTCGACGTGACAAGCGAACGCTTTAACCACAAGGCTACCCGACCGCCCCTACAGTGGTCAGAACAACATGAACAAGGACACAAATAGCAGAGCTCCAGATAAGCTTTTGGTGTTGTGGGTATTTTACCCATGCATTTTAAAATCATTGGGTATCAGTAATTCTATCTGGGTATTCAAATTTCTGTTACCCACTAGTTTTTACACATGTGGGTATTTAAGTTAAATATTTAAAAACACTATTCATCTAGTCCCTGCAAACTGGTGTCGCGTGGGTTCGAGAGCTTTATAGGACTCAAAAATACCACGATACTTCCACAAGAAAGTGTGATGGCAAATGATCATGATGTAACTGTCATCGTGGAGTTTGGCAAGGTTGACGGAATGCCCGTTCATAATTTCAAAATAAGTTGCTGATTTGCTAATCGAATACGCAGGGTTACTTCACAATATTTTGATTATACGAACAAATTTTATTTTTGTAGCGTATCTGTAATGTTTGTTGCGTATTTGATACGCTTGGATTATATTTTACTGCGTATTTCTGCATTTCTGATGCGTATTTCACGCAGATACGCAGCTTATCTGGAGCTCTGAAATAGTCAGACAAATAAAGATAATCTTAATTTGTTTTCTCACTGTAAACAGTAACATATTTAGTTTTTACATTATCAAGGTAATTAGGAATAAAGTTTGTTACGAATGTTGAGGTATTAGGGTTGGGACAATACTCCAACTGTGCAATCCAATACGTGATATCTTGCTCACGATCTGATACGTATCATGATACTTACAAGTGCACTTATCTGTGGTGCCTTAGCCATCTGTTTCAAAGACAGGATGGCCAAATACCTGGTACACTGATGATTTACAGATATCAGTGTCAAGTATGGAGCAATGGATGAAGATATTTACCTTTTCACCACTAACTAGTGTCTGGTGTTACATTTTTTAATGCAAACATTTAAGGGATGAATTGATACTTTTAACTTAGTTATCACACCACTGCTTGTGTCATGGATGTACTACTGCTCTGTGGGCTGACCTGAAATCTGGAGGCAGTTCCACATGGCGCCGTGCCCGCACTTCATCCAGGTCCTTCATATCGGGGTGCTGGGACAGTGGCGTTCGCCGATGACGTTCCACTTTCTCATTGTCTAGGTAGTTGATCACTCTGATGTCATTGCGACCTGAGGAGAGGAATATCAACAAATGATGAGTCAGTCGCTATTCAGCACAAGGTGAAATTGAATGGTAGATCTACATTTTCACTTTCGTAAATAAATGCACACGTATATATTTAGGCTAACATTTCTTTACAACTATCAACTATAATATTACACTCATCATACATGTACCAAATAACCGTGAAGATCTGGGTTAGAACAGTGAGTGAGTGAGTTGGGTTTAACGCCGCTTTTAACAGTATTCCAGTTATATCGCAGCGTGTCAGCTTAATGTGGGAGGAAAGCCCGAAGTGATGCAGGTCTCAGACGTTTACCACTTCGGTGAAACCCACGTGCACGGGTATGGTGCTGACAAACCAAGAAACATAATCGGGGTGAATCGAGATTCGAACCCACAATCATAGGTTTCTGGCGTGCCCAAGGGACGCAACTCTGCACAGCAAATCACGGCGCCTTAGACGACTGGGCCACCCGTGCCCCTGGGTTTAGAACAGAGACCATATAATAGATTATCTATTATATGGTCTCTGGTTAGAATAGGTCTTCAGCAACCCATGCTTGCGGCAAAAGGCCACTATGCTTGTCGGGAGGCTAGTAACAGGATCAGGTTGTCAGGCTCGCTGACTTGGTTGTGGCATGTCATACTGCGTGGATCGATGCACATGATCTCAATCACTGGATTGTCTGATCCAGACTTGATTATTTACGGAATATTGCTGAGTGTGGCGTTAACCAACAAACAAATAAACACACAACATGTACTAAAGAATACTGCACTCGCACTTTACCGTTACGTTTCACCTAGGCCTATTTCATATTGTAACATGATAACTCGTGTTTAGCATTGAGATTGCATCAATTTATCAACAGAACAGTGACAAATAGTTTGGTATAACTTCTCCAGAAATTACCTGATACCACCGTTCTTTTACAGATGATATCATAAGTCCTGACTGACAGTCTTAATGACCTCAACTTTCTTGCAAGGGATGCCATGCTTATGCTCCCATTACTGTAATGCGTCGGCGCAGAACACTTCCGCTTCCGGTAGAAAAGGGGGCACCTGTCATGGATGTAAACATGAGTACTTCTCGAGATCTTTAACAGTGAGACATATTCTATGAGGATTTTCTTTTAACTGTTCATTTTCAGTATGGATAAGAATTGAACCTGCATATGTTATGTTCCGTGAATTTAAGTATCTTGACTTTACGACCGAATATGCCACTTGTTGTGTTATTGGTTCAGTTTTCGATCACCATCCTGTACAAACGACGTCGTGTGTTGTTGTAGAACAGTACTTTCTAGTAGGCCATGTTAACACCCATTGTGATAATGCTCCCTGTCCGTATCCCTCTCAAACATATATATGATTAAAAGGATTGAGCTGCAATGCATTCCTATATAACTTTTATTGGGCAGAAATCTTTTCTCACACTGTTTCCTGTAGTTGTACTCATGGTACTAGTTATTCAATGCAGTTTACCGGGCTCGACTTATATATAAACATTGTCTCAGGCTGCTGACCGTGGATCTTGCTTCTCAGATCACGTGTGCCTCTTTGATTGTATCTGTTAGATGTGTTATGGTGAAGGTAGGTTACCCCATCGCGATGCATGCACGTGTGTGCGTGTGTGTGGCTGCTTGTACTAGTCCAGACTGATGCCGATTTATAGTGCTAGCTCACTGAGATACCATGCCACAGTTTAACATGAATACCCCACTCAGACACAGTATACTGACTCCGAGCCGACCACTCGTTTTAGCCCCTTAATGCCCAGCGCCAGACAGGGTAACAACAAGTACCATCTTTTAATGTCTTTTGGTTTGACGCGGTCGGGAATCGAACCCCGGACCTTCTGCTCTCCGGGCGGACGCTCTACCACTAGACCACGGAGGCGGTCACCTTTCCAATGAAGAGTTGCAGGCTAAAACGGCACCTCAGCAAACATCACTGATTTCTTGGGCTACAATGGCACCTCATTTGGCTACTAATTGTCAGGCCAAAAACTACACATCTATTTTTAAGAACAATATGAACGATATAATTAGTAGGATATATGCTATATTACACTTTTTTATGAAAGGGGAGATATATTTGAAATATCTATAAAATTACTAATTATTTCCTACTTACTAAAATAAATATTAAATATATAGTATACCTGTTTTAAGGCGATTAACATTTCACAATTATTTGTGTTTGCAAGTGACCATGTGAGTTTAATTTCATGCCTTTTTCGCCAGGCAATATAAGCTGTTTTCGCTTTAGGCGAGGTGCATTTTTCGCTCAGTGACGTTTTGCTGAGGTGACGTTTTAGCTATAACCCCCAATGAAGTACCCCTTTACAATAATTAGGGTTAGGTACTAAGGCTGGGACGAGTCCAAATTTACTACCCGGGTACCTATGCCCCTATTACACGACCCTACCCGGGTACACTCTGTAGATCTCAAGAGATAGGTACAAACTGTCCGATTGGGAAATGTTTGCCCTAGCAAAATGTATTTAGATACACATATAAAACGATCTGGTCATGTATACACTGAAGTCTACTGCATGAAGTTTTATCTTTGTATTCAAACATATGTTTTAGATAATATTTGTCATTAAACAATATATCACATGACTCACCACTGGTCCAGGTAGTCCTGTGGGTACCCGGGTCCTACTCAGTACCCACCCAACTCATGTACCCGAGTTACCCGTCCCAGCCCTATTAGGTATCAACTACAGTTTACAGGCATACATCCCTTCACAATCCTTAGGTTTGGGAACCCCTTGCTAATCTAACACCCCTTTACAGTTCTTGGGTTAGTTTTTGTGATATTCAAGAATCTCTTTGGTCTGTTGACAAACGCAGAGCTCCAGATAAGCTTTTGGTGTTGTGGGTATTTTACCCATGCATTTTAAAATCATTGGGTATCAGTAATTCTATCTGGGTATTCAAATTTCTGTTACCCACTAGTTTTTACACATGTGGGTATTTAACATGTTTACGTTAAATATTGAAAAACTCTATTCATCTAGTCCCTGCAAACTGGTGTTGTGTGTGTTCGAGAGTTTTATAGGCCTCAAAAATACCACGATACTTCCACAAGAAAGTGTGATGGCAATTGATCATGATGTAACTGTCATTGTGGAGTTTGGCAAGGTTGACTGAATGCCCGTTTATAATTTCAAAATATGTTGCTGATTTGCTAATCGAATACGCAGGGTTACTTCACAATATTTTGATGATACGCACAAGTTTTATTTTATGCAGATACACAGCTTATCTGGAGCTCTGCAAACGATATGATGATGGTTGGAGTGTAACAAAGACTTTATTTATCTTCACAGTGAGAACAGGGTGGTGCAATTGATACCCACTCTAACATGGTCCATCCCCTAAATGGACCCGTGAAGATCGGGGCTAAAATTGGCCTCCAGCAACCCATGCTTGCCGTAAAAGGCGACTACGCTTGTCGTTAGAGGCGACTAACAGGATTGGATGGTCAGACTCACTGACTTTGTTGATGCATGCCATCGTATCCCAATTGCGTGAAACGATGCTCATGATGTCAATCACTGGGTTGTCTGGTCCAGACTCAATTATTTACAGACCGCTGTCATATAGCTGGAATATTGCTGAGTGCAGGGTTAAACAACAAACAAACAATCCCCTAAATGAGGCTTATTAGATTAACTCATGTCGAAAGAGGCAACTTACAGGATCAGTCTACCTGGCAAACTGAGTTTGATCCTCCATGCTGTGCTACTGATAACACCAGACACTCATAAATGACATTGATTACTTGTAATGGTTACCATGGCTACAGCACAAGTTCTTCAAAGGGAACTTGTTCTTTGCAGTATAATATTAGAATAAGGAAGTTATACATCTTATCATGGTTTATACCTAAGTTTTACAACATAAATTTAGAAGTCATCATTATTTCAACCAAGAAACTTGGTATTATCAAATTATTATTCATGTTTAATTCCAAACATACCGTATTCAACGTAATAAGCGCCCCGCTCTAATAAGCGCCCACGTCGATATTAATATATTAGCCAGTAAACAATCCCAATTAGCACCCCTTATGATTGATCAATGTACACAAGACTTATTTATTCGTGTATAATACGCACTCGTGTGTAATATGCACCCTTAATTATTGGCAATTAAATTCAGGAAAATATATCTGTCATGTATAAGCACATACTTTTCTTTGGTATCATTTCAGGCTGTCAGCATAAACTACGAAATTTACAACTTTTCAACTCTGTTTTTGTCTCATCAAAATTATATTCTGATAAGAGCCCCCTCTTTCTAATTTTGAGAGCGCCCTGGGCGCTTATTGCGTCGAATACGGTACTTAGATTATGGCACTGTCTCTATAAACCATTGTTATATTCTACCCAGATGACTGCTAGACATCCAACCTGACTAAATGGTTGCCAGCTACTGACACAATGAAGAGAGGGCCAAGTCCCTCCTCCAGTGATGCCACCTCACCAGGAAGTTGTGGCCCCGCCCCAAAGATCCCCCGCACTGGTTCATCTGTCACTAGACAATGGTTCCGTCATCCTCCGAGCGGGCGTGGCGCCAGCAGGGGTCCAGATCTGGGGAAGGGTGCTTCAAGCTTCGTCAAGCCAGGCACCAAGACAGCAGGACCCTACATGCTAGGTCGGTTGCTGATGAGATTCTTACAATGCTAAGGCCAGACATTTTTTAAAACTTTTAAATTTGAGAAGAAAATTATAATTGAAAAGTGTGTTTTTATATTCTGCTGACAAGAAATAAGTAAAATGTTAAAATAACACCTTATTCACTGACTCAATCATTGTAAAAAATTACCGGGTATTTAAATTTATAATTAAACACGTTAAATTAAAGCCTCTTGAAACATGTGAAAGTGTATGTAAAAACTCCTGCTGCCACTATTTTTATGTGTTTTTTCTACCTACTTAACATTTTGAAGAAATCCAATTTCTTTTATCTGAAATTCAACCTAATGTCCTAAATGTTTAGGCCAGAAATCTGTTAAAAAAGCAGAAGAATAAAAGCCTTTCTCAGTCAAATAGTTGAATGAGTATATTACATAAAAGGACTGGACGCTCAGATTTTCCCAAACTGATCTGTGCCACAAATATACAATGTGTCAGATTATGCATGACATTTGTGGAGGTAGGATTAATATTGACATGTTTCCAGCAGGGTTCAACAAATATGCTGGTCTAATGGACACCTGCCTTAAATAAAACATGAATCGTGTCACTTACCAGATCATGAAAGTGACTGTCGGAATGTGTTTTCTGATCATGCAACCTCGAAATATTTAACAGAGGGTATTCCGTACGACAGTTAGGGGTTTTATGATTATATCCATACAATCTAGGCCATCTATAAGCCATTCCAGAATGGTTTTTTTATCAGTTTTAAATTTTTTTGTCGAGAATATGTCAAAATATGTTTCGAAGCGTAGTCGCCAGTTTGAAACTAGTGTCGTAAAGCTCGAGAAAGCTGCCTTCTGATTGGATAATGTCGATTACTTGTCAGTCATTTCATTGGTTGGTCAAAGTTTGCCAAAGGTCGTTCTGACGTGACTCGTAATGGGATGTCCTCAGATCTTTGTTTGGCAGTAGCAAAAACTAAGATCTGATTTTAATGAGATTGGGTTTATTGACACAAGATTTGGCACTCCCGGTACCAGGCAAATATAATGAGAACAAAAGGAGTACGGCTCATCAATTTCATTACCATATTTATGCATTAAAGTTCACAACTGTTTAAAATATTCAGTCCTGGTTAAGAAGTTCTGAGTTCTGCATTTTAAGTTACACCTCTGCTCTGCTCTGCGCCTGTCACACTCTCTATTAAAGTTACTCTCATTTGCACATTTCATGATTTGCCATTTGGTGGTATTATTGTGGAAGATAAGACTTATATAGCATGCATTTTTACTCAGTGTCATATTAATGTTATTTCAATTATTACAGTTGGGCATATGAAAGTTTTTCGGTATGTTTGATCTTCTTAAACAGGCGGGGCGGTCGGGTAGCCTAGTGGTTAAAGCGTTCGCTCGTCACGCCGAAGACCCGGGTTCGATTTCCGACATGGGTACAATGTGTGAAGCCCATTTCTGGTGTCTCCAGCTGTGATATTGCTGGAATATTGCTAAAAGCGGCGTAAAACCCCACTCACTCACTCTAAAACAGGCGCTTTATCTGTGAACACATGTGAATCATGAGTAGACTCATTGCAACTGTCATTCGTTACCACTTGCCCCTTTTCGTAACCTGCAAGAAGGCTTGTCCCCCTGTTGATGAACGTGATGACAAACCAATCGGAATGTGCATATGACTTTGGTAAAAAAATCCCTCAGGGATCATTTTTGTTTTTACATATGTCTTGTATTTAAAAATATACCAAAGTTACAGTTAAATGTGTTCAACCAAACTGTATAATACAGTAAGTCCTGATGTGTTTTCAATAGCATCTGGAATATATATGATATATGGGGGATATATACACGAATCATTACGGAACAATATGACAATTATTTTAGCTATGCCAGTTTGCGCATAGATGGAGCTTGGTCGCAAAAATAGCCACGAGAGGGCACGGGTCGCTATTCGGCTTGTCCCGGAATAACACGAGTTGGTCACGAGCGGCAACTGTGAACTCTTTAATGGTTTTGATCTTCTTAAGCTTTATCTGTAAACACATCCGCATTAATAATAATAATAATTTATGCATTTGTATAGCGCAGCATTCACTGTGCATGTGCTCTGTGCGCATTGCGAGTACTCACTAGCTACTACTGTAAACACAGTCAAAAACTCTGAATAACTCGTTTATATCATAAAGTGTATTTCTACTAATGTATTTTGGTATGCCTCATTTATGAAATCAGCCTTCTCGGGGCTATCTGAAATTCAGATTTGGCATTCCCGGCCCAATACTTGCGATATGAAGGTGTGAAGGCTTATTCTCATTGTGTCTTATACATTAAAATAATGTTACCGTATTCAACGTATTAAGCGCCCGGGGCGCTCTCAAAATTGGAAATAGTGTGCTCTTATTAGAATATAATTTTGGTGAGAACAAAAACAGAGTTGAAAAATTGTAAATTTCGTACAGTAGTTTATGCTGACAGCCTGAAATGATTCAAAAGAAAAGTATGTACGTATCATACACGAGAGATATATTTTCCAGAAAATATCGCCATGGGCGCTTATTAGAGCGGGGCGCTTATTACGTCGAATACGGTATATATAAATTCCATGTCTACATCACTATCAGTGATTCAAGAAGCCAGCTGCAGTTTTAACTCCACGGTAGAATGACTTTCACCAAAAAAATAACTAAATGATTGACATAGCTATTTATTTTTATTTCGACCGACTTTTTGTGGAAAAGCTGGAATAAATCCGTGAAACATAAAATTAAACATGTGTGGCCTTATTATCATCTACTTGACCGGTACTGCAACTGGTATCTGCATCAGTTATCATCCAAGTCAATGTGCAAAGCCGAGTCTATCAATGTCAAAATACCGTATTCGACCCAATAATCGCCCGGGGCGCTTAGAATAAAGACAGAAGGGGTGGGCACTTATTGGGACCAATTCAGAGTCAAATTGGCGTAAATTCATCGATATTCTTCTGTTGCTGGGAGGCTAGAGATAAACTGTTACTTACGTTTTACTGGTGAACATCTCCTCATTACCCGACTACAAAAGATTCTTGACCGTATGTAAATAACAGGTGAGTAAATCCTACTTGGGCATCCGGGAAGGGGGGGCGCTTATTGGGACATGGGCGCTTATTGGGTCGAATACGGTACACACAATTTCAATCCAGTGAAATCTTTGATTGTGATATGGCATCTGGGTGAGGTTATTATAGCAGGAGTTGTGTCCCCTGCTAATGTCCGTTTCATTTCAGCTTGACATCACTTCGATGAAAATAATAGCAGGAAACTGGCGAAGACAGTGAGGTGTTAATTGTTGTCACACAAAATTCAATGATCTTATTTCAGTAATACACCACAGTATACAGCAGCTTTTTGAGAACAGCTGCTTTATTGATGTGTGAGTGAAATGTGTAAAAATGTTCATCTTTGGAGTATCAATAACATGATGAAGCAATCCTTTGTCCAACAATTTCAGTCCAGATTTAGACTAACATCTAACATATTTCACAGACAAAAATTATAGTTGTTAAATTATAGTTATGAAATATTATAAAAAAGAGCCCAGAGACTTTCTCCATTCCTGAAACTACAGAAATCTGGACTTGCAAAACATTATAGACTTCCATTGGCTCTATTGGATATATTTGTTTCAGGGTCTGTATGACAGACTAGAAGTCTGGGTTTGTCATATTTTACTTGGTGATAAAGTGGCAACATGAATTTGGATCTGCAGATAAACTTGGTTCTGTATTGAGAGACACCCAAATTGAGACCTGTATTGACAGATGTTGTGAGTGAGTGAGTGAGTTGGGTTTAACGCCGCTTTTAACAGTATTCCAGTTATATCGCGGCGTGTCAGCTTAATGTGGGAGGAAAGCCCGAAGTGATGCAGGTCTCAGACGTTTACCACTTCGGTGAAACCCACGAGCACGGGTATGGTGCTGACAAACCTAGAAACATAATTGGGGCGAACCTGGATTTGAACCAACAATCATAGGTTTCTGGCGTGCCCAAGGGATGCAACTCTGCTCAGCGAATCGCGGCGCCTTAGACGACTGGGCCACCCGTGCCCCCGACAGATGTTGTGACAACTGTGAAATAATAAAATATCAAAAGAGAGAGGTTGATTAATATTTATTTCCACCAGTATCAGTGTTATATAAAATTAGGAAAATGGACAAGGCGTAACTCAAATAAAGCAATAACTTAATAAATATAAATAAGTATAAATAGTGAATACATGTATATACATCTTAATAAAATAATATCAATATTGTACAGAATTCATTATAGTACATTTCATATATACAGCTGATATTTTCTAACAAATGAATTAAAAGTTATTTTAGAAGTGGATATATATAAGTAAAAATATATAGGGGGAAATGTATATAAAATCTATTATCTCAAAAGTGGGTGGATGTTATGTTCAAATGAATTTAGGGTACAGGTAGAGTGAGTGAGTGAGTTTTTTACGCCGCTTTTAGCAATATTCAAGCAATATCACGGCGGGGGACACCAGAAATGGGCTTCACACATTGTACCCATGTCGGGAATATAACCCGGGTCTTCGGCGTGACGAGCGAACGCTTTAACCACTAGGCTACCCGACCGCCCCGGGTACAGGTAGAAAGAGACAGAGTGATGTAACAGCTCAGTAAGGGTTAAACTATGTGTAAAGCATGCACTAGGAACCTATCAGTTTTTGCGACATTTCATGTCAACTGGCAGGTTTGAGAGTTCCCCAAATTCTTGTGATACTGACGACCGATGAAGGGCATGTTTAGTGTCATCCAATCACAGCCTACAAGAAGTCTGCCACTGCCGTTTTGGTAGACAGAGCCCAGTCACATGATCAGCAGTGATTGTCCCCAGGACGTCAAGTCAACAGGGTTTACTGTAGATGAATACCGTATTGGACGTAATAAGCACCCAGGGTGCTCTCAAAATCAGAAATAGAGGGGCTCTCATTAGAATAATATTTTGGTGAAAAAAACACAGTTGAAATATAAATTTTGTGGTTTATGATGACAGCCTGAAATGTTTATGTACGACAGATATAATTTTCCAGAATTTAATTGCCCGTAATTGAAGGTACATATTACGCACGAGTGTGTATTATACGCAAATAAATAAGTCTTGTGTACATTAATCAATCCAAAGGGGTGCTAATTGGGATTGTTCACTAGCCAATATATTAGCAAAAATATCGTCTTGGGCGCTTATTAGAGCGGGGCGCTTATTACGTGTCGAATACAGTATACAACATGGTGTGATGGATATGTGGCCGCGTGCAGTGCACCCTGGAATGTAATCATAATGAACACTTGACACAACAACTGACATCAAATCTTAAACAGTGTCAGAAATAGCAGGAAGAGCAGTTAGTACATATTTTGATATGTTATTGTATTCACAATATTGAATACCTGTATTATAGGAGGTATGGCCATGTTGACCTTGAACAGGGCTCTAGCCATCTTCCCGAGGCAAGAGAGTTAACTGACTTTAAAAGTCCAGTTTCCACCCTTGCCAAACTAGGCTGGTATTATGGAGTTACATTTTGGCTGGGCTAACGAGTCTATGCATAGCCCAATCAAAATCGCGCACTGAAATCAAAATCCGGTTCATAAACTGTCGTGCAGATTTCGTCTGATTGCAGGATTTGCAAAGCATGTGCACCGCCAACTCGTTGTCAGCACATATTTTCCAAATCTTTTCATGTTTTTAATCAAGGTGCTCACATGATTTTATGCATTACGCGATGTAAGACCTGTTTTATCACAATATAGATCTTGATTATCAATCAGATCATCCTGACTGGGCACCACCATTTTGTGTGGAGCAAATGCAAGTGATACGAGAGGTGGAATCTGATTGCTCCATAGGACAGGTTTAGAAGGGACATAATTGGTAATAGCCACTTGTGGCGCAACGATCGAGCCCAAGAATTCCAGCTAAGTTCGGCAAGGGTGGAAACTGGACATTTAAAGTCAGTTAACTCTTTTGCCTCATGAAGGTGGGCTCCAGCAGATATGGCAATATGCTGTGGAAGTGCTATCTTAATACCATATTTTCATGTGTAGTGAGCACTTGAGTATAATCTATTCTTTGGTACAAGTTTTTGTTATATATATATTAATGTGGGTGTGGGTAGGTAGGTAGGTAGGTACTGGTAGGAACATTGGTACGTACGTACGTATATGCATTGTATCGCTTCAGGTGAAAGAACGGGAGATAACAAACTTGGTGAATGGAACGTGAAATGAGCAATAAAACATCACTAGACCTGCTAAACATGATGATCTACAATTTCCTCGTATTTCCTGTTGTGCCAGAGATTAAGATTACCGTGTGTATTTGTTTTGAAAATAAGCTGGTAATAGCAATCAGGTGTACACTCTTTCATATGTTAACATTTCTTCACGATCAGAATAGCAAGGCTCAAAAATGACTCATCACACACCATGGCAATACTGTCACAATGTTATATCAATCGTGGTGTATCCATGGCAATATTGTCACATTGTTATGGCAATTGGGGTGTAACCATGGCAATACTGTCACAATGTTATATCAATTGGGGTCTAACCATGGCAATACTATCGCAATGTTATATCAATTGTGGTGTAAACATGGCAATACTGTCGCAATGTTACCTGTATATCAATTTGAGTGTAACCATGGCAATACTGTCACAATGTTATATCATTTGTGGTGTTACCATGGCAATACTGTCACAATGTTATATCAATTGGGGTGTAACCATGGCAATACTGTCACAATGTTATATCAATCGTGGTTTAACCATGGCAATACTGTCGCAATGTTATGTCAGTTGTAGTGTAGCCATAGCACTACTATCACAATAGTTGATCAACTGTGGCAATACTTCAAATAATGTTTCACATGAAGTTTAGCTGCGACAATATCACCACTGGCAAGACATTTGTGTAGTTTCTCTGGCAACATCGCCCTTTGTGACAATGCTCACAAGTTACAAATGGCACATCGTCTGTTCTTAGGCAGGCCATGTTTGGTACTCTTTCCACTCCCAAGAGCCCATGTGTTGGTGAAGCACACTCTGTCTGGCCCGTACTGATCCTGCAGGGCTGTGATGTCCACATCCTCCGTGTACAGCACCTCCACGTGGAGGGTCCGAGTCGTGTGTACCGTCCCTCCCTCTCGGTACAGGAACGGGTTGTCGTAGGGGTCGAGCTGAAGCAGGGTTGCCTCGCAGAATCTGTCTGTGTCCGATTCTTTTATTGTCATGACAACTGTCACGTAATGAGCTTTGTAGGTGCAGTAGAAATCTGTGAAATATATATTTGTGTTTGCCGTGAAAAGCCCTTCAACAGGAACATCCAGTCTCCGGTTGCCGTAATAAGAGGAAGTAGGAATTCTTCCAGTCATTCTGTCGAGGGAGACACTGAAAAAGAGGCCATCAATGTTGTTGTTGATTGGGGAGTGTGGGTCTCCATTGCGGTCTTTAATGTATTTCTCCATCAATCCATTCTTGTTTTCCATGATGTCGTCCATTTTCTCTCGTGGCTTGTTTCGGAACATGACCTTCACCTCATGTGTATATGGATCTGATACGAATAACTCGGCCTTTTCCTTCAGTCTCTCCAAGTCATCCTTACTCATCACTGTTAAACATAAATTTTATTCAGGGTAAGAAATTCTTCTTCTTTTTCACTTGTCCTCAAAAATGTGTCTGTTACAGTGTTGCCATCTACCTTTTCATGCTTATAGAGAAGGTGGAGTCAACAATTAAATGTCACTTCTGAATTTTTCTACCTAAGACCTATGTTAATTTCAGACCCTAGTCATTAGTGAATAGACATTTAGGGGTCAACAGTTGGGGCCTGGTCACTTACATTGACTACTTATTAAGGACCAGTCAATCAGTTTCTGGTCATTCAAGAACCAGTAAATTAGGAACTGTCTTTCTGGACTAGTAAGGGCACGGGTGGCCCAGTCGTCTAAGGCGCCGCGATTCGCTGTGCAGAGTTGCGTCCCTTAGGCACGCCAGAAACCTATGATTGTGGGTTCGAATCCAGGTTCGCCCCGATTATGTTTCTAGGTTTGTCAGCACCATACCCGTGCTCGTGGGTTTCACCGAAGTGGTAAACGTCTGAGACCTGCATCACTTAGGGCTTTCCTCCCACATTAAGCTGACACGCCGTGATATGACTGGAATACTGTTAAAAGCGGCGTTAAACCAAACTCACTCACTCACTTCTGGACTAGTAAATTAGGAACTGTCTTTCTGGACTAGTAAATTAGGGACTTGTCATTGAAGGATAGGTATTTGTCAAGTAGGGACCATTCATTTAACTAGCTATTTAGAGACCAGTCATGGGTGGATGTCGGTGCCATAGAGGACACAATAAATATTTTGACTGCTAAGGACAAGGGGTTCACAAAAAGACTGTTAATTGAGACTGGTTATTCTCAGGCAATGATGTTTTATATTTACCAAAAAAAAGCAATTTGTTGGAGGGGTATAAAACATTAGATAATTGCAAAATGCATAATTCATTATGAATCAAGAGCATCTGGATGGGCTATGAAAGAGACAATTAATTTTTTTTCTGATTAGATAAGGTAATCCATTGATTCCTATAATGTTGATTCAATACCTGAGTTCAGGATCAAACTTTTAGACATTCGCTGATACTGATACTGTTTGTGTCCGTCGTGATCCGTCCGCGTCGTCTGCAGGAGAACTCCACCATAGGTTTGCCTGGGGGGTAGTGGGAACGGGACCTTCACCCCAGAGGCAGGCATGGGGGTCTCAAGCAGGTACTGGGTGTCCCCCCGGTACAGGTATATCAGGGTGGTACAGGCATCGGGGAGGCTGCAGTCAGGCAGCAACTTGTAGTCTGCTGGTGGTGTGTATCGTGAAGAAACTTCAAGATCATCCTGTTGAAGATGAATAAGACTTACCGTATTCAACATAATAAGCGCCCAGGGCGCTCTCAAAATTAGAAATAGGGGGCTCTTATTAGAATATTATTTTGGTGGAAAAAACAGAGTTGAAAGATACATTTCATGGTTGATGTTGACAGTCTGAAATGTTTATATACGACAGATATATTTTTTCAGAATTTAATTGCCCATAATTAAGGGTGCATATAACACACGAGTGCGTATTATAAGTGAATAAATAAGTCTTGTGTACATTGATCAATCGGAGGGGGTGCTAATTGGAATTGTTCACTAGCCAATATAGGAGCAATTATCGCCATGGGCGCTTATAAGAGCGGGGCGCTTATTACGTCGAATACGGTAATTACATATTACATGAAGAAACATACATCTAGGATTCCAAAATGAGTGCCTTTTCGAGGCACATTTACTTGAGTTTTTTAAGTTATGTATTTTATTATTGCATTCAATATACCGATACAGTAATGTAAAACTAAGCATTCAAGCCTCCTCTAGTATACTGGTCCTGTTATCAGTGAAATACAAGTCACCTCTACAAGCCATAAACATTAGTTTTGCTCATATTAAAAGTAGATTGGTAATCTTGTAAATCCAGTTTTAGAAATTTTAATGACTGTTGCTGTAAATTTGGTGCCACTATTAATAACAGCCTCTGAGAAGGTCTAGATAAATCAGAGCATCTCCTCCATGCTTGTATTTCATGTCTGTAATGAAAGGTAATACTGTAATATAATCTGCAGTGAGAGACTGTACATTTTACTTACAGGCCCCAATGGGGGCGGTCGGGTAGCCTAGTGGTTAAAGCGTTCGCTCGTCATGCCGAAGACCCGGGTTTGAATCCCGACATGGGTAAAATGTGTGAAGCCCATTTCTGGTGTCCCCCGCCGTGATATTGCTGGAATATTGCTAAAAGCGGCGTAAAACCCCACTCACTCACTCACTACACTCCCCAATGATCTAGCTGGAAGTTTGTAGACTGTAGTGTAAAACATTATTCACTCTCTTACTGTAGCCATGGCAACAGAAATTGCCTCCTTCTGAGGTAAGAGAACCTACTTACCAGGTTTTGGAAAAACTCACTTCCGAGCGGGATTTGAGTTTTGCTGAGACTGAGTGACACTTCTGATCCTGTAAGAAAACCTTTTTTTATGCGGATTCTGGTTTCCATGCATCTTACATGTACATGTGTTGTATTCAATTTGATATTTAGTATTGCAAGTAATTTCAGGATGCCCCTGCAATTTTAGACTGGGTCCCGTTCCACAAAGCGATCGTAGTGCAATGACAGTCGTAAGTCTATGTTAAAGTATGGGAGTTACGTTCACCTTAGAGCTACAATAGCTTTGTGCTTGTCATAAGAGGCGACTAACGGGATTGGGTAGTCATGGTAGTTGATGCATGTTATCGCATCCCAATTGCGTGGATCAAAGCTCATGATGTCAATCACGGGATTGTCTGGTCCAGACTCGATTATTTACAGACCGCCATCATATAGCTGGAATATTGCTGAGTACGGTTACACAACAAACAAACAAATGCTTTGTGGAATGGACCCCTGAAGTGGGTTTTGGTTTGGACATGGTTAGGAGAGACAGAAACATATCAACCTGTGCATGAGGAAACTCTGCCAGAGCTCACAACTTGAAACATGCGAAGAGTTTGTCGGACATCTGGCACAGTCAGGCCGTACACCAACACATGAGGTCTCTCGTCATCTATTTGATCAAGTGTCAGTTCCCTTGTGGCCAGATCTTCAACTAGGTACACGCCATGAAGTGTAGAGTATGGCTTGACAATGAACACAATAAGATGTGAAACTTCGTCATCACTCCAGGACACTGTCAGATTCACAGTACGTGTTTCAGTCGTCAATGAAAACGTGAAAGATTTATCCTGAAAGAGAAATCAATACAGTTGACAGGTCAGCCTGACACTACTGACATACACTACTGCTTGGCATACTTGCCACTTGCAGTCTTGCCCCCTGCTGTTGTGCATGTACTGATAATTGATCAGTATTGATTATTGATTGGTACTGGTTATTGATTAGTATTGATTGCTGATCAGTATTGGTTATTGATTGGTACTGATTATTGATTAGTATTGATTGCTGATCAGTATTGGTTATTGATTGGTACTGATAATTGATTAGTACTGATTATTGATTAGTATTGATTGCTGATCAGTATTGATTGCTGATCAGTATTGATTACTGATTAGTATTGATTATTGATTGGTACTGATTATTGATTAGTATTGATTATTGATCAGTATTGATTGCTGATCAGTATTGATTGCTGATCAGTATTGATTATTGATCAGTATTGATTCATATCAACTAATGCAAACATTTAAACAGTGAGAAAGAAGTGGATTTTACCTCTGGGCAAATCATATTTGCAGGGCTCCAGATAGTTATTTACTCCCTAGTTATCATTCAATTTGGGTATTGATAGTTTTCTTTGGTTATTCAATTTATTTTTACTTCCTTGGGTCCACACTATTAGGTTTTTTTATGCCAATGAGTAGCCATTTTTTAAGAATAAGAACTCCTAATTTGCACCTGTTCATGTGGTGCCCCAAGAGTGTCACTTGTCACTAAGCTCACAACAGAGATATTTTATACATGTCTAACTTACAGTAAGCATGCAGTAGTGCTTGTTTGAATTTACTCTTGTGGAACGATGCCAGAATTTGATCGGTAAATAAAGATGTGAGGAACCACAGGTATGCAGGCTAAAACACCGACACTAGGCAAGTACACACAGTATTGTTACACCTCAGCTATTGGGTTTTTCTTATGGGATGTGAAATGTAATTTGACGAAGATTATTGCAATTATATAGCACCACCTCAACTATTGTTGTTGTTTTTTAGGTGAGGTGATTTGTGATTTGACAAAGATTATTGCAATTATATAACGATATGCATGCATGTGTGTCTGTGTGTGGCTGCTTGTATTAGTCTGGACCAATGCCGATTTTATAGTGCTAGCCCCCTGAGATACCATGTCCCACTTTAACATGAATACCCTACTTGGTCACAGTATACTGACTCCAAGCTGACCATTCCATGTTTTTGCCTCTAAATGCCAAGCGCAAGGCAGGGTAACAAGAAGTACCATCATGTGGTACGAGGTGGCGTGACCTTCCTCTCTCCAGGAAGATGCTGTGTCCACTAGACCACGGGGTAGTCAGTTTTGACTCTGTTGTAATTTTATGCTTATTTGTATGAAAGCAACTCAAAAATAATTGTAGTGATGTGCTTTGTTTCATCCCTCTTGATCTCTAATGTGGGACATTTGTTTATCATATTCTATTTTCTATATGCCAGGTATTTCTAAATTCTTTTTTTCATCTATATTTGAATTTTTTTTCAAAAATTATAGAAATGTTGTTTCTCTTATTTTTATGAGCAAGAATACATTTTTTTAAATCAGAAAATTGAAGCAAATACCAGGATCCACCAGGGGACCACTTTTAACCTTGAATTATCCTGTCATCAGAATAGGAGACAATGGTCAATGGGTTTGCATCCCAGAACCGGACATATCAGCACCACACTTGCTTGGGTTTCACCACACAGATAATCTACGGCCTGCATCACTCTCCTCCCACATTAACACTGACATGCCATGGTAACAGTGAACTACTAATCATCATGTTCATACAGGCATTACATCCAACACTAGCACTCCAACACTAGCACTCCAACTCCAACACCAGCACTCCAACACTAGCACTGCAACACTAGCACTCCAACACTAGCACTGCAACACTAGCACTCTAGCACTCCAACACTAGCACTCCAACAGTAGCACTCCAACACTAGCACTCCAACACTAGCACTCTAACACTAGCACTCAAACACTAGCACTCAAACACTAGCACTCAAACACTAGCACTCTAACACTAGCACTCCAACACTAGCATTCCAACACTAGCACCCCAACATTAGCACTCCAACACTAGCAATCCAACACTAGCACTCCAACACTAGCCCTCCAACTCCAACACTAGCACTGCAACACTAGCACTCTAGCACTCCAACACTAGCACTCCAACACTAGCACTCCAACACTAGCACTCCAACACTAGCACTCCAACACTAGCATTCCAACACTAGCACTCCAACACTAGCACTCCAACACTAGCATTCCAGTCCAACACTAGCACTCCAACACTAGCACCCAAACACTAGCTCTCCAACACTAGCACTCCAACTCCAACACTAGCACTCTAACACTAGCACTTCAACACTAGCTCTCCAACACTTGCACTCCAACTCCAACACTAGCACTTTTAACACTAGCACTCCAACACTAGCACTCCAACACTAGCACTCCAACACTAGCATTCCAACACTAGCACTCCAACACTAGCACTCCAACACTAGCACTCCAACACTAGCACCCCAACACTAGCTCTCCAACACTAGCACTCCAACACTAGCACTCCAACTCCAACACGAGCACTCCAACACTAGCACTCCAACACTATCACTCTAACACTGGCACTCCAACACGAGCCTTCTAACACTAGCACTCTAACACTAGCACTCAAACACTAGCACTCCAACACTAGCACTCCAACACTAGCACTCCAACAGTACTCCAACACTAGCTCTCCAACACTAGCACTCCAACACTAGCACTCCAAAACTAGCACTCCAACACTAGCATTCTAACACTAGCACTCCAACACTAGCACTCCAACACTAGCACTCCAACACTAGCACCCCAACACTAGCTCTCCAACACTAGCACTCCAACACTAGCACTCCAAAACTAGCACTCCAACACTAGCATTCTAACACTAGCACTCCAACACTAGCACTCCAACACTAGCACTCCAACACTAGCACTCCAACTCCAACATTAGCACTCCAACACTAGCACTCCAACACCAGCACTACAACACTAGCATTCCAACACTAGCACTCCAACACTAGCACTCCAACACTAGCACTCCAACACTAGCACCCCAACACTAGCTCTCCAACACTAGCACTCCAACACTAGCACTCCAACTCCAACACGAGCACTCCAACACTAGCACTCCAACACTATCACTCTAACACTGGCACTCCAACACGAGCCTTCTAACACTAGCACTCTAACACTAGCACTCAAACACTAGCACTCCAACACTAGCACTCCAACACTAGCACTCCAACACTAGCACTCCAACAGTACTCCAACACTAGCTCTCCAACACTAGCACTCCAACACTAGCACTCCAAAACTAGCACTCCAACACTAGCATTCTAACACTAGCACTCCAACACTAGCACTCCAACACTAGCACTCCAACACTAGCACCCCAACACTAGCTCTCCAACACTAGCACTCCAACACTAGCACTCCAAAACTAGCACTCCAACACTAGCATTCTAACACTAGCACTCCAACACTAGCACTCCAACACTAGCACTCCAACACTAGCACTCCAACTCCAACATTAGCACTCCAACACTAGCACTCCAACACCAGCACTACAACACTAGCACTACAACACTAGCACTCCAACACTAGCACTCCAACACTAGCACTCCAACAGTACTCCAACACTAGCTCTCCAACACTAGCACTCCAACACTAGCACTCCAAAACTAGCACTCCAACACTAGCATTCTAACACTAGCACTCCAACACTAGCACTCCAACACTAGCACTCCAACACTAGCACCCCAACACTAGCTCTCCAACACTAGCACTCCAACACTAGCACTCCAACTCCAACACGAGCACTCCAACACGAGCCTTCTAACACTAGCACTCTAACACTAGCACTCAAACACTAGCACTCCAACACTAGCACTCCAACACTAGCACTCCAACACTAGCACTCCAAAACTAGCACTCCAACACTAGCACTCCAACACTAGCACTCTAACACTAGCACTCGAATTCTAGCACTCCAACACTAGCACTCCAACACTAGCACTCCAACACTAGCACTCCAACTCCAACATTAGCACTCCAACACTAGCACTCCAACACCAGCACTACAACACTAGCACTCCAACACTAGCACTCCAACACTAGCACTCCACCTTCAACACTAGCACTCTAACACTAGCACTCCAACACTAGCACTCCAACACTAGCACTCCAACAGTACTCCAACACTAGCTCTCCAACACTAGCACTCCAACACTAGCACTCCAAAACTAGCACTCCAACACTAGCATTCTAACACTAGCACTCCAACACTAGCACTCCAACACTAGCACTCCAACACTAGCACCCCAACACTAGCTCTCCAACACTAGCACTCCAACACTAGCACTCCAACACTAGCACTCCAACACTAGCACTCTAACACTAGCACTCCAATTCTAGCACTCCAACACTAGCACTCCAACACTAGCACTCAAACACTAGCACTCAAACACTAGCACTCCAATTCTAGCACTCCAACACTAGCACTGTACTTACACTGTCGGACATGCTGAATCTCCACTCTGAGCAAGTCCCACAACCAGTGTTAGGCAGCCATTGACATGGAGTATGTGTTTATCGGATGTAGATCCCAAAAGTGGGAGACATACGTTATAAATCCTATTGCCTAATGTCTAGTTCCCAATCCAAAGTCAAGTGTCATGTATTAACAACATTGGATCATTCAGTAAGCAGCCATTTTTGTCTTTCCTCGTATCGTATGTCGATTTCCAAGATGTATATTAATAGCTCCAGCTCAAACAGAAAGTAGAAAATTGATCAGCTTCAAAAGCATTACTCTAGCTATCAATGTCTGTTGACATAGAGGTGATAATTATCTGGCAATAAGGGCTACTGAAACAGACACTCAGTTCTGTCAATGTCTGTCAAATTTTTTATATATCTTTTGGGGGGGGGCGGGATCTAAAAGGTTTAGAGAGTTTGCTAACACTTCAGTAATAAAAAGTGTAAATATGAAATATCAGAAAAGTGCTTAAAAAAGCATATTACTGATATTGCCACCACTAAAATATTAAAAAGTTATTTTTTTATATTTTTTTTACCTTTTGATTATTTTTTTGGCGCTACTTTAAGCTCACAGTAAATGTGACTCCTATTCCGTCTGTCTCCTAATGCATTATGATAAATGTTTAATCCATTGCTGCAGTGTAATATCAATGAAGGATTGTACACTGTGCAGACATTGTGTCATTTCCAGGTAAGCATGTTGATTTCCTAGAAGTCTAGAAATAGTTCAGCACAAAGCAAACTGAAAGTGAAAGTAACGTTTGATTAAGAAAGAGCTACTCCAGCTATCAAGGTGTGTTGATATGGAGGTGGTTGATTGTCTTATCTGGCCACAGCAACTGAAACACAGGCACATGATACTGCTTCAGTGCAAATCTCTTTTTTTTTAAATATTTACAGAGTTTTCCAACACTACAGTAATGAAATTTGGAAAAAAAGTAAAACCTGAAAAGTTCTATTTTAAGCTTACTTTGATATCATGGTCATGTCACCGTGAAAGCCATTTTGAAAATGTCAAATGTCATTTTTTTCAATAGCTCAGACACTTTGCATGTATCACTATTTAATTTGATATGCAGTATGTTAAATGCATAAAAACATTTTTTAAATAAATTGTAAGCATGGTAAGTGATCAGTATTGATTATTGATTAGTATTGATTGCTGATCAGTATTGATTATTGATTAGTATTGATTGCTGATCAGTATTGATTATTGATTAGTATTGATTGCTGATCAGTATTGATTAGTACTGATTGCCGATCAGTATTGATTATTGATCAGCATTGATAATTGATTACCGTATATGACCGCGGACAAGCCGACCCTGTAGATAAGCCGAGGTGTTAACTTGACCATTGAAATACGAAAGAAAATGATATGACCCACAGATAAGCCGAACCAGGAAGTGAAAGGCAAAAAACACTGCGAAGTCGGACTGCAAGACATGTGCCGGTACTCGCAGATATTAAAAAATATAAGATGTGGGAAGCTGTTTCTCTTGGGTTTTTTTAATCTCATAATGATTGTTATATGTTGCCATCAACAACAGGCGCCATTTTGTGAATCGGTGTATATAGAATTATGAACCCGTGAGAAAATATATCAGCTAGAGCAAAGACTCGCAGTTTGAATTCAGCATCGTAAGCATGGCATTTTTTGTTTCAAACTCAGGAGGAGAATGTCAGTCAGTAAAAATATCCCAACTTTTATAACCCACTTTATACCACTATTGTATGTTAATCCAATTGAATTAAATAAACTATGAACACATTGAATGACCATCACTTACTCACAGGCTTCTCCAGTTTATTAAACTAATCTCTCGAAAACAAAAAATTTAATCCCCTACTCCCAACACGATCGCTAAGCACCCACAACTTGAAAATGTTTGTGTAAACAACATAACAATACCAATCGGCCCGTTATTATCAGTGCTCCCTCATTTCCTTGTGTACCGTGTTGCTTTTTAAACAACAGGAAGCAATCACAGTGGTCACACTTTGTGACGTCACAGGAAACAGCTGATCACATGTTTTTGCAAATGGCGAACGGAAAAACTCGCCGTTACAGTTATTTGCCTCTTTCAATAAAGGTAGACACTTGTTCACTATCAATTTATGAACTTTGCAAAACGTACGTAATAGCTATTGGCAATTTCATCTGGGGATTATATATTATAGCTGTGAATTACATATATTGTGACATGTAAAGATTGTGGAGTTTATGAAGAACGATAAACTTTGAGCATTCAATTGAAAACTTATTATCGGAAGTAGTAACATGCATAACATTTTTTTATAATGACAACATTGGTGTATAATAATAACTTTCTTGATAATTTATAACAATAATGGCTCTAGTCGTGGCAACTTCCCAACTTTCGGGAAGTTGTAATTTATCGGACCGTCATTCAGGCGATGTTTCTGATAGATCACGATCTGAAAAATACTATCATGAAAGTGTATCCCGTGGATAAGCCGACCCCTTTCTACAGAATCTTTTTTCTGGTCCTCAAAATTCGGCTTATACGCGGTCATATACGGTAGTACTGATTGCTGATCAATATTGATTATTGATCAGTATTGATTATTGATTCGTACCAATTAATGCAAAAATGTCAACAGTGAGACAGAATTGGATTTTCTTCAGGGCAAATCATATTTGCATGGCTTCAGATAATTTTTTAACCATTGATTATATACTCCCATGTTATGAATCACTTTGGGTATTTATAGTTTTCTTTCGGTAATCAGTATACAAAATTTTCCAAGGAAACCCCTCTATTAGGTTTTTTAAGCCAATGAGTAGACATTTGTTTTAGAATATGTCTGCTTAAAATGATACTTCAGTTAACTCCTAATTCGCACCTGTTCATGTGGTGTGTCGACCTGTGAAGATCCGGGGTAGAATAGGTCTTCAGCAACCCATGCTTACCATAAAAGGCGACTATGCTTGTCTTAAGAGGTGACTAACGGGATCAGTTGGTCAGGCTCGCTGACTTGGTTGATACATGTCATCAATCCCAGTTGCGTTGATCGATGCTCATGATGTTAATCACTGGATTGTCTGGTCCAGACTCGATTATTTCACAGACTGCCGTCATATAGCTGGAATATTGCTGAGTACGGCGTTAAAAAACAAACAAACAAATCCAGGTGTGTCACTTGTCACTGAGCTCACAACAGAGATATTTTATACATGTCTAACCTACAGTAGGCATGCAGTAGTGCATTAACTGTAGTGGAATTCATGTATAGACGATGCCAGCATTTGATCAGTAAAATCTGTGAACAAACACAGGTATGCAGACTAAAACACCTACACTAGGCAAGTACACACACTGCTGTTACACCGCAACTATTGTTGTTGTTTTTTGGGTGAGGTGAAATATGCACTAGCACTCCAACACTAGCACTCCAACACTAGCACTCCAACACTAGCAGTCCAACACAAGCACTCCAACGCTCCTACACTTGCACTCCAACACTAGCACTCTAACACTAGCACTCCAACACTAGCAATCCAACACTAGCAATCCAACACTAGCACTCCAACACTAGCACTCCAACACAAGCACTCCAACACTAGCACTCCAACACTAGCACTCCAACACAAGCACTCCAACACTAGCACTCCAACACAAGCACTCCAACGCTCCAACACTAGCACTCCAACACTAGCACTCCAACACTAGCACTCCAACACAAGCACACTAGCAATCCAACACTAGCACTCCAACACTAGCACTCCAACACAAGCACTCCAACGCTCCAACACTAGCACTCCAACACTAGCACTCCAACACTAGCACTCCAACACAAGCACTCCAACGCCCCAACACTAGCACTCCAACACTAGCACTCCAACACTAGCACTGTACTTACACTGTCCGACATGCTGAATCTCCACTCTGAGCAAGTCCCACAACCAGTGTTAGGCAGCCATTGACATGGAGTATGTGTTTATCGGATGTAGATCCCAAAAGTGAGAGGCATACGTTGTAAATCCTATTGCCTAATGTCTAGTTCCCAATCCAAGTGTCATGTGTTAACAATGTTGGATCATTCAGTAAGCAGATATTTTTCCTCGTAACATATGTTGATTTCCAAGATGTTTATTAATAGCCCCAGCTCAAACAGAAAGTAGAAAATTGATCAGCTTCAAAAGCGTCACTCTAGCTATCAATGTCTGTTGACATAGAGGTGATAATTATCTGACAATAAAGGCTACTGAAACAGACACTCAGTTCTGTCAATGTCTGTCCAATTTGGTGCCCAAAAAATTTTATGAAAAAGGTTTAGAGAGTTTGCTTACACTACAGTAATGAAAAGTGTAAATATGAAATATCAGAAAAGTGCTTAAAAAAAAGCATATGACTCATATTGCCACCACTAAAATATTAAAAAGTTATTTTTTAATAATTTTTTTTTACCTTTTGATTATTCTTTTGGCGCTACTTTAAGCTCACAGTAAATGTGACTCCTATTCCGTCTGTCTCCTAATGCATTATGATAAATGTTTAATCCATTGCTGCAGTGTAATATCAATGAAGGATTGTACACTGTGCAGACATTGTGTCATTTCCAGGTAAGCATGTTGATTTCCTAGAAGTCTAGAAATAGTTCAGCACAAAGCAAATTGAAAGTGAAAGTAACATTTGATTAAGAAAGAGCCAATTTAAGGTATGTTGATATGGAGGTGGTTGATTGTCTTATCTGGCCACAGCAACAACTGAAACACTGGTACATGATACTGCTTCAGTGCAAATCTTTTTTTTAAATATTTGCAGATTTTTCCAACACTACAGTAATGAAATTTGAAAAAAGTACAACCTGAAAAGTTCTATTTTAAGCTCACTTTGATATCATGGTCATGTCACCGTGAAAGCCATTTTGAAAATGTCAAACGCATTTTTTTCAATAGCTCAGACACTTTGCATGTATCACTATTTAATTTGATATGCAGTATGTGATATGCAGAATAACATGTTATAAATAAATTGTAAGTGAGTCCATGACATTTGATTGGATAATAATTTGCATTTTATATATAATTTGCATTTTATGTATAATTATGATTTGGCCACGCCCACAAATGGACTACTCTTTCCTGATTGGCTGATAAAAGAATGTGCAGGGCTTGTTGTTAAATAAGCTCTCTGTGAGGATATTGTTGACATATTCACTGTCAAACTTACAAATGTCTCGAAGTAAGAGCTTGGTCCCTGTGTACTCCTTTATTAATCATTATTTAACCTCCGATGTGTCAAATCTGATGTGACAAAGTTATTTTTGTCTCGATTATATTTTCCAGTCCCAAACATGTTCAGTAAACTACGGTTATAACAAACTCAAAGGGACCACTAATTTTTGTTCGTTTTATCCATCATTGGTTATACGCATTTTGACTATCAGACATCTTTTCTCAAGTCATGTGACATCATTTTACTCAATAAAGAACAAAAGGGTGCACTGTACATTTTCAGAATATGCCCACTTCAATCACTGTGTTACTATTGCTAACTGAGGGTGTAATTTGAGGACAAATGTATTTGTACTTAAGAGTAATTCAATTGCCTTCAATTGTTTATTGGGGGCGGCCAGGTAGCCTAATGGTTAAAGCGTTCACTCGTCATGCCGAAAACCCGGGTTCGATTCCCGACATGGGTACAATGTGTGAAGCCCATTTCTGGTGTCCCCCGCCGTGATATTGCTGGAATATTGCTTAAAGCGGCGTAAAACCATACTCACTCAATTGTTTATTGATGCTTTGAATGGCAGCGTGATCGGGTGGTCAGGCTCGCTGACTTGGTTGAAGCATGTCATTGATCCCAATTGCGTGGATCGATGCTCATGATATCAATCACTGGATTGTCTGGTCCAGACTCGATTATGTACAGACCGCCGTCATATAGCTGGAATATTGCTGAGTGCAGCGTAAAACAACAAACCAACCAAACAATATCCGTTATTTTGTTATGAGCGTGTTAGTTATATCCATCAGCTTAATTTATATGATAAAATATATGGCAAATGGACGGGACCAAAACAACATTTTGTTATATCCCTCAGTTCGTTATAAGCATAGTTTACTGTACATCCATCATCAATATACTCTGATAAGACGATCTCGGCACAACTCATCGGTCATCACAGTTTTATTAACAACTCTTTAAAAGACGGACCGCCTCCGTGGTCTAGTGGTAGAGCGTCAGCCCGGGGAGCAAAGGGTCCTGGGTTCGATCCCTGGCCGCGTCATACCAAAAGACGTTAAAAGATGGTACTTGTTGTTTCCCTGTCTGGCGCTCGGCATTAAGGGGCTAAAACAAGGACTGGTCGGCTCGGAGTCAGTATACTGTGTCTGAGTTGGGTATTCATGTTAAACTGCTGCATGGTATCTCAGTGAGCTAGCACTATAAATCGGCATCAGTCCGGACTGGTACAAGCAGCCACACAAACATACACACGTACATGCACGTCGCTATATAAGTGCAATAATCTTAGACGCGACGTTAAACCCCATTTCACCTCACCTCACCTTTAAAAGACGGAAATCTCCACTGCATTGAGTTCAGTGTGTCAAAGGCTTATTGTCTTGTAGTTACACCCAGTGACACCTAATTTCAAAGAAACATTTAATTGATGTGTCAATCAGAGACTAACATATCATTTGATCAACACCATGGACATAAGTGAACAGAGTCATGTGGTTGTCACGCATTTATCTTGTGATTACAAGTTGTGGAATGTGTAAACATGGTTAAATAAGTCAGCAACGATTATAGGCAGGGTTTAGTAATAACACTGTTTTCTTGTTCATCCATGGGCGTCTTCAGAATTAAACTAGGGAGCCCTTTTGGTACATGTCATGAAAAGGTCAAAAGTCAGGGTCACAACAGAAAAACTCACAAAAGTGTTTGTGGTTACTGAGATAGATATAAAAATGAGATCAATGTCATATATAATTTGGGGGTGCGGGTAGCCTAGTGGTCAAAGCGTTCGCTTGTCACGCTGAAGACCGGGGTTCGATTCCCCACATGGGTACAATGTGTGAAGCCCATTTCTGTCCCCTGCCGTGATATTGCTGTGGCTCACACTTGAATGCACTCGCTCTCATCTCAGGGAGCTGACAAGTGTTGGCGATCCAACACCCTTTTCGATCTAAAGGAGCTGACACGCTTTTCCAACCAACACCACTTTTCGATATCAGGGAGCTGACACGCTTTTTCGATCTTAGAAAATGACAGGCTTTCCGATCCAAGATTCCTTTTCGATCCTTAGGGTTAGTCTGGATAGCGCTAGGGTTAGCCGTAAATTATTACTTTTTACAGTGCTTCCAATAACCCAATGAGGGTAATCCTATTAGAGTATAGTCTGTGATAGCACGTTTTGTCGCTCGATTGGTTACTCATTTTGATGGACAATGGCAGGCGTGGTTTCTTCAAGAAGATGAATGGAGAGGGTGTGATGTCAGTAACACACGTCCGTAGTTCACTGTTTACTTGACTGCGTGTTAATGAGGTGCAAATGATCCATTAAGCGAGCACTAATAATATATGATGGCACTCTTGGTCCAGTTGTAGAGCGTTGGGTAATTAATGTACTAATTAGTATGATGATGCATGTCATCGATCCCAATTGCATAGATCAAGGCTCATGATGTTAATCACTGGATTGTCTGGTCCAGACTTGATTATTTACAGACTGCCTTCATATAGCTGGTATATTGCTGAGCGTGGCGTTAAACAACAAACAAACAAAAGTTATTTAATTTATTCTTTCTTAGAAGAATGATGTGTTGAAAGATTGCTGTGTAATGTATGATTTTCCTAATCTCATTCATCATGAATCGTCAATCAATTATTGATTACAAGCCAATGAATTCCCAATACTAATAGACACCAAGTGAAAGAGCAAAAAGAATCGTTCTAAATAATTTGCTGTCTAGAGTTACTTCCCTTAAGCGTGCCAGGAATCTTTGATCACCTACCGTATATGACCGCGGATAAGCCGACCCCGTAGATAAGCCGAGGTGTTAATTTGACCATTGAAATACGAAAGAAAATGATATGACCCGCAGATAAGCCGAATCAGGAATTGAAAGACAAAAAACACTGCGAAGTCGGACTGCAAGACATGTGCCGGTACTCGCAGATATTCAAAAATATAAGATGAAAAACGTTGTAATTATATTGAAAAAGTCATTATTATTTCTAATAAAGATTTAACAATCTGTATCCCGTGGATAAGCCGACCCCTTTCTACAGAATCTTTTTTCTGGTCCTCAAAATTCGGCTTATACGCGGTCATATACGGTAATATGAACATTGGTTTGTCACAAACTTGGTAAATGTCTAGGACCAGTATCACTTTCCTCCCCTGCTCAGCCGAAATGATGTGATGTAACTGAAATACTCACTCACTTTGTCAGATGTCCTGAGGATTGCAGGACAAATAAGACCCAGTTCTCCTGCTTCTAGTAAGGGCCCTCTTAATAAGAGATCAGGTGGCTGCTTGTCACTGTACCCAGACTTGATTATTTCCTGTTCGGGTCTGGAATAATGTGCACAGAGGCATTAAACAACACTCACTCACTCACTCACTCACTCACTCACTCACTCACTCACTCACTCACTCACTCACTCACTCACTCACTCACTCACTCACTCACTCACTCACTCACTCACTCACTCACTCACTCACTCACTGTGACACAACTTCTGGTTGCAGGTCCACGACTTGGGTCATCACCCGTACGGAGCATCGTCCAATGCCTGGCCAGGAAGGAAGACACAGACGAGTTCTACACCATCAAGGTCAGGGTCAGCTCTTGTGCTGTGTCACCGATAGAAGTAACCATAAACATCTAAGGCAACATTCTTGTGCTGTGTCAGCGATAGAAGTAACCGTAAACATCTAAGGCAATGTTCTTGTGCTGTGTCACCGATAGAAGTAACTGTTAACATCTAAGGCAACGTTCTTCTGCTGTGTCACCGATAATAGTAACCGTAAACATCTAAGGCAACGTTCTTGTGCTGTGTCAGCGATAGAAGTAACTGTAAACATCTAAGGCAATGTTCTTGTGCTGTGTCACCGATAGAAGTAACCGTAAACATCTAAGGCAACGTTCTTCTGCTGTGTCAGCAATAGAAGTAACCGTAAACATCTAAGGCAATGTTCTTGTGCTGTGTCAGCAATAGAAGTAACTGTAAACATCTAAGGCAATGTTCTTGTGCTGTGTCAGCGATAATAGTAACCGTAAACATCTAAGGCAACGTTCTTGTGCTGTGTCAGCGATAGAAGTAACTGTAAACATCTAAGACAATGTTCTTGTGATGTGTCAGTGATAGAAGTAACTGTAAACATCTAAGACAACGTTCTTGTGCTGTGTCACCGATAGAAGTAACCGTAAACATCTAAGACAACGTTCTTGTGCTGTGTCACCGATAGAAGTAACCGTAAACATCTAAGGCAACGTTCTTGTGCTGTGTCAGCGATAATAGTAACCGTAAACATCTTAGGCAACGTTCTTGTGCTGTGTCAGCGATAGAAGTAACTGTAAACATCTAAGGCAATGTTCTTGTGATGTGTCAGTCATAGAAGTAACTGTAAACATCTAAGACAACGTTCTTGTGCTGTGTCACCGATAGAAGTAACCGTAAACATCTAAGACAACGTTCTTGTGCTGTGTCACCGATAGAAGTAACCGTAAACATCTAAGGCAACGTTCTTGTGCTGTGTCAGCGATAATAGTAACCGTAAACATCTTAGGCAACGTTCTTGTGCTGTGTCAGCGATAGAAGTAACTGTAAACATCTAAGGCAATGTTCTTGTGATGTGTCAGTGATAGAAGTAACTGTAAACATCTAAGACAACGTTCTTGTGCTGTGTCACCGATAGAAGTAACCGTAAACATCTAAGACAACGTTCTTGTGCTGTGTCACCGATAGAAGTAACCGTAAACATCTAAGGCAACATTCTTGTGCTGTGTCAGTGATAGAAGTAAGTGTAAACATCTAAGGCAACATTCTTGTGCTGTGTCAGCCATAGAGGTAACTGTAAACATCTAAGGCAATGTTTTCTTGTGCTGTGTCAGCGATAGAAGTAACCGTAAACATCTAAGGCAATGTTCTTGTGCTGTGTCAGCGATAGAAGTAACTGTAAACATCTAAGGCAACGTTCTTTTGCTGTGCCAGCAATAGAAGTAACCGTAATTATCTAAGGCAACGTTCTTTTGCTGTGTCAGCGATAGAAGTAACTGTAAACATCTAAGGCAACGTTCTTGTGCTGTGTCAGTGATAAAAGTAACCGTAAACATCTAAGGCAACGTTCTTGTGCATGTTGGCTAGTGCTCTCCTCAGTCCCTGATGGCCTTGTACAACAAACAATGATAATGTGATGCATATAATATGTTGAAAAACACTAGGAGGAACATGCCTCACAATGCATCCTCTAGGGCAGTTGGGTGACCTATTCATAAAGCGTTCGCTTGTCACGACGAAGGTCCATGTTCAATTCCCAACATGCCTACAATGTGAAGCCCATTTCTGGTGTCCCCTGCCGTGTCATTTCTAGAATATTGCTAAAAGCAGCCCAAGACCCAACTAACTCACTGAAGGCAAACCTTTTTGGAACTGTAAAACCACAAGACTTTTATTTTCTATCAGTTTAAAGGGAGAATATGTTCCATTGTATTGTTCCCATTTCTAGTCTCGATATAGATGCTGTGATTAGTGCCATGTTTGAATTTTAGCCATTTGATAACTGTAAGTAAGGTAATATATATCTGTTAAAGTGATGTGCATCATACAATTTAGGTTAGCTGATGAACTATTAACATTTGAACACTTAAATCAAACATGTTAGGATTGCCAATAACCCTACAGCCTAGTTCAGCTTTAGTCATGCTGATGGTGCTTACACTTTTGTATTTTTGTGTTTGTGATATAGTTTGTGTTTTCCAGATCCTGACGATGGAGGACCCTGAGAAGGAGAGCCAGGACGACCGCCAGGGGAAGATGTTGATGCACACGGAGTACTCGCTGTTGTCCCTGCTGCACCAGCAAGATGGCGTTGTCCACCACCACGGGCTCTTCAAGGTACTCACTCCAGCCTCACCCTGTCTACTGTACTGCCTCACCCTGTCTTCACTCCAGCCTCACCCTGTCTACTGTACTGCCTCACCCTGTCTACACTCCTGCCTCACCCTGTCTACTGTACTGCCTGACCCTGTCTTCACTCCTGCCTCATCCTGTCTACTGTACTGCCTCATCCTGTCTACACTCCTGCCTTACCCTGTCTACTGTACTGCCTCACCCTGTCTTCACTCCTGCCTCACCCTGTCTACTGTACTGCCTCACCCTGTCTTCACTCCTGCCTCACCCTGTCTACTGTACTGCCTGACCCTGTCTACACTCCTGCCTCACCCTGTCTACTGTACTGCCTCACCCTGTCTACACTCCTGCCTCACCCTGTCTACTGTACTGCCTCACCCTGTCTACACTCCTGCCTCACCCTGTCTACTGTACTGCCTCACCCTGTCTACACTCCTGCCTCACCCTGTCTTCACTCCTGCCTCATCCTGTCTACTGTACTGCCTCACCCTGTCTTCACTCCTGCCTCACCCTGTCTACTGTACTACCTCACCCTGTTTTCACTCCTGCCTCACCCTGTCTACTGTACTGTCTCAGTCTGTCTACAGTCCTGCCTCACCATGTCTACTGTACTGCCTCACCCTGTCTACTGTACTGCCTCAGCCTGTCTTCACTCCTGCCTCACCCCTGCCTCACCCTGTCTACTGTACTGCCTCACCCTGTCTACTGTACTGCCTCAGCCTGTCTTCACTCCTGCCTCACCCTGTCTACCAGCAACACCCTTCCTTCTGCATTAAAAATGAGTTATTCATACTTCCTTCAGGATGAGTGTCTGGAGGAGACCCAGTCTGTAGACAACAACGGCCTGGTGGAGTACACTGGGCGCCGCCGGAAGCGTCTGTGTCTGGTCCTCGACTGTCTGATCCCTCACGACTTCAGCACCATGACAGCGGACCTCATCAACCTCCAGCACTACGTCATCAAGGAGAAGAAGCTCTCCGAGAAGGAAGCCATCGTCATCTTCTACGACATTGTGCGTGTGGTTGACAGTCTGCATAAGGTCAGTTTGGACACGATTCACACAAGCCAGACTTGTGATTGTGAACTGGCTGAAGAATCATGAACACTCCTGTACATAGACCAACTTTATTCCTTTTGTTCTCTCTTTCTTAGGATTAAAAAAATAAAAAAATTGGTTCTCAGGCAATGACTTTTGAAAATATATAGCTGGTGGGCAGTGTTTTTTTGTCTTGTTAAAACTAGAATGTTACCAAATAAACAGTTGTGTACCATCAACCTGGGAAAGGGCCTCCCTACATAAATAAGCATACAAACTCCTATTGCCGCCATGACCATAATGCGAGATGTGCAGTAAAGCAGTGCACATGTAAAGGGAAGTAACTGTGTGCTATACTGGATTGCATTGTTTTTAAGTATTGGGATTTTTTTTATTGTTTTGGAAAATGGAAATATAAACAAAATGTGCTTCAGACTTTATGATGTTGCAGGTGGTACCTGAGAACCAAGACTATTATATATTTTTTAAGCCTTAATGCGACATTTAATCTTTTATCTATGATGATGGGTTGGAATCCGATTTCACAACGACAATGTTTCTAGGTTTGTCAGCTACATACCCGTGCTCCAGGGTTTCGCTGAAGATGTCAACGCCCATATTAAGCTGACATGCCATGGTGTAACTGGAATACTGTTGAGAGCGGCATTAAACTCACTCACTCACTCACTCACTCACTCACTCACTCACTCACTCATGAGAGCCTATTATAATCCAATAGTTCCCCAGGTTCAGGGATATACAATTGGTGGGTAGACATGCAATTCCTGGGTAGATATACAATTGGTGGGTAGACATGCAATTCCTGGGTAGATATACAATTGCTGGTCAGATATACAATTGCTGGTCAGATATGCAATTGCTGTGTAGATATACAATTGCTGGTCAGATATGCAATTGCTGTGTAGATATACAATTACTGGTCAGATATGCATTTGCTGTGTAGATATACAATTGCTGGTCAGATATGCATTTGCTGTGTAGATATAGAATTGCTGGGTAGATATGCAATTGCTGGTCAGGTATACAATTGCTGTTCCGATATGCAATTGCTGTGTAGATATACAATTGCTGTTCCGATATGCAATTGCTGTGTAGATATACAATTGCTGGGTAGATATGCATTTGCTGTGTAGATATACTATTGCTGGGTAGATATGCATTTGCTGTGTAGATATACAATTGCTGGTCAGATATGCATTTGCTGTGTAGATATACAATTGCTGGTCAGATATGCATTTGCTGTGTAGATATAGAATTGCTGGGTAGATATGCAATTGCTGGTCAGGTATACAATTGCTGGTCAGATATACAATTGCTGGTCAGATATGCAATTGCTGTGTAGATATACAATTGCTGGTCAGATATGCATTTGCTGTGTAGATATACAATTGCTGGTCAGATATGCATTTGCTGTGTAGATATAGAATTGCTGGGTAGATATGCAATTGCTGGTCAGGTATACAATTGCTGGTCAGATATGCAATTGCTGTGTAGATATAGAATTGCTGGGTAGATATGCAATTGCTGGTCAGGTATACAATTGCTGGTCAGATATGCAATTGCTGGTCAGATATACAATTGCTGGTCAGATATGCAATTGCTGTGTAGATATACAATTGCTGGTCAGATATGCATTTGCTGTGTAGATATACAATTGCTGGGTAGATATGCATTTGCTGTGTAGATATACAATTGCTGGGTAGATATGCATTTGCTGTGTAGATATACAATTGCTGGTCAGATATGCAATTGCTGTGTAGATATACAATTGCTGGTCAGATATGCATTTGCTGTGTAGATATACAATTGCTGGTCAGATATGCATTTGCTGTGTAGATATACAATTGCTGGGTAGATATGCAATTGCTGGTCAGGTATACAATTGCTGGTCAGATATGCAATTGCTGTGTAGATATCCAATTGCTGGTCAGATATGCAATTGCTGTGTAGATATACAATTGCTGGTCAGATATGCATTTGCTGTGTAGATATACAATTGCTGGGTAGATATGCATTTGCTGTGTAGATATACAATTGCTGGGTAGATATGCATTTGCTGTGTAGATATACAATTGCTGGTCAGATATGCAATTGTTGTGTAGATATACAATTGCTGGTCAGATATGCATTTGCTGGTCAGATATACAATTGCTGGTCAGATATGCATTTGCTGTGTAGATATACAATTGCTGGGTAGATATGCATTTGCTGTGTAGATATACAATTGCTGGGTAGATATGCAATTGCTGTGTAGATATACAATTGCTGGTCAGATATGCATTTGCTGTGTAGATATACAATTGCTGGTCAGATATGCATTTGCTGGTCAGATATACAATTGCTGGTCAGATATGCATTTGCTGTGTAGATATACAATTGCTGGGTAGATATGCATTTGCTGGTCAGGTATACAATTGCTGGTCAGATATACAATTGCTGGTCAGACATGCAATTGCTGGGTAGATATGCAATTGCTGGGTAGATATGCAATTGTTGTGTAGATATGCAAGTGACTATGGTGTTGCATGTTGTTGTCTGCAGAAGAACATCGTTCACCGAGACCTGAAGCTGGGCAACATGATGCTCAACATGCGGACTCGTCGCATCACCATCACCAACTTCTGTCTCGGCAAACACCTGGTGTCGGAGAGTGACCTCCTGCGTGATCAGCGAGGCAGCCCCGCCTACATCAGCCCTGATGTCCTCAGTGGTAGGCCACATTAAAAGAGTTAATATACATATTCATGGTTTAATTATACCGATTACCGGTATTTATACCAAGGTTCTGTCCGTCCGTCCGCCATCTGTCTGTCTGTCCATCTGAAAGCTTTGTCCGCGCGATTTCTCTTAAACTATTCAGTGGATTCATCTCAAACTTAGTACATATAATCTGGTGAACTTGAACAGAGAATTTTTTTTATTTATTTTTTTAATTTATAAAATTTAAATACACGACTTCACAACTAAAGTTTACCATTACCACGAAGAGTGTGTGGTATTAATAACGATGTCACAGTCTGAGATAGGATAAGTATATAAATATACAATTTATTAGAAAATTTACAAATTCTAAAGAACACATGTAGACATCGTAATGAATGCCTTGTGGCACACTTTCTATCCCGGGGGCTGTCGGGGAGCCTAGTGGTTAAAGCATTCGCTCGTCACGCCGAAGACCCGGGTTCGATTCCCGACATGGGTACAATGTGAGAAGCCCATTTCTGGTGCCCCCCGCCGTGATATTGCTGGAATATTGCTAAAAGCGGCGTAAAACCATACTCACTCAATTGTTTATTGATGCTTTGAATGGCAGCGTTTGGCCGCGGATATTTTGATAGGCAGATTGGTGACATGTGAGAAGCTCAGCTCAGGGATTAACAGTTTGTCATACAATTAAACATTATCATTGACAGAGTACACACCGCACCACAAAGTGAGTTCGCTATATCCATTATTTAGATCCGGGTTAGAATAGGTCTTCAGCAACCCATTCTTGTCGTAAAAGGCGACTGTGCTTATCATAAAAGGCGACTAACGGGATCGGGTGGTCAGGCTCGCTGACTTGGTTGAAGCATGTCATTGATCCCAATTGCGTGGATCGATGCTCATGATATCAATCACTGGATTGTCTGGTCCAGACTCGATATTGCTGGAATATTGCTAAAAGCGGCGTAAAACCATACTCCTCCCTCTCATTCTCTCACTTTCGATCCCGGAATCAGTTTTCCTGTCACTAATTAATGTTTTATCCATGACATTCACAAGTGTCGATGTCTTGTTGTCAGGCAAGCCCTACCTGGGCAAACCAAGCGACATGTGGGCTCTCGGTGTGGTGCTGTTCACCATGTTGTATGGCCAGTTCCCCTTCTACGACAGTCTGCCCACGGAACTCTTCAGGAAAATCAAGTCTGCAGAGTACAGCATACCCAAGTAAGTCTCTGGAATGGGTGAGCTGTGTGCAGTGCTGTACATACACCCTGTGCACTCAAAAGAACCCACTCCTCCAATGGTAGATGACCAGATGGTGGAAACACGAATACGTACATACACCAAGAACACAAGTGTCAACACGTGTGGTGTCCCCCAGGGCAGGTGACTTAGTTCACATGTTGGAATTGGTACCCGATATATGAGGCGGATGTAAAAATCTTCCAGTGCCCCTGGGCATCTTGGGTTGTATACTCCCCAGGGAGTTGAGAATGATAACTGAAATGCTAACAGATCCACTGGTCAGGGAACAAATAAAACCGCATTTAAGCAGATACTGGTACATGGACACCTGCGGTATAATAATGTATAATATAATATAATATAAAGTGAGCGGTTGCGAGCATGGGACTGTTAACAGGGAACTAGGCCCGTGAAGAATTCGGGGTAGAATAGGTCTTCAGCAAACCAAGCATGCTGTAAAAGGCGACTGTGCTAGTCGTAAGAGGCGACTAACGGGATCGGGTGGTCAGGCTCACTGACTTGGTTGAAGCATGTCATTGTATCCCAAATGCGTAGATCGATTCTCATGCTGTCAATCACTGGATTGTCTGTCCAGGCTCAATTATTTACAGACTGTCGTCATATAGCTGGAATATTGCTCAGTGCTGCGTTAAAAAACAAACAAAACAAATTTTATTCTACTACCATGTTGTTTCACAAGGCAACTTGTGCTGGAAATATGATGTAAATATTCTTCGGACTTTTCTTCAGAGTTAAGCCTGAATGTTGTGTATGTTGTCAGTGATGGGCGGGTGAGCAAGGCAACAGTGCTTGTGATCCAGAGACTGCTGGTGCTTGAACCACAGACTCGGATGACTGCCGGTCAAGTCCTGGATGACCTCGGGACAATCATTGCCACATGGTACGTACAGCAACTTGATGCAGCTACCTGTACAACACAGCAATACCTAATCTCTACCTGTACAACACAGCAATACCCAATCTCTATCTGTACAACACAGCAATACCCAATCTCTACCTGTACAACACAGCAATACCCAATCTCTACCTGTACAACAGCAATACCCAATCTCTACCTGTACAACACAGCAATACCAAATCTCTACCTGTACAACAGCAATACCCAATCTCTACCTGTACAACACAGCAATACCCAATCTCTACCTGTACAACACAGCAATACCCAATCTCTACCTGTACAACACAGCAATACCCAATCTCTATCTGTACAACACAGCAATACCCAATCTCTACCTGTACAACACAGCAATACCCAATATCTACCTGTACAACACAGCAATACCCAATCTCTACCTGTACAACACAGCAATACCTAATCTCTACCTGTACAAGACAGCAATACCTAATCACTACCTGTACAATACAGCAATACCCAATCTCTACCTGTACAACACAGCAATACCCAATCTCTACCTGTACAACACAGCAATACCCAATCTCTTCCTGTACAATACAGCAATACCCAATCTCTACCTGTACAACACAGCAATACCCAATCTCTTCTTGTACAATACAGCAATACCCAATCTCTACCTGTACAATACAGCAAATGTAAACAGTTTTTAGGGACTGGTCATTTTTTATAGGGAGAGGGTGGGTGGCTAGTCTTAACAAGAGTTTGCCACTAACGTGGCTATATCCCCCGCCCCTGCTGCAGAATTTATGACATAATTAAATCTAAACAAACCCTAACCTTTTTTATCCGAGGTGGAACTTGTCATGGAAATTGAAAAAAAAAGAAGAGTTTGGAACCTAAGTCCATCTTGTTGCCATGGAAACGTAAAAAATGTAAATTTCGAAAATTTCTAAATAGCAAAAGGCACCAGTTCAGCATGTACCTGACAGACATGCAAAGTTTCATGAAAAAGAATTGAACGGTTTCTGAGTTATGCTCCGGAAACGAACCCTACCCTAACAGAACCCTAGTTTTATCTTGTTTCCATGGAAACGTTAAAAATGTAAATTTCTAAAATTTCTAAATAGCAAAAGGCACCAGTTCAGCATGTACCGGACAGACATGCAAAGTTTCCTGAAAAGATATTTAACAGTTTCTGAGTTATGCTCCAGAAACGAAACGAGATGGACGGAGCCTGTTTCTATATCCCACGCCAACTTTGTTGGGCGGGGGATAAAAAAAGAGAGCCCTGTCTGTCAGTGTCTTACGTGTTAAACATTCCCTCCCTTTCTGTCAGTGTTTTACATGTGTTCAATATTCCCTCCCAAGGAGAGCCCTGTCTGCCAGTGTCTTACATGTGTTCAACTTTCCCTCCCAAGGAGAGCCCTGTCTGTCAGTGTCTTACATGTGTTAAACATTCCCTCCCAAGGAGAGCCCTGTCTGTCACTGGACCAAATCAACAAGTGCCAGAGAACCCACCCTCCAAGCCGGACCACCCTCCTGCCCTGCCAGTCCTGACCCAACCAAGTGACCTGGAGGTGAAGCTGCACCAGCTACAGTCCGACTCCCAGAATGAGGCCAAGGCTCAGAAAGTTCACGTTGTGAGGAAAAGGCCAACTAATGCTCAACCCACAGTGAGGAGAGTGAATGTTGATGCCATGCCGTTAACAGCAGACGAACTCCGTGCTCACCAACACCTTCTGCCAAAATGACACAAGTAGGTGTCTGTGGTCACTTCAGTCTCTGTCAGATTTCAGTACTATGAGGTATTTAGTGTGGGAAATGTAGTTGAATGCAGATTTGGTGTTATTCCATATCAGTTCATTACTGATCATGCTTGTCTATGAGGGCAGTGTTCCCGCTGGCTTTTGAAACTGCCAGTCCTTGTGGACTGGCAACTCTTAAAATTACCAGTCCCCCAAATTTTTGCCAGTCTCAACTTTCAACAAATAAAAAAACGTATGAAAATTATTTGGTTATATTTCTTCAGTGAAAAGATGTCATCTCTGAAGTAACTTAGTTAGATCTATAGGTCATTCACACAAACTTCAGTCACAATTTTCTCCCCTTTTTTGTATTTCGAGACAAAGTAGCTACTAATGGATATTTCACCTAGAAATGGACAAGGGGAAACACTGATGGTAACAGACAAGCTGACTTTGTTCGAAAAATGTACTTATATGAATATAAAGTTTTGTTCAACAACAAAGATTTATAAGGTACTTTATTTGCCGGTCCAAAGGGACTGGCAGTCACATGAATTACCGGTCCAAGCCTAATTTTACCAGTAAAAAACTGGTTATTACTGGTAAATGGGAACGCTGATTAGGGTGAGAATTAAAATCCTAAAATTTCAACATGGAAAACAGGGAATCATGATTTTCACATTTACAAAGTGCTCAATTTATGATTGAAATTATCATGTACTAAACACAGGGAGGAGAATGAATATTTTCCTTTTCAGCTGAAACGTTGTTGCATTGTAGTGTGGTCCGTAATTTGGGGGCGTTTATTGGGGAATCCATCAGATTTTAACAAATTTGATGTCACTAAAATTTGCGGACTCTTGTGGACCTGCAGAAGGTTCTCAGCCCTGTAAACAGTGTCATATTTCATTTAAGGCATATGCATGAGAAACAATCGGCAACATGGATATCATATTGTCATGACATTTCCTGAAAATACTATTGTACAGATGTATATAATAAATCATAAATTTTTAATAAACTGTGACGTCACTGTGCATGTCAAATTGTTGTCATTTGTAGACAAGTATGTGATCTAGCCGATGATAAAACACACACAATACAACCTTCCAAACCAGGCATGTCACAAACGGAGAAAATTTACATCCTACAGTGTACTATACAAATACACTTCTAGACTATTCTGTATTAGTACTGTAAGATTTTAGCTGCTAACTTTGGAAGGTTGCTGTCAGTGTTTTATCATTTCAAGACAAATTCTGCGACTGCAGAAAGATTTGCAGAAAATGTAACTTTCCGCAGAATCGCAGAAAAATCGACCAATTTGCCTTTTATTTTATCAATCAGTACACTAATTTTCATTATTTTTAAGCATTTTAATCAAACTTTCCATTCCGTTAGTGCCCAAACAATTAATATGTGATTCAAACATGCAAAATAGGACTCCTACATAAAACAAAATAAAGCTTTTTTAAACGTTCTTGTGGTATCATGACTGTTACTGTTAAAACTGTTTACAGCTAACCATAAATAAATATGACACTATGCATATTTATTTGCATGTCTTGAAATGTCTAAATGCAAGAGATTATAGTTTTTAAAGGAAGAAAATGAGTTTGTATTAATGTTTAAGGGGGAATGTTTTTACCACAGAATTGTGCAATTTTTGCTACATAGTTTTGGTAATTTTCCTAATTTTGATAATTTTACCCCAGAACATGTCTATATGATACAATATTTAAGAACGATTTCCCCAAAATTATTGTAAACAAAATTTAGTTCAACATCCCCCCACCCCCACAAAAAAACACAAAAAAACACTGCCGCCCACACAATAATGTCTAATTCTTGAGAACCAATTCTATTATTTTTTTAAGCTATTTTGATGGGTCTTTTCCATGTGGTCCTCAATTCATGAAAGTATTATAGGGCCCTGAACCCTTGCCTTTCATGCATAGTTTTAACCACTGTGGAAATAGTAGCACCTTCCTTCTACACACCGACCGCCTCCATGATCCAGTGGTAGAGCATCCGCCCAGAGAGTGGAAGGTTCGAGGTTTAATCCTCGGCCACGTCATACCAAAAGGCATGAAAAGATGGTAATTGTTGCTACCCTCTCTGGCGCTCGGCTTTAAGGGACTAAAACAAGGACTGGTCGGCTCGGAGTCAGTAAACTGTGTCTGAGTTGGGTATTCATGTTATACTGCAGAATGGTATCTCAGTGTGCTAGCACTATAAATCAGCATCAGTCCAGACCAGTACATGCAGACACACACATGCATGCACGTCGCTATATAAGTGCAATAATCTTGAACGCGACATTAAACCCCATTTCGCCACACATCACCTCCTTCTCCACACATGTAAACAGTCACAGCAAGTCAATAGCAAGAACCAAAGCATTTTAAAATGATTTATTAATTGTAAAAACTTGAAAATCAAATAAGCAAGTTCTTTTTACAAAACTTGTACATCAAGGTAAATTTATTCATATCAATAAATAGGCCGTTGAGAAGATTATAACACACATGCAATTCCAGAGTCTAGAAAATAGTGATGATCAGATTATGATATTCTGCAGAAACAGTTCTTTGAAGGTAAGTAATGCTGTTATGACTGACTTGAATTCACAGTAGTGACTCTTTAGTTTAATTAACCTCGTAAGGCTGAGCTGGTCAGCAACAACGGGTTCAGGGACATTTTCCCGAGGCAAGAGAGTTAACTGACTATGAAAGTCCAGTTTCCACCCTTGCTGAACTAGGCTGGTATTATGGAGTTACATTTTGGCTGGTCTTGACTGGGCGACGCCATTTTTTTTTAAACAAATGCAAGTGAAACGAGAGGTAGAATCTGACTGGTCCATAGGAGAGGCTTATAAGGGACATAACTTGTAATAACCACTGGTGGCGCTACGATCGAGCCAAGGAATTCGAGCCTAGTTCCGCAAGGGTGGAAACTGGACTTTTACAGTCAGTCAACTTCCTTGCCTCAGGAAGATGGTTCAGGGATATCAGGATGTGTTGTTCAACAATACACTGTGATAAATCTGCCTGAGCCATTATGCATGATATTTCCTCATCAAGTCAAGGATGATGTTGATTGACATCGGACCTTAAAGGGGCACTGATCTAACGCAATTACCCGGACTGGTTGTTGCCTTTGTTATTTGTTTTTTCCCCGTGAGTACCCGGATGATACACAACGCAACTGAGCGTGACCAGAGACTGGGCTTCCGTCTGCAAGGACAGCTAAATAAACTTGGAGGCTGGAGTCAATATTTGTTTTACGCATTTTTGAACATTGATTAGTTTAACCGTGATCTATAAAGATTTCAACAAAAGGCGCATGTTAATTAATTTCTTCAGCCTAAACAAACAGACAAAAAGAACGGCGGAGCTCATCGTATGTCGTCATTTGGAAATACCCCAGATGGTTATAGTTTAATAATAATAAAAAGTATCCATGCAGTGAAAGCATTTTCGGATTTTGGATTGCGTCGATAATACGATTACTACTCACTTGTTGTCATCCACGTTTTCTGGTATAACCCTACACTTGTGTATTTGTCGTCATTCACTTGATGCTCAGTTAATGAATTTATTACAGGTACAATTAGTGGTAGCACCACTTAGATTACCTGACAAAGGTTCCCATTTGGCATTTATTGTGTCTGGGGTAATTATTCAATCTAAATCCAGGTTTGAAGTGAGGTGAAATGTGTTTTATGTAATATGCACGTGGCAGCCCAGCAAGAGGTGAATGATCAGTTCATTTACTTTTTTTGTAAATCAACGGATGGTTCCTAGTCATCAAAGGATTAACAGAAAATACGTTGATTGATTAATCACTGTTATCTTGCACAGTGGATATGTCAAAAGGGAGTGTTTACATGTCTAGGTTTACTAAAACAAAGGGAATACACTCATATCATGGCGTGAAGTGTCGATGTAAAAACAACATACTTTGTTCAAAGGGTTAACTAATAATACGTTGATTGATTGCTCATTGTTATCTATCACTCAATGGATTTTTTAGGAACCGTGGACGTTATGAAAATAGTTGTCACGTGGGCTTTCTCAGCCGACCCTTGAGACTTGACACCTATGTGAAACACCTGAAACAATCAAAGTGATCAGTTGAGAAAGGAACACGGGTTATAATATCCCGAAACGATATATATCTTTAAAAATATTTGATTGTTACAGAGACACGTGACATCGAATAAGTTTCTTTGTACAGCTGCAGACGAGTGGGATATTGTTCCTTTGTGTGGATATTCACGGATACATTCCTCAAACAAGGAAGCTGTCCAAAATTTATACACATAAATTTGGTAGGTTGTAATTATGGTATTTGCATTTTGTTTTCCTTCATTCGCTGTAGCATTGAACCGATTCGTTCTTGTTCCTCTACGTCTTGGTTGGGAAATTCTTCAGATTGACTAAAATTGATTAAGACGATCAAAAGGGCCTAACAACATCACAACAGATTATTATGTTGGATTAGAAGCCAAACAACATAGAAATGAACTTTTCAACATAACATTTTCAGTCTCTTGGTGATGACATTAAACATCAAAATGTTTGGAATTCGTTATCATAATAATACAGATGGAAATGTTTTTCAGCCACTTTGTAAAATAACTGAATATTTAGGCGTTTAATAAATTTGAAAATGTTACACATTTTGACAGTAAAAAAATATACACACTATAAAAAAAAGCAATGCTCAGGTGAAATATTTACTTTGTGTTGCAAGTCAAAATAGTGTAAACGAAAATCGCAAAATTACCAAGCAAGTGACTTATCAAAATTTCGTCACCATTACCGATGCTACCCGCAAACAAACCTACATTTCCTTATTATCTCGAAAACTGTATTTCATTTTGTTGATCAATGTGACCATACGCCCTTATTACTACCCATAAAAGTGACTAATGCGCTTACGAATGGGGCAGCAGAGGTCGCGAACTAGTCTAGATTTCTGCTATACATCCGAGTACTCACTGGGAAAAAACAATAACAAAGGCAACAACCAGTCCCGGGGAATTGCGTTAGATCAGTGCCCCTTTAAGTCTGTGTTGTGTCAGCGCCACAGCAGTGAGAATGTCACACACACCAGGCACAGCAGCATGGAGTAGACGGTCATCGGGGCACCGCCTGAAATTAGAAACAAGCTGAGTGACAAGGAGCATGTACATACTGAGTCAGAGAGAAGCTGCTGATGTTGCAGGTCATGGTTCCAGTGTTTAACCTGCGTCTTATTATCTTCCCTTGTTCCGGCTGGCTTTTGAAACTGCCAGTCCTGGTGGACTGGCAACTCTAGAAATTACCAATCCCCCCTAATTATTTTCAGTCCCATTTTTAAACAAATAAAATAACTTATGAAAATTACCTTGTTTTAATGTTCAATGGAATGACATCATCTCTGAAATAACTTAAATAGATCTACATGTCATTGACACAAGGTTCAGTCACAATTTTCTCTCTCTCTTTTTTTAAAATTCAGACTGTCCCTACAAATATATATTTAACCTCGAAGCCAAGAGAAATTATATTTCCTTGCACTAAGGATAGACAAGGGGAAACCCTGATGGTAACAGACAAGCTGGCTTCGTTAAAAAAATATACTTATATGAATATCACCGATGTTTTGTTCAACAACAAAGATTTATAAGGTACTTTATTTGCCGGTCCACAGGGACTGGCAGTCACATGAATTGACCGTCCAAGCTTAATTTTACCAGTAAAAAAATGGTAATTGCTGGTAAGAAGGATTACTGTCTTCAATGTTTTGGCAATAACAAATATGTTTCCTAAATCTAGAGTGCAACCTTTAGTGATCAAGTGTGGACCAGACAAATCAGTGATGGAGATTATGAGCAACGAGCCACATCGTCGTAGTAATATGGCACACTGTCTACTAACATTCAGTCTGACCACAAGGGCTGGAACAATACACCAACTGTGCAATCCATATGTATCACGGTACCTTGTTCACGATCCAATACGTATGACAATACCTTGTTCACGATCCGATACGTATCACGGTATCTTGTTCACGATCCGATAATATCACGATACCTTGTTCACGATCCGATACGTATCACAATACCTTGTTCACGATCCGATACATATCACGATACCTTGTGCACCATCCGATACGTATCAGGATACCTTGTTCATGATCCAATACGTGGGGTGTGGTGAAAGCCATCTGCTTCACAGACAGAATGGCCAAATACCTGGTACACTGACGATTTGCAGTTGGCAGTGTAAAGTGTGGGGCAATGGATGAATATATTTACGTTTTCACCACTAATTTTCACTATTTTATGTTTGTTGTTTAAAGCCACACTCAACAATATTCCAGCTATATGAAAAGAAGCAAGTCTGAACCAGACAATCCAGTGATTGACATCATGAGCATTGATCCATGCAGGGGTAGAAACTAACATATTACGTCCACTAGTCCTTATAACGATAACATATAGCAAAACCCTTAAATATGGCAAATTTCTACTAGTCCTTATGATACCTTAACTATTGGGCAGTTTGGCAAGGACTACAGGATTAGTGCCAATTTCTAACGCTGCCATGTAGTTTGGATACGATGACATGCATCAAACAGCATTAGAAACTGGCACTAGTCCTATAGACCTTGCCAAACTGCCCAATAGTTAAGGTATCATAAGGACCAGTAGAAATTTGCCATTTTTACATGCTTTGCTATAGGTTATCATTATAATATATAAGGGGACTAGTGGAGTAAAAATGTTAATGGAGTAAAGTCAGCAAGCCTGACCATTCTGATCCAATTACGGTATTCGACGTAATAAGCGCCCCGCTCTAATAAGCGCCCATTTGCTAATATATTGGCTAGTGAACAATTAGCACCCCTTCCGATTGATCAATGTACACAAGACTTATTTATTTGCGTATAATACGCACTCGTGTGTTATGTGCACCCTTAATTATGGGCAATTAAATTCTGGAAAAATATATCTGTCGTACATAAACACTTCAGGCTGTCAGCATAAACCACGAAATTTATCTTTCAACTCTGTTTTTTCACCAAAATAATATTCTAATAAGAGCCCCCTATTTCTAATTTTGAGAGCGCCCTGGGCGCTTATTACATCAAGTACGGTAGTCACATTTTTTATGGCAAGCATGGGTTGCTGAAATCCTATTCTAACCCGGATCTTCACGGGTCAAATTTATTATTTCACTAATAATTAGTCTGTGGTGTAACAGTTATAAAGTAAACATTTAAGGTATGAATCATTATCAATATGTTTTTCTTTGCGAGCGACTGTGTTTGTTTTGTTTGTTTATAGTTTTACACCGCACTCAGCAATATTCCACCTATATGACGGTGGTCTGTAAATAATTGAGTCTGGACCAGAAAATTCAGTGATTGATATCATCAGCATCGATCCACGCAATTTGGATTGATGACATGCATCAACCAAGTCAGCGAGCCTGACCACCCATCCCATTAGTCGCTTCTTACGACGAGCATAGTTGTGATTGATGCTTGTATTAACAAGTAAATAATTGCAATCGACCGGTTCAGTGATGAATCGTCCCACTACCCCTAACCACATAGAGAGAATTAAGTCACCTCTCCAAACCAGCATATGTTCCTGGCACGCTACTCTAACCCAGGCACTCCACAGGGATACCTGCAGCTGTGCAAACCATGATATAGTCAATAACGTACTTGTAATTTCACAACCCGAGATACGACTAATTATAGTTGTCGCAGCTCCGATCGCAGCATCAAAGATAAGTTTTTGAAAGGTGTCACATGATGATCCTTCTTCCCTCAGACAGCTCAGGTAGGTGTTCTGCTGCCTGGAACAGAGAGAACAGTGTGAGACGGAGTTGCACATCATAAGGTTTTGGTTGGTTGGTTTGTTGTTTTACACCGCACTCAGGTACAGGTGCAACTTTCTGTGAGGAGTTGCGTCCCTTGGGCACGCAAGAAACCTATGATTGTGGGTTCGAATCCTGGTTCGCCCTGATTATGTTTCTAGATTTGTCAGCACCATACCCATGCTCGTGGGTTTCACGGAAGTGGTAAACGAGACTTGCATCACTTCGGGCTTTCCTCCCACATTAAGCTGACACACCATGATATAACTGGAATAATGTTAAAAGCGGCTTAACCCCCTGGATGCCACAGGGACATATATGTCCCTCCTCTACAACCCTCACTTTGAAGTCGAATAAAATTCAAAATACATCATGCACACTAATACACTCCACAGTTTTGAATAAGGTGGGGAATTCCCTGTTCTGTGATATCATCCATTGGCATTTTAGGCCAAGCAAAAGTACAAAAAAATGACCTCTGAAAATTAGGTACTACGTAAATGGCGCCATTTTTTACACAGTACTAAATCACCACTCACCGCGTTATTTACAGCATGTTTTGAAATCTAAATTTCTGATATTTACTCCGAGAAATGAATTTCAAAAATAGCATATCAGTGATCACGGGTATCTGTCCTTTATGAAATCACCAATGATCATTCCAAAACGTCTCCGATAACCCTACAATCGTTTAGAATGTTTGGAAAATACGCAAACACGAACGCCGAAGTGAACTTTCCGCCATATTGGATAGCGTTTACAAAATCACGTATCAGGTACACCGGTTATGAGACGCCTGTAGCATCACGTATATGTCAAACTTAGCTGCGATACACACATCCTTCAATTCCTCATACATTTTAGAATCGAATGAACAATGGTCTTTGTCATTAATACGAAGTGGCTGGATGAAATCAAGCAAAATATGTTATTTGTGAAAACGAACGCTGCGCTCGAAAAACTGCACTTGTTTGAAATGTAAACAAAGCAAAATACAGATTTTACACAGTGTAGCATTTTCTCCTATTTTGAGCTATCCATTCGTCCATCGTTCAAGATATTGGCTCAACATTTTCAGAATATGCATGGGAAGAGAATCGTAGGAAGAATTAGGGAATTTAAAATAGATACATTGACAATTTATGTTGAAAATATCAAATCATTGCAAAGTTACCGTCCTGTGTGACGCCATGACTGACGCAAAATCACGCACAACGACAACGGTATTTATCGGAATTTCTGACTAGTTCGGTTTGTTTCAATGAAAATAATAACAACAAATAACAGTACATAGATTGTCAGAATGTTTCTGATTACTTACATGTCACATTTATGTATATACGATCCCTGAATCAACGAAAGTCCTCTCGTAATATCCCGCGTACTGTTGACAGTGAACACGCCATTTTGTAAAAGTCGGTCACAGGTAGTGATGTCATACGTCAACATTGTTGTACATATTTGGTAATTTCTTTGAGGCCTAGGTGAAGGTCCTTGAACAATGTTAAATGAGAGTGCTCACGATCATTGTACCATGTTGTTTACAGTTTCAGTTATGATGTAGATTTTGCATATCTTTTATACATTTTTTCACACAATTAATTTCACTTTGGACATTTGTCAATGTTCAAAATAATATCATACGTAAATATAGGCCACAACATTTATGAACGAACCTTTGATAATCTCCTGTTTGTTTGAATATTGTTTACATAACAATTGATAGGTTTTCAGTGTCGAATACGATATTTCTTTCCTTTGGACAAGTGTAACAAGATGAAGTGTAAATATGTTACTGCAGCATGTACGTATTTCTTGGGATGTGCAATAGTCAATATTATAAGTTCATATTAGCAATGTCCATGAATAGCCGTTTCATTTTATTTTACGGTAAAATATATGCACACATTTCAGAAAGAATTGTCTTGGTCTTGGAATTTTGTTTTTTTTATGTCGTTTGATACACAGAACAGTGATATCTAACGATTCGCCAGGTGCGCGTTAGTCACAAACAATTTACGAATTATTCCTCTCGTTTTGCATTATATAATCAATGGGTTCATTCTTTTATCAATATTGTGATCACAGGATATTAAACTGTTTACTTAATTTCTCCAGGAATTGTAAAATGTATAAAATAAAATCCATGCCAGGTACCCCGTTGCAAGGTTCAACCTTATACGATTATTCTGATAATTGTATACCAATAGAGCTTTCTTCGCATCTTTCATTGTGTAGACGAGATGAAGAGAAATAATAGCATAATAATGAACAAATATATGTCCAATATTGAATATAATTTTGGTTGTTTTGAAATATTCTCTTGGGTATTTCATTACGTAAATTGATGCCAAACAGGTGCGCGTCTTGTCCAATTAAGATACACGACAAACTATCTAATTGTTTACATATTCAAGACATTATTTACTTGGTGAAAGCAGTAATTTTATGTTGTGTCGAAAAAGCGTCAAATTCCGTTTTACACATCGAGATTTTCCATACCATGAACGAAAATTATGGGAGATATATATTAATCAAAATATCAGTGTCGTCTTTCTCCGACGTTATCAAAGACATAAAACCAGCCATGACGTCAAAAGGAATGGTGTTATTTTGGGGGTATTTCATTACATTTTATGATAAGGCTAGTAATGGTGCAACCTATTCAAATTACACTTACACAATCAGGAGAATGTTGGAATCTAAGGACTAAGTTATAGGTTAGATAGGGCTATCCATTAATTTCTCTATTACCTCTTTTTTATGAAGTACGATTTGATCATTTCTTATTGGTTTTTTTAATAACTAAACTTATACAGTTTCAATATGGATATTTGTGTTGGAATAGTTTGGTTCCTCGTGAACGAAACACCACGAAAATATATTGTACTTACCCACAGCTAATTCTCACAAAGTGACCTGGGTTACAATAAACTAGTGCTAAGCATAGCGGAGTTATGCCCCCTTTTCTTTGTACGCGTGTAATCTCTCTGTCGTCTTTTGACGTCATAGAGAAAAATTAGTTTTCGTCATTTACAGCATGCTATTTTTGGCATTGAATGTATGTCGTTATACATACGCATATAACTCCATTTGATATATAGTTATGTCGTTCAGATATAAGGCAGTATTTTGTTCGCTGACAGTTTCCGTAAAGCCTCGAAATAAACAAAATCGTAGTACAGTACTTTTATCGGTGTACGATAAAAAGCGGAAACATTTACTGTTTTTCAACGCAGAATAAATTCTCGGACAACACTTAGAAGTGTATTGTTTTTAAACCCGTTTAATATTTGCAGTTAATTTTACACCATCAAATAGGAAATTTAATATTCTCCACCTCTGCGTAAGTTTATAGCCAGAGGTCGATCCAGTGCCGCGTGAGCGTAATTCTCGCACAACCTTCACTTTTCCGATCTTAGGAAAATGGGCGTCAGAAAAAAACCTCGGCATCCAGAGGGTTAAACCCAACTCACTCACTCATTGTTACAATGCATTTTCAATCTTTAGTAAATAGATTTGGTGACAGTAATATAAAATATGCTTAGGGTAGATCTAAGTTACTTACAAACAGAAAGCACTGGTGTCATTTGATGTGCTGTTCATGGTTGTGGGAGGTGGCGTGCAGGCAGTCAAGTCACAAGAACTCTCTGCCACTGGGATGACCCAGACAACCGCCACTGAAACAACCACAGCATCAGGAAAACTCTGGGATGAAGCAGTAGGATCATAGATAACTTGAGTTACTGCAGATAGATGGCATAAAGTATGCTACCCAGCTAACAATTTCAGGTTATGGCAACTTTGTGTTTACGTGGTTGTAACGTTAAGATATTACGTCAGTGTTCGAAATACCTGCCTGCCCGACCGTCCGAGACGGGTTGATTTCAACTCGGGCTGCCAGATTTTCAAATCCCCCTGCCCGACGGTCGGGTTATATTTCATATGTGACAATATTCTAAATATTTCCCGATGATAATCATTAATTCACACATGTAAAGATGAATGATAAAATATAAGCAAAAAGAAACCCCGTTAGGTTATCCTGAGAAACATATGATTATAGTGGGCAGGCAGGTTTTGGTCAGGGCTGGCAAGTATTTCAGCTAGCCAGTCCTGTGGTCTGGCTGAAAATTTTGGGAGTTTCATACCCTCATTGCGTCCATACATCGTTATCCTGTGGACTATTTATGTTGTCACAACGTTGTGATAACGTTGTATTTTACGTTGTGGTAATGTTGTACTCTACGTTGTGACAAAGTCATTCTGTGGACTACCGTGAACTAACTTTGTGTTAGAACGATGAAATACGTTGTGACGACCCTATCTCATGACAATACCCCACGAAAATGTTGTAAAAACATTTCGCTACATGTTCCGGAAATGTTTTTTGAAAACATGTTTTATTCACGTAAATGTGTATGGTTCGAGATACCCTTTACCAATGTTTTGAAACCAGGGCGTCCAACAGTCCTGTTAACAGTTAGGTTGTTTTGCTGACAATGTCCAAAACGTAAAAATACAACTGAACTGTTACCACATGACTATAACAAATAGTCAGACACCATAACGCTTTAGGCTTGTACTGCTGGAAAAAAAATAGGAATGGCAGACATGGTACTGTAATCAAAATATAGGATATTTAATCGAAGAATTGAATTTCAAAAGTAGCATTTTAGTGATCACTGGCATGTTTTGTTTTTGGGTTGTTTTTTTTCTTTTCTTTTTTTCTTTTTTTTTTATTAAATCGCTAATAAGATAATCATCGCCGATAAGTATAGAATCGTTTAGAATGTTTTGGAAAATACGCAAACACGGACGCCGAAGTGTACATTCCGCCATATTGGATAGATTTCACAAAATCACGTTTCAGGTATGCCGGCTATGAGACGCCTAAAATAAGATCACGTATATTTCAAACTCAGCAGCGATACATGCATCCCCGAATTCCACTTACATTTTGGAATTAAATGACAAATGATCTTTGTCCCCAATTTAAAGTATCTAGTTGGAATCAAGCGAAATTAATTAGATCTAGCCTAGATATGGAAACGAACACTGTACTAGTAAAACTGTACTTGTTGAAATGTAAAAGCAAAATTCAGATTTTACACTGTGTAGCATTTTCTCCTATCCATCGTCTAGTATTGCATACATTGGCTCACGCGTTTGGTGCTATTCGTGGGAAGGGTATCGTAGCACGAATTATGGAATTTAAAAATATAGATCTACAATACAACAATCAAGTAAATTCAACAGAAATCGTAAAAGTTTCCGTCCTGAATGACGCCATGACTGACGGAAAGTTACGCGCGACGACGGTAGTTATTTGCATTTCTGACTAATTTTCTCGGTTACATTGAAAAACATAAAACAAATAACAGTACGCAGATTGTCAGAATGTTTCTGATTACTTACATGACACATTTATGTATTTACGATCCCTTTATCAACGAAAATCCTCCTGGAAATCCCGCGTACTGTTGTCAATGCACTCTCCTACCCAGAGTTCCATGCGGCCGGCAGCCAGCTAGCATAGTACCTCTGCCACAGGCCAGCGCCATGTGACGATTCGTCACATCTTTCACAGTCCATTCAAGATATTGCATATGCTTTTCATCCGTTTCATGTTTGACAAGTCTACACATTTTCATAAGCAAATGTCATAGAATGGTTAACTTTCATTGAGAAAGTATGCAAATACGTAAAAATCTACTTGTTTTTGCGTAGTTATCCTATGTTTACATTGGTTGTACGGCTCCACGTGCTGTCATCGAAGCGCAACGGAGAGCTAGCGACACGGTCACTTTGATGCATAAATATATATTGTCATGCAACTCACTGTCGCAGTTGTAGTAGCATATCTATATAGTTATGCAAAACAATATGTAAAGCGCCCCCCAATACTTGCATTAGTCCGTTCTATACTGATTTCTGAAAAAGCGCGTTTGTTTACAAACAAGAGAAAAGTCCGGTCACGTGATATGCAAATTAGCCTGTGGCAGTGGTGTTATGCTGAGTCACCACTGCGACGGAGTGTGTTGTCAATGATCACGCCAATTTGTAAAAGTCGGTCACTGGTAGTGATGTCATACGGAAGTAAACATTGTTGTACATATTTGGTCATTTCTTTGAGGTGAAAACTTTAAAGCCCCACCCTGACTATAAATAGCCCGGAAGGTGGCGGTGTTTCAGTTTCGAACAATGACTGACAATGTAAACACAACCGAGTGTCGGGAGACGTTTTTTGAAAACCATAAGGGAACCAGATCACCATTGACCGTCAAACTTCGTGTCAACTTGAATGACAAACCATGGATACAACAAATGGCTCCATATCAAGATATAAGTCAATAGATTTTCTGTAGTTTTATCATAAAAAATCGTATCGATCGTGTTTGGCGTCTGCATCAATCACAGTGGGCGGAGCTTATTTACGGTTGCGCTATAAATAGCAAAGCACATGGTCATGTGTACATGTGACACATTCAATGCATTTGTGGTCAAAGTGAATTGTGTTGCATATTTTTACGGCAGAACAGCAGCAGAACATCAGTTTCGGTTAATGTAACAGTAACGATATTTAAATACGAAATTGACGACGCGATTCTTTGAGTTCAATCCGAAAAATACAGATATTTATTTAGTTTTGGTCATTTGCATTCAACAATTAGATTTGTGCCACACAATAATCAGTTTATATTTATAAAACCTAAATTATTACACAGATTTTTCAACTAGTGTTTAGGAAGGGGCCTAATTTGAAGCACCAGAAGTTGCGCCAATATTTCTCAGCTTGACTACAATAGATTAATATGTCACGTGTATCAACGTTAACATAACAATGCACATAAGCAACTGGTAAATAAGTAACGAAATATACTTGATGTTTTGACCTACTGAAGGCGTATCCAGATAATATTGTACTTACGATAAACGAAAACTCCAATACACATATTCCAAGACAACTTTAATTATGAATTTCCTTCTCTTTCACAGAATTTTCACACACAAAACTGAGTTTGATCATTAGATCCACACTTGTCCCATGTATTTTTTGTTCGGGGTATTTGGATACACTTCGCGCACAAGTTTTAAAATATAATCTGGGATCCCTTTCCCGTTTTGTCCACACCGATCCTTCATCTGCTGCAACGTTTATTTCCGTTTCTTCAAGTCCAAGTATCTACGATCTCTCCAAACATTTCGTTTATTTAGCTCAGTCCAGAAGCAATGTGTTCGAATCGACGAATTTCTGCAACATGGTGGCCGCACCATTCCCTAACTGCGATTGCCTGTGCCGTGTCACGCATGGTTGACAAAAGAAATGTGAACATACATATTCGGCTTCATCTGGTTCCACAATGAAATCTAGCTGTGACACTGATTCACTAATCCCAAGAATCGGCACTGAATTTATCAAAGTTTCTGTTGCACTTGCAAGGGCGGGAAGAGAGGCGCCATCTTGTCGATTCGAGTTGTGAATCGGAATGATGTCATCTTGAATTGGAACTTTCTCCACGATAAAGTCACCAATGTCATAATCGAAATTACCTAAGGCTTCCTGATTATCTCGAACAATTCTTCGTCAAATTAGGCTTCACATGAAAATGTTTTGTTGCTCATATTGAAGACAAGCGAAATTGCAAAGTTCTTGACAGTTGTAAGCAGCAACTCGATGCGCTCATGGGGCGTGGTTGCTAGGAGATCGCGTGGTCGGAAAGGCGAAAATAAAAAGTTTTAGAAAGTAATAAAAGAAATGCCCAGTGCAATCCAAAAGTACCATGTACAGGATATTTAAAAAAAAATAATATTCACGAAAACAAATCTTTTCTAAAAATGCAAAATAATTTATTAATTTATCCCAAGGTCGTAACCCTGATCACGTGGTGGGTATTTGGAAGGAATCTTTGCGATGACGCCGTTAATGAGTGTGTATTACATTGTTGAAATCAGCTGCCCAGGAATGTTTAGGCATTGACATTATGACAGATGTTCGTCATGGATGGAGAGAAAAATGTATCTGAGAGAAACATTGTTGCTTTGAGCTTCGAGACAAAACATGTGTTAATGCCGAAGTAGCCAGCGACCTGAATGTAAGCTTGATGAAAGTAATGTTGAAACCCATTTTCACGCACATGACAGAATTAATGTGAACAAATATTTATCTGAACATCGTTTCGAAGTCTGTGAGGCTGTCCGTATTTGAATATTTTTATCTCCATTCCGACGTGAAATAATGTAATGTCTTCGTGTCTCAATTTTGCTGCCGCTGTGGAAAATTGCGCACCGATCTAATAAAAGAAATACTACTAGATCTACAATTGCACCGTCATAAAAGAACCAGGTCAACTTTATCTTTGTTCCGTTGTTTATTAAAAATTCGTTTCCGAAGCAAAGCGAATCGATCTACATCATAAATTAATTCATAGACTAGATTCTAGTACCAAGTGTTGAACCTTTTTTTTAAAATGTCATCAAATAACTTACACAATTATTGAAAGACATGTTTTGATAAGTCATATATTTTATTTCGTCCGCCCGGTCTCTGATTAGTTGAGGCTTGAGGGGAGAAACACATACAAAAAATATGGATGGCCTTATGCAAATGACACTTGGCATGCCAATCAACAGGGATCTGGGTCACTGGGACCCACCAAGTTTCACGGATCGAGTTACTTCGGCTTGAGGAGCTTCATCGGACAAGTGAGACTTTGCCAAAATACATTGCTACTGGGCAATGAAAAAACGACAAGAAACTACTTTGATCACTTGAAAATATTTTTGACCATTACCAGAGGGTTTTTTACACACGATCGTTGTCATCCAGATTCCAGATGAGGCAAGACGAACACAACGAAGAAAAACATTGTTGAAATCACCGATTACTGTATATATTGTGAGAAATGCTATTTATAAACTGCAGATATACCGTACACCACAGGATAGCGATTGGTGCCCCAACACATATTATGTTTCTTCATTTACACTGCTCATATGCATCACGACAAATGTATTTCGTTCTAGTCCAAAGATCTAGAACTATAATTTGTGTGTTGGATAAATCGTGGACATTCCACGGTATCATTTTATGAAGATGTGAAGACTACATGGCAGGTAGGTTTTGAAACCAAAGACGTACGCGTTTGTTGAAAAGTCTTGGAATCGTTTGGTAGATATTTATTGCCCCATCTGCGGTAGGAACTACCGCACTCTAGTGGGCGGAGCTTATACGAGTGATCTGACAGGTCAATATGACGTCATGATAACACACATTTCATTGGTTATTGCGTAAACGGGTGACGTCATGTAAACAACCACCCACGTGGACCGTTTGACAACAAGGACGTAGGTTTTAATGGCAATAAATATCTATCAAACGATTCCAAGACTTTTCAACAAACGCGTAGGTCTTTGGTTTCAAAACCTACCTGCCATGTCGTCTTCACATCTTCATAAAATGATACCGCGGAATGTCCACGATATATCCAACGCAGTCCAACACAGAAATTATAGACGTTCTTGTTCTGAGCTATTCTAGATCTCCCGACGACAACGAATTAATACGTTTGTCGTAATGAATATGAACAGTGTAATTGAACACACAAAAAACATAATATGTGTCACGGCACCAATCGTTATCCTGTGGTGTACGGTATATCTGCAGTTTATAAATAACATTTCTCACATATACACGATAATCGGTGATTTCAACAGTGTTTTTCTTTGTTGTGTTCGTCTTGCCTTCATCTGGAATCTGGATGACAACGATCGTGTAAAAAAACCTGGTAATGGTCAAAAATATTTTCACGTGATCAAAGTAGTTTTTTGTCGTTTCTGTGACATTTTTTCATAGCCCAGTAGCAATGTATTTTGGCAAAGACACTTGTCCGATGAAGCTCTTCGTGCCGAAGTAACTCGATCCGTGAAACTTGGCGGGTCCCAGTGACCCAGATCCCTCTTGATTGGCATGCCAAGTGTCATTTGCATAAGGCCATCCATATTTTTTGTATGTGTTTCTCCCCTCAAGCCTAAACTAACCAGAGAGCGGCCGGACGAGATAAAATATATGTTACTTATAAAAAATGTCTTTCAATAATTGTGTAAGTTATTTGATGACATTTAAAAAAAAGTTTAAACACTTGGTACTAGAATCTAGTCTATGAATTTGTTTATTATGTAGATCGATTCGCTTTGCTTCGGAAGCGATTTTTTAATAAACAACGGAATAAAAGATAAAGTTGATCTGGTTCTTTTATAAAGTTGAGCTAGCAGTATTTCTTTTAATAGATCGGTGCGCAATTTTCCACAGCGGCAGCAAAATTAAGACACGAAAACATTATATTATTTCACGTCGCAATGGAAATACGAATATTAAAATACGGACAGCCTCACAGACTTCGAAACGATGTTCAAATAAATATTTGTTCACATTAATTCTGTCATGTGCGAGAAAATGGATTTCAACATTATTTTCATCAAGCTTATTCAGGTCGCTGGCTGCACAGATCATCCTCTCTTGTAAACTACTTCGGCATGAACACATGTTTTGTCGCGAAGCTCAAAGCAACAATGTTTCTCTCAGATACATTTTTTTCTCCATCCATGACGAGCATCTGTCATAATGTGCCTCAACAACCTTCCTGGTCAGTTGAATTCAACAATGTTATACACACGGCCTCATTCACGGCTTCATCACAAGTTTCTTTCCAAATACCCACCACGTGATCAGGGTTACGACCTTGGGATGAATTAATAAATTAATTTGCACTTTTAGAAAAGATTTTTTTTCGTGAATATTATTATTCAAAAATATCCTGTACATGGTACTTTGGGATTGCACTGCGGATTTCTTTTATTACTTTATAAAACTTTTTGTTTTCCCCTTTCTGACCTCGCGATCTCCTAGCAACCACGCCCCATGAGTGCATCGAGTTGCTGCTTACAAATGACAAGAACTTTGCAATTTCGCTTGTCTTCAATATGAGCAACAAAACACTTTCATGTAAATCCTAATTTGACGAAGAGTTGTTCGAGATAATCAGGAAGCCTTTGGTCATTTCGATTGTGACATTGGTGACTTTATCGTGGAGAAAGTTCCAATTCAAGATGACTTCATTCCGATTCACAACTCGAATCGACAAGATGGCGCCTCTCTTCCCGCCCTTGCAAGTGCAACAGAAACTTTGACAAATTCAGTGCCGATTCTTGGGAGTAGTGAATCAGTGTCACAGCGAGATTTAATTGTGGAACCAGATGAAGCCGAATATGTATGTTCACATTTCTTTTGTCAACCATGCGTGACACGGCACAGACAATCGCAGTAAGGGAATGGTGCGGCCACCATGTTGCAGAATTCGTCGATTCGAACACAGTGTTTCTGGACTGAGCTAAATAAACGAAGTGTTTGGAGAGATCGTAGATACTTGGACTTGAAGAAACGGATATAAAACGTTGCAGCAAATGAAGGATTGGTGTGGACAAAACGGGAAAGGGATCCCAGATTGTATTTTAAAACTTGTGCGCGAAGTGTATCCAAATACCCCGAACAAAAAATACATGGGACAAGTGTGGATCTAATGATCAAACTCAGTTTTGTGTGTGAAAATTCTGTGAAAGAAAAGGAAATTCATAATTAAAGTTGTCTTGGAATATGTCTATTGGAGTTTTCGTTTATCGTAAGTACAATATTATCCGGATACGCCTTCTGTAGGCCAAAACATCAAGTATATTCAGTTACTTATTTACCAGTTGCTTATGTGCATTGTTATGTTTATACACGTAACATATTCATCTATTATAGTCAAGCTGAGAAATATTGGCGCAACTTCTGGTGCTTCAAATTAGGCCCCTTTCTCAACACTAGTTGAAAAATCTCTGTAATAATTTACGTTTTATGAATATAAACTGATTATTGTGTGGCACAAATCTAACTGTTGAATGCAAATGACCAAAACTAAACAAATATCTGTAATTTTCGGATTGAACTGAAAGAATCGCTCCGTCAATTTCGTATTTCAGTATCGTTACTGTTACATTAACTGAAACTGATGTTCTGCTGCTGTTCTGCCGTAAAAATATACAACACAATACACTTCGACCACAAATGCATTAAATGTGCCATATGTACACATGACCATGTGCTTTGCTATTTATAGCGCAAACGTAAATAAGCTCCGCCCACTGTGATCGATGCAGACGCCAAACACGATCGATTCGATTTTTTAGGATAAAACTACAGAAAATCTATTGACTTATATCTTGATATGGAGCCATTTGTTGTATCCATGGTTTGTCATTCAAGTTGATACGAGGTTTGACGGTCAATGGTGATCTTGTTCCCGTATGGTTTTCAAAAAACGTCTCCCGACACTCGGTTGTGTTTACATTGTCAGTCATTGTTCGAAACTGAAACACCGCCACCTTGCGGGCTATTTATAGTCAGGGTGGGGCTTTAAATTCGGCATCCAGCGTGTTCTTTGATTTATTTTAGTTCAGCGAAAACCAGCAGATATGGCGGAAACCTTTTTGTGTTGGGTTACATTATTTATAGGTAGTAAGCAGTACGTCGGATGGCGTCACTCATGACCGCGGTGTTATGTATTAATGCGCCACTGCGATCATCAGAATATAGGCAAAATGCATCGATTCGTTGCTAAAAAGATGCGATTTTAGGGTGTGTAAGAAACAGGTTACTGCACTCGTGCCTGCCAGATACCATTGATCTTACAACTCGTTGTTTCAAAGCGTATCTAACTCGCTTTCATTCGTTGTAAGATCAATGGTATCTGACAGGCACTCGTGTAGTAATCACTGTTTCCCAGTCCATTTTTGCACGTTGCAGACCGCCGCTAATTTGTTAAGATTCTTAAAACATTTGCGATAACTGTTTACAGAATCAGTTTCACACACTGATTTGTTAAATCTGTTTGTTGTTTACATAAAATTACATATTACGTCAATATTGTTTCGCCTTCGCCTAGGCTAGATCTGAAAAGAAATGTTTCTCACAAAATAAACGCTTTACCGTAATTACTAAAAGCAAGAACTCTAAGATCATAAACTCTTGTTTCGAACATCTTACCACAAACTAGAATCACTGAGGCTATGACGTTCATCATGGAGTGTGTAAAAGATTACGTTTTCCAACCAGTGGATGTTGTCGTTTGGGAGGAATCGTTTGGGTCAAAACTCCGTTTGGCGCCTGTAACTAGTGTATTGGCAGTTTTCAGGGCGAAATAGCGCTGCGGGGAGCTTGCGGTTTGAACGTCATTTTCATAACATGACGCTCTCCTTCCCATAGTTCATTGCGGTAAACCAGTAAGCGCGGGAAGAACGTCTGACAATCACTGCGCGACTACGGGTCACAACTATTATCTGTCGTCTCAACAGTATTAACTCCCCTCGTAAATGGTAGGCGATGGCAAAACAAAAGAAGCTTTGTAATGAACATGATCAAGATTTAACTGACCTTTATTAAAATATCCGAAATGTATTTTCAGAGTGTATGGATATCCAATAAGGGGTGCAGGCAAAAACGGCACCTCAGCAAAACGTCACCGATTTCTCTGCCGAAAACGGCTATTATGTGTCGGGTAGATGAATGTAGTCTACTTTAGATGTCGTGATAACTTTTATGTCTTGGTAGACCGTATATAAGGCCACGTAGTATCATTCGTCACCGCTCGTAATTTCCCGGAATGGGACTAGTTGGTCAAGAATGCCGTAATATGTGTTTTCGAAAAAAGTTTCGTTTCATGAAAAATCAATCATTGCAGTGATAAGATAAGATGAGACAACGCTTTATTTTTCCGAAGAAAAGTGGGTAACATCAGCACAAGGTCTCGGCCACATATACAAATAAATATACAATCACAAACGTAGCCTAATTGACATTAAATGTAGCGCTAGTGAATAAATGCTCAACATTTTTTTTTGTTCTCAAGCTTTAAGAAGCTGACACTCCGAAATCTCTGCCAAAAACAGAGTCGATTGTACGATTCCGACTATATCATCATGGGTTTTGTATCACTCTCAAAACCGGTGGCATTCGTCACAAACACATGCAAAGGCAAATCAACCGTTCGCGTGAAACAAAACACGGGAACACATGGTACAAGTGAAACTAGGGAATTGCATCGGGTATTTTTTTTGTCGCTGAATTGTAAAATGTCCTCCACATGTCTACCATAAAATGTGTTGAAAGCTTTACTGAGGCCTTGAAGTTGTGACCTTATAAAACAGCTTCTGAGTTACAGTCGTATGACGCGCGTTGAAATCTTGGTAGAAAGAGCATGCTCGATTGTACCTCGAAAGTTGTGGAATGTTAACACCAAAGACTGAAGCTGCAGGAATATTGCTCTACATAAAGGAAAAGTTGACTATTGGAAAGTTGAAGTCATCTCTCTTGTCATACGCGGCGGTCGAGTAGCCTAGTGGTTAAAGCGTTCGCTCGTCACGCCGAAGACCGATTCCCGACATGGGTACAATGTGTGAAGCCCATTACTGGTGTCCCCCGCCGTGATATTGCTGGACTATTGCTAAAAGCGGTGTAATACCGTACTCCCTCACTCACTCTCTTGTCATACAGTCTTGTGGAGAGTGTTTTGTCACTCTGAATCTTTTTGCACAGATCTAAATATGAAACAGATGAGGCGGTCTCACTGGTCTCCTTTATTTCTAGTTCAGGTGCATGGGTAAATCAGTGGAAGGGCATTGGCTATTTGATCATTATTGGAGGACATCTGACCATTGATATACCTGAAGCTTAAGTTAAACGTCTTGGCCAAATTACCTTGTTTTGACTTTGCCGAGCAGAAATTATGATGCATATGCATAAAGAAACAGATCACTAAGAAGGGGAGCATTAAGTGCCAATGGGGATGCCTACGTCTTCACCTGATGATGATGGTATGGTATATATATTCTGTTTGTATCCCGTGTAAGTTGTGAATCAATAATGGTCCCCAGCTATTATATTTGTCCACATTACTTCATTATCAACAACAACTGGATATACACATGAGTTATCTTGCCTAAAATCTAATACCATTTCATTTGGTTGGGTTTTTTTCACATTTAAACACAGGCAGTTATCCTTACACAAAGATACAAAATAACGTCTCAGAAAAGACCTGCAAGTGAAGCGTAATCTGCACATCGTACAGGAAAACTAATAACAAAACGGCTAATGCATTCATTGGCGTACAGCATTAATTAAATGGGCGGGATGGCACAACCTTGTAGGGCCCCCGTAGAAGCGCGAACAAGTTGAGCGGGTCCGTTTAAGGGCGATGGACTGTGTTGACAATAAAACATTTGACCCATTTGAGAATACGTGAGTTAACACCCATCTTTGTCAGCTTTTGCATAACAAAGTGAGGCTGAATAATATTAGAAGCGGATGAACAATCGACGCACACTCTCCTTTTATACGATTTACTGTTATCTAGATAGTTATAAATTTTATGCAGGAGAGTCCGTGTTGCGTCGGACTGCATGCTCCTGAAACAACAGGAAAAGCATGCTTACGTAATTTAATAAGTTATCACACGGACAGTGAGTTGGGTTCTAAAACGCTTTTGGAAATAGGGTATTACCATTCATGAAGAATCGTACAATTTAAGTTGCCGGATGTCTTATTTTATATCTAATTATAAAAAATAACATTGTCATTTCGCTATCGCATCAAAGTGTTACGACCACTTAACGTGCTAAATAGAAAAAAAACCCATTACTCTGCTAATTATTGGAATGCTTCCATCCTAAATGAAAAAATAAATATCGAAACGTTTAGACACATAAAGAAACAATAACGGTTGATCTATATGCAACACATGTTACCGAGGCAAGAGTGTCAACTAGACTTTATGATGTCTCCTTTAACAAAGCCTGGACACTAGGCTTAGATATATGGGCTAGTCTGTCGCTCGTACCCTGGAGAGAAAAAAAATTAAAAAGGAGACCAACTCAAGTCTAGAATTAATGATTTGGCAAGTCGAGATCCTGAAATTAAGGATTGTTCTGGGCTCCATTTGGATTTTTTTTTTTTTTTCATTTTGTAGATATATATTTTGAAATAAGACAACTTATTTCACGGACTAAATGTCAGTCTATATATAGTATAGGTTGTGGTATACTTGCGATGATGACAAATAGTTGCAGTGATGAGAAAGCTCTTTTTCCACCACCACCACACCCCTCTTCCAATCTGTTCACCAGAGTCGCCACAGTGTTGCGTGAGAACGAATTTCGTGATTCGCCTTACATGTGCACTACCGTTGTTAATTGTGCCAAGGTACCCACATGCAATGAAATCACAAAAGAGGAAATGAAAATAAATCGATTTTTGACCCTCAATGTAGACATTTCGCTCATCAGCCAGATTCAAATCAAATAAGAAAATCTGTTTATTAGCTCTACTTAATTTGAAAATATGGAAAAGGACTACATTATATGTATGTTCACGTTAACTTATGGAGTGTTCCATTAGACAACATAACTTGACAATTCCTAAAATATCTCCCTTTGTGAACGAAAATTAGTGTCACTTTCAAATTTTGAAAAGAATTATGGATCTAGATAGATAAAATAATAATAACATCATCTAAATACAAATAGCTTGATATTGTATTTGAGTCCTTTGTTTATTCGTGAAATAGATTGGATATATATAAAACAAACAAACTTAATTTAGGCATACGTTCTAATTATAACTCGCTCGTGGGTGCGCTGCTTCATGAACAATTTTTGTTTTGAGCTATGTTTCCAGGTATAATGTTGGTGTTTTCTCTAACTTGACATTTGACAAACGGAAAAACAAGCAGTATTGTGAAACTGACCCAGCACACATCACGTAACATCAGACTTGAACACGCAACTTAAATGTTTAACGCCTGCTGTTCGACCAAAGGTCTCGGCATTGTCATTTAGAATAATGTCCCTTACTTTCGTCCTTAACTTTGTACGCGATGTGTTAACATAAAGTTCTGCGCGCTCGCGAGGGGACCATTTGAAGGGAAAACAGTGAAGGATCTTTTTTCATATTTGTTCAATTCTAATTACTATAGTGTGGTAACACTACATTTATTGATTATAACACTTATTGTGTTTGCAAAATGCCTTTGCATGACACACGAATGGTATTTGTGTTCGGGTAGTCATCTTTTATCATAAGAACAAAACGTCTATATGTAGAACGTATGTAGGATTGTACTGATTGCCACTCAGATAGTTGCGTGTTAAACAATGTGACCTGACAATGTGATCATCAATTCCGTGTCACTTATCTTTGTTGTTGTTATTGTCAGCAGCTGGGAAATCCGTGGCGTCATTGGGAAACACCCCGCTTTTTCAATCTCTAACACAAATGAGTTCTCTGTTAGAGTTACGATAGGTATCATAGCTCTGAGCGATCTGCGACAGGTTTACGATTGTTTCGAAAATCTATCTTATCTTAACCTTAAGATATCTTATCTTTGAACAAAAGTAGTTAAGATTTATCGTTTCGAAATCTAGACCCTACACGACAGGTGGCACCCTTTACAAAAGAAGACCATTAGTAGACTCTTGTAGCCTCTATCAAATAACCTGTTCACTATTTGGCCAAGGTCCTCTGTTATCTGCATCTTTGAAAACATTTACACGTTTTTCCTTTATTCACACAAAACTACATTTGCATTTAGATTAATGTATCGTTTATTGAATCATCTAATTTACATACTGCATGTTACAGCTTGTTTATGTGTTATTCCTACCACTAAATTTACCTTGTTTTATCTCCTTCTTGGTGTCTATCCTTTTCTCCTTCTTGGTGTCTATCCTTTTCTCCTAATTGGTGTCTATCCTTTTCTCCTTCTTGGTGTCTATCCTTTTCTCCTTCTTGGTGTGTACCTTTTTGTTCTTGGTGTCTATCCTTTTCTCCTTCTTGTTGCAATTGTGTACCCTTTTCTCCTTGTTGTCTATCCGTTTCCCCTTCTTGGTGTCTATCCTTTTCTTATTGGTGTTTATCCTTTGCACCTTGTTGTCTATACGTTTCCCCTTCTTGGTGTCTATCCCTTTTACTTTTTGGTGTCTATCCTTCCTCCTTCTTGGTGTCTATCCCTTTTACTTTTTGGTGTCTATCCTTCCTCCTTCTTGGTGTCTATCCCTTTTACTTTTTGGTGTCTATCCTTCCTCCTTCTTGGTGTCTATCCTTTTCACATTCATGGTGTCTATCCTTTTTACTTTTTGGTGTCTATCCTTTTCTCCTTCTTGGTGTCTTTCTCCTTCTTGGTGTCTATCCCTTTTACTTTTTGGTGTCTATCCTTTTCTCCTTGGTGTCTATCCCTTTTACTTTTTGGTGTCTATCCTTTTCTCCTTCTTGGTGTCTATCCCTTTTACTTTTTAGTGTCTATCCTTTTCTCCTTCTTGGTGTCTATCCCTTTTACTTTTTGGTTACTATCCTTCCTCCTTCTTGGTGTCTATCCCTTTCACCTTCATGGTGTCTATCCTTTTCTCCTTTTTGTTGTCTATCTTTTTCAACTTCTTGGTGTCTATCTTTTCCTCTTTCTTGTTGTCTATCCTTTCTCCTTCTTGGTGTCTATCTTTTTCTCCTTGGCGTCTATCCTTCTCGAACCACAGGTAGAGATAACGGTGTTAATTAGTTAATGTCATGATTGGGAAATACAACCTTTATCGCAAAGACAAAAAAGAATATACTTCTATTCCCGACAGTACTTTATAGTCTGTTTAAGAATTGAATTTAGTATTGTTTGTAACTTCTTTGATAGGCATTTAGAAGTTGGAGTACTAAGTAAGGATAAGAATTTATGGATGAACAACTTCTTTATTACAATTAAGAGCGACGTTTCGGTGTAGGTTCTAACACCGTTATCAAGCACTTTTGCAGTGCTTGATAACGGTGTTAGAACCTACACCGAAACCTAGTATTGTTTGTGTTTATGGAGATATAAACGCAATTAAACTTAGCAGTATTTCGGTTAAATCACAGCGTACCCTGCATGCAGCTATAAATGAGTCAGGATAGTCCATGCTGAAGCGGATCGCTGACGTTAAGAGTTACCTACGAACACGATAGACCGTCGCCTTGCGTGGCCAACAGGTCGCCGCCTAAGGGTCGGGGTGTGGGGCATAATGACATCTCACATGTTGACACAGGTGCATATAGTATACGCGTGTGAACCTGAACGGCCTCTGGGCACATCACACGGCACAGTCAACGTATAACAAGGGACGGGGTGTGGCGGTCGAGTAAACAGTAAGTCGAGTTTAGTACATGAATGATTATCAGAAATTGTTTATTTTATCTGTGCCAAAAAAATATGCATGTTATTGATGTCATACGTCGACTTTGTCAAACCATAACTAATGTTATCCTATAGATTTAACCAGCGCGCTTGCAGGCGGTTCGCCACCCGGAGTCGGACATCCAGACATATGGAAGAACCTTTCACACGGTTTATTGTGTGGATTTTGTTTGGAAATCTAAAAATCGATGGGGAAGGAATATGGAAGGCCCGAGGGTTTACATTTTCAAAGAAATTAAATTAGAGGTTCATACTTCTGGACGTGAACCTCTAGCCACTAGTCTGTCTTACAGACCCAGATACAAATATATATCAAATACAGCCCATGCAAGTCTATAATGTTTGGCAAGTCTAGATTACTGCAGTATCAGTTTCCGAAATTGAAGAGTCACTGGGCTCCCTTTTATTATATTTTTATTAAGGTAACTGAACAACTGTTGTTGTTTTCTGTACGATATGTTCATTTCAGAGACTAGATGTTAGTCTTCTCCAGCCACGTATATTGTATTATTACTGCGTGAAGCTGACGTGGTCCACTTTCAACAGCTGTTGGCCATCACGCGACATATGTTTTTGAGTATATGGTAAGACACAAAACATAGTTAAGACTTTAATATTAAGAAAATATGAAATTTAACTCATTGAGGTAACGCATTAAAAAAAGTGAGTTTAGAAAATATAATATGAAATTAAACTCATTGAGGTAACGCATTTAAAAACAGTGTGTTTAGACACTTAAAAAAATGTGATATATCCAACTAAATAACATAGGAATGTTGAGTGAGAAGTGTCGCTGACGCACAGAGAAACTATCCAAGTACACATTTATGACCATCATTATCCATCCATATATATATATATATATATATATATATATATATATATATATATATATATATATATATCCTGGTATAATACCATTCCAGCTTGCATGGCCTCGACATGTATATATACTATATTGTTTGTTTGACGCCTCACTCATCAATACTCCAGCTATAAGACGTCTGTCAATAATTGAGTTTCGACCAGACAATCCAGTGATTGAAATAGCTGTGAACTAAGTTCATACAAACAGGGAGGGTATATAAGAATCATATATCAACCGTTAAAAGTCCTAGATGGTTGTAACACTACCACATCTTGAATTACGGCGCGACAGACAATTGTACACCCCGTCCTACTAATTGAGCCAGACAGAAAGTGCTTAATCTCAGATTTTGCTTTGTTGACAGTGATAGGGTTCGTTTGGCACAAACCAGTAAAATCTTCAAGTCACTTTCAGATTCAGCCAGTTGTACGAGTTCAGAAGGTCAACTGTCCTGCTGTCAATCAATCAGTTTATTGGCCTACAGTACAATGCGTATTTACATGTAGGTGACGTGGTTGTTAACCAACAATTCTGTTTCTATGTGACATAGCGTGATAAACATATGTTGCCAGGTTACATAACATAGTATCATTAGATGAAGTTAAAAGATCTACAAACTTATGGTCATTCGGGTGTACAGAGTAGAAAGATGGCAAATATTTATCACGTAAATGTTTGTAAGCTTGACATACCAGGAGAAAGTGAAACTCATCTTCAATTGAATTTGTGTTACACAATGTGCGTATTCTGTCTCTTCTATCAGTGTGATTATATCTACTAGTCTCTATATACAGGTTGTGAGAGGAACATCTAAATCGTGCTAGTGCAATTCTAATTTTTTTAAACTCAAGTTTACAGAGGTACGCCTTAATTTCAATATTCCTTTTCATGATTCTATAATATAAACATTTATTTGATTTGGACATTAATTCTAACCATTTCTGCAAATACATATCTTTTAGTCTCTGGGTGAAGGACATTTAAAAAAAGCGGTTCTGATTCTACACACTGATTATACCACACATAATTAAAACCCGTAATAAATAATAATTCTTTTACGTTTGTTACCCAAACATATCATAGCACTTCCTAGGGTTTCTATCATTAGTCATGTTTATCAAACGAAGCCGGTATTTAATCACTTTTAAGTAGGATTGAATATACAGCGGATATCGTCCCGTTTCTCCATAAACCATTATGCTGGACGTACTATTTTTAACTCCTAAATATTTCTTGCAAACAAACAAATGTTCTTTTTCAATTTGATCATGAATTTTTATACCCCAGATTTCAGCACCATAGTGTAGTATTGGAATTATCTTTTTATCAAAAAATTTAAAATATGATCTAAATTAGATGTCTCTTAGAAATGGAGACTGTCTAAATATACCATTCCAAACCTTTTTAGCTTGTATAGCAGCTTGACTGACGTGAAAATGCCATGAAAGTTGATTTGTGAAATAAACACCAAGATATTTATAGGAAGATGTGGTTTCCAAAATTTCTCCATTGCGAAACCGTTTTTCAGTTGATGCTAGTTTTTCCCCATTTTTAAAGACTGTAACTTTTGTTTTTTCTCTATTTACAACTAAGTTTGATTCTTTACAGAATGTTTCAAGTTCATTGATTTGCCTTTGCAAACCAATCACTGTCGTGGAGAAATGGATGACATCATCTGCGAACAGCAACAGAAATAATTCCGTAAGATCTGGATGGAACTGTACACCATGGGAGCAATTTTCTTGTTTTTTCTCACGCAGGCTTTGACATTGGTGTATATACTTCTCAAAAGATTACTCATTTTCAAGCTAATTCCGTACGATTCTAACAGTGTCCATAGTTTTGTTCTATCTACTCTGTCAAACGCCTTTGAAAAATCAACGAAAAGTGCATAAAATGTTTCACCTCTTTTACTAAGCCATTTCTCTTTTAGACTCTGTAGTGTAAAAATAGTATCGATGGTAGAATATCCCTGTCGAAAACCAGCTTGTGCTTCACTAATTTTCTGCCCAATTCTGTAATCTTTTATTTATAATGTATATGAACAATTTACTAAAGACGCTTAAAAGTGTTATACCTCGGTAGTTATTGGTATTGTTAATATCACCATGTTTATGGATGGGGACAATTATGCCAACCATCCATGATTCGGGGAAATTCCCACCCTGTAGAATATGATTAAAAACAAGTGATAAATATGGTATTATGCTATCTGCACAGTGTTTGAAGAATTCCGGTAACATTTTGTCAATTCCTGTCGATTTATTGTTTTGCAAATTATCTATGCTATTCATTATTTCCTGAAAAGAAATTGGAGAATCTAAAATGTCAGTTACGACATCATCGGTTTGACGAATTCGGTCACACTCTGTAGTATGTACATGGTCTATATCAATATCATTACTATTTGATTCGAAAAGAGTTTTAAAGTGAGAAACCCATTCACCTGTGCTGATAGCATTGCCTTGGGAATATTTTCCTCTAAGTTTTCTTAATATTGACCAGAACTGGGTTGGGTCATTTAAACTGTTTGCTAGGAGTATCCCGTTTTTGGAAGTAGTTATTTCGTTTTTGTCTTCAAATGGCATTGTACTTATTTCTTGCTGCATTATAAAGTTGTCATGAAACTGTCTTTAAGTTGTCTAAACCTATTTAGGTACTTATACCTCTGTTGTTTCAATTCTTCACATTCTCTATCAAACCACTTATTACCCTTTCCGAGTAATTTGAACTTTTAACTTTTCTTTTCATTTCACAGGCAGCTTTTGAGATTGCCTAAACTATACTATCGATGCTCTTATTAATATTGACGGACACTTCTTCCTGGGACATGTTTAACACAGTCTGTACCTCATCTGTAAGTAAATTTTCTCTGAAGGTTTCACAGTACTGGACATCCCAAACAAACTTATAATCAGAAACGCTATCACTACGAGAACTATTGTTGCTACATGGGTGAGGATGAAGCGTCCGTAAAGTCACAGAAACTGGAAGATGTGGAGAGTCAGCACGTGATGAAATCTCGAAATCAGCTACATAGTCAAATATAAAAGATGATGCAATTACATAGTCCACAAGACTGGCACCGAGTGATCCAATAAATGTGTAATCTCCACGACCTGAGTCTGATCCACATCTCCCATTCATGATATATACATTGAAAATTGAACACAAATCTAGTAAAGATCTACGTAAGGCATTAATGTTCTTATCCACAGAGTGTGGTCAATGACGACGCCACTGGAAAGGAGGTTAACTACAGGGATGAGGTCATTTATGTACAGGTTGAACAGTAATGGAGATAGCATACATCCTTGTTTTTTTTAGTTCCCCATTCGCAACACACATTGGCGTAGGTCTTCCATTTATGTGAACGCAGTATTGCACATTATGATAAATAGAAGTAATGGCGTCAAGAATTTTGCCCTTTATATTGGCTTTAGTAACTTGATCCTGAAATTTGTTTGTTTGCTGTTTAGCGCTGCACTAAGCAATATTCAAGCTATATGACGTCGGTCTGTAAAAAAATCGAGTCTGGACCAGACAATCCAGTGATTGACATGAGCATCGATCCACGCAGTTGGGATACGATAACATGCATCAACCAAGTCAGCGAGCCTGACCACCCGATCCCGTTAGTCGCCTCTTATTTGCAGACCGCGGTCATATAGCTGGAATATTGATGTGTGCGGCGTTAAACAACACCTCAAAAGATGTGTCATTTAGACACTGAGGTAAAATCATAGATTGCTGTAGACTGTCACTGTCAGCCCGGACACGGAACGAGACGATACTACGATAGGCCTAGTTTGGTTGTGCATTTCTTCGTTTTGTTCACATGTATGGGTCGTAGCGAAGATATTCGTGTACGATCATGCAGTCAAACCCTCTGACGTTTCACAATGCATACTAAAACGCTGAGTTCAAGATTAAAGAGTCTAAATGATCAGAAAGAACGCTTCTGTATGTATTCATGCGAGGGAATTCCCAGGGGTTCTCCCCGGGAATGTGGAAGTCGTCCGTCAGTGTTTACGTCATTCACGTCATTTCGTGTAAAACGTATGAAAGTCAAATTGTGTCGTTCATACACATATGAACGTCAATTTCGCAGTCATGTGACCTACCTTAGGTCCAGTGGAAATGCCGTATATCGTGTAAACTTCAAATTTAAAAAAAAATATTTAAAGTTAAGCTATTAATCTTATGACATGCTTCATTTCGTACCAGGGACCCAACGCCTTCTGGCCACACACCAATGAACTGATTTGTGGTTATGTCCAAACCACGTTTTGACTTTTTGAAATAAATTTATTTTATGGTCTCTGGAAAATCGTCTAAACGTAATTCATAATTTCCTTAGTATTAACGGTAGTGTTAATGTACATTAAAACCTGACATTTAACCCCATGCAGCACACAGTTAATTGTTCATTACGCAAGCGGTAAACAATGACTGGGTGGGGGCGGTATGTTCCAATACAGAACAGAACAGATGGCTTAATTTCTTAAGTATTAACGGTAGTGTTTATGTACATTATAACCTGATAATTTTTCAAGCTGTAAACGATGACTTGGTGGGGCGGTTGGTTCCCACAACAGAACAGAAGAGAATGCTTAATTACTTTAGTATTAACGGTGGTGTTTTATGTACATTATAACCTGATAATTGTTCATTACGCAAGCGGTAAACGATGACTGGGTGGGGCGGTTGGTTCCCACAACAGAACAGAAGAGAAGGCTTATTCACAAAGATCACACAAAGTGAAATAGTGATACAGCTATTTACATTTTCTATATACATTTGTTGAGACAGCTGTAATAGGGGTAGACATATATTTACAAATTTAACAATATTACATAATGGGGGGACGTAATCAGACAGTAACTTCAAAAGCGTTTCAATATTTGGATACGTGATGAAATAATTTGGAACGTACAAGACACGATCTTTGTTTAGAATAGGACAAACAAGCATAAAATGATACTCGTCACACACAGCTTTTAAGTTACATAAGGTCAGAATCTATTTTCAATGGGAATATTTTGCCAGGGACCAGTTTCTATTTGAACATACTTATCATTTAGTAGCATGTAGACTTGCTTGGGACAGCCCGGCTATTGTTGAGGGTGTATGGCAAACTAACGTGGTTCATGAACTTCAGTTCCAGATGGACAAGGCAAAGGACCAACACTCACTGAAGCTGCTGCGTGTGGCCGAGGACTTCTGCCAGGGGCATATGGTGACAACAATCACTCATCTATATCGGAACAAATCTCGGGAGTACTTCGATCAAGTCCTGAACAAGGAAGATGGCCTGATGTTGCCCTACAAGAAAGACTACGGGGGCGACCCATCCTGTCCCATCAACGGCAGATTAAAGGGACTGTTCTTTGCCGCTACGTTGGTGCAGGGGGGAATTCCAGAGGCATCGCCATTCGGAAATACTCGGTTGACGCTTCCAGTGGAAGAGCTGATTGGACCAGACACGAACCTTTACTTCGCTGATTTCTTCTGCATGCCTATAATGTCAATAAATAATAACCACTACATTGTTCTGGTGGTGACGAAGCAGGGATCACCCTCCGACCTGTTCTGCAACACAATTCTCCCTCAAATCAACATCAATAACAACTTATTCCTAACACGGAGAGCCGGACCAATAGGACCTTCTTTTACAATACCTTTCAAAACAGGGTTTGATCACGACCGGCGGCCTCACAAATTGTGGATCGAGGTAATGTACACTGAGGCCATTGATATGGCGAACATGCTAATCAAATATGGCGAGGCCATAATAACAACGTGTAGGACATTCGGCGAAGGAAGCAGCAAGAAGGAAACGGGTGTGAGGAAACATACAAACTGTACAATATGTAGTTATAACCCTTGTGTGAGGTGCATCTGTTGCAAGAGAGTCCTCTCTGGTCGAGATTTTGACTAGTGACCTTGACCTCCATTGACGTGTCAGAGCGGGTGTTGTGTCTGGTCTGTTAGGTTTTAGAGGGAACCATTTTACCTTTTGTGCAGCTTTTGGCACTGGCGAGACACAGAGGACAGGCTGAAGAATTTGTAATCTTGTAGGAATCACACCCAGTATTGGAGACGAGGTGGTAACAGCACTAGGCTATATCCCATCCTCCTTTGATTGGTGATTGGGTTGGTTGATTGATTGTTTTACGCCGCACTCAGCAATATTCCATCTATATGGCGGCTGTCTGTAAATAATCGAGTCTGGACCAGACAATCCAGTGATTGATATCATGAGCATCGATCCACGCAATTGAGAGCGATGACATGCATCAACCAAGTCAGCGAGCCTGACCACACGATCCCGTTAGTCGCCTCTTACGACAAGCATAGTCGCCTTTTACGGCAAGCATGGGTTGCTGAAGAGATATTCTATCCCCGATCTTCACGGGTCTATTGGTGATTGGGTCACTTGTCAGAAGAAACATCTAATCTCGCAATTATTTATGTTACAAAGTAAAATGTATTTGAGTTAAATATGTTGTCTTCTTCTATTATTTTTATACGGGGTATTTATCAGATATGAAGTGAATAAATGTGCAAAAGAAACAAGCAACCAGAAATAAGACCAGGTTCACGATAACCATAATAACCTTGACCTTTGAAACACATCAAGACATTTTGGGTGGTGGGATTTAAGATAATGTACATACATCAATTTTCATTACTGTAGAGAGAGTGTGAGTATGACAACAAATAACTGAATCTAGACCAGTCCATTCCAATGGTTGATTGGAGCAAAAGGTTTGTTTAATGCCGCACTCAGCAATATTGAACCTATATGATGGCGGTCAGTAAATAATCAGGTCTGGACCGGACAATCCAGTGATTGACATCATGAGCATCGATCTAGGCAATTTGGATAAGATGACATGCATCAACCAAGTCAGCGAGCCTGACCACCCGATCCCGTTAGTCGCCTCTTACGACAATTATAGTCTCCTTTTATGGCAAGCATGGGTTGCTGTAGACCTATTCTAACCCGGATCTTCACATGTCGCCAGCCTAGGTATGATAGATAGATAGATATATAGATAAAAAAAAAAAGGTGCTATCAATGAAAACAAAACTCAAATAGAGAAAAAACATTTTCATAGAATATAAAACGTATGTTTTAACAATGGAATATGTAATGTCAGAACATATACATGCTTAAAATATTCCAGTAGACAGGTACACACAACTTCAGCACAGTACACCGTGTCTGACAGAGACAATGCAATATCCTCATTCATTCATAGCACCAACCATAACCACTCAAAATAATGTAAATGCTGCACGCTTTCATGGCAATACCTGAACATTCAGATATATCGTCACAGAAAAAACACGATTGACAATTAACTATACATGCTAAAGATGCATATTTACGTCCCTGGGTAACGTAGGTAAAAGAGGTGAAGGCATGAGCCAATGGGAAGGGACACGTGGGCAATAGTGAACACCTGGCTTAGGGTGAATTAAGGGTATGGACACCTGGCTTAGGGTGAATTAAGGATATGGACACCTGGCTTAAGGTGAATTAAGGATATGGACACCTGGCTTAGGGTGAATTAGGGGTATGGACACCTGGCTTAGGGTGAATTAAGGATATGGACACCTGGCTTAGGGTGAATTAAGGATATGGACACCTGGCTTAGGGTGAATTTGTGAATTAAGGATATTGACACCTGGCTTAAGGTGAATTAAGGATATGGACACCTGGCTTAAGGTGAATTAAGGATATGGACACCTGGCTTAGGGTGAATTAAGGATATGGACACCTGGCTTAGGGTGAATTAAGGATATGGACACCTGGCTTAGGGTGAATTAAGGATATGGACACCTGGCTTAGGGTGATATTAGGGTATGCACATCTGAGTAAACGTGCATTTAAGATATGGCCACTCGGATAATAATGCAATAAGGCTTTTAGGGACACATGAGTAAGGATGCATTTTGGGTATTAGTGACACGAGTAAGGATGCATATAGGGGATTAGTGACATGAGTAAGGATGCATATAGGGGATTAGGGACACAGGAGTAAGGATGCATAAAGGGGATTAGGGACACAGGAGTAAGGATGCATATAGGGGATTAGGGACACAGGAGTAAGGATGCATATAGGGGATTTGGGACACAGGAGTAAGGATGCATATAGGGGATTAGGGACAAAGGAGTAAGGATGCATATAGGGGATTAGGGACACAGGAGTAAGGATGCATATAGGGATACATGAGTAAGGATGAATTTGGGGTATTAGGGACACATGGGTAAGGATGCATTTGGGGTATTAGGGACACATGGGTAAAGATGCATTTAGGGAATTAGGGACACATGAGGAAGGTTGCAGTAAGGGTATAAGGGACGCATGAGGAAGGGTGCAGTAAGGGTATTAGGGACGCATGAGGAAGGGTGCAGTAAGGGTATTAGGGACACATGAGGAAGGGTGCAGTAAGGGTATTAGGGACACATGAGGAAGGGTGCAGTAAGGGTATTAGGGACACATGAGGAAGGGTGCAGTAAGGGTATGGGTATGCACATCTGCGTAAACGGACACCTGGATAACTGTGCATAAGAGTATAGACACCTAGCCCCAGCAATAAAGGTATCAGGGACAACTGGGTAAGGGCGCATTAATGATTAGGACACCTGGGTTAGGGTGCATAAAGGGTATGGACAGGGTGGGGCTTGGCACTTATTGTAGGGTTGAAACATGAGCACTAAATGGGAAGAGCAGTCGACTTGGTTAAGGTCTTACATTAGTAGGCATAAAGATATTGCCAGTAAGGTCAGACCTAGTGACTGGATAACTTTTCTGATAAAAATCAAGGCCTTTCTTTGAAGTCCCTTGGCCAAGTATAGAATGGAACACTGGTATGATGGGAGGGGAATGATGGGATGATGGGAGGGGAATGATGGGATGATGGGGGGGAATGATGGGATGATGGGAGGGGAATGATGGGATGATGGGAGGGGAATGATGGGATGATGGGAGGGGAATGATGGGATGATGGGGGGGAATGATGGGATGATGGGAGGGGAATGATGGGATGATGGGAGGGGAATGATGGGATGATGGGAGGGGAATGATGGGAAGAGTGAAAAGGTAATATAGAAAACAACATTAAAATAAAAAATGATAATAAAAATGATATATTCAAACAAAATATGCTGATAACAAACTTTGAACACTTCAGAAGTTCATAAGAACTTGCAAGGTCGGCAGGTACTCTCCAGTGCACTCTACCCAGCTGGCAAGAAGTGTATTAACATCAGGTGGGAAACAGCTGGTAAAATTATCCCAGAACACTAATTCTGGTCAGTCGGATTTCAAATGGCATCTTTGACCCATTGACAACACGGTTACATTCAGACATACCACGTGGAAAAAAATCTGATAATTTCATATTTCCGTTTGTTCAAGGAATTTTGAAATATTACTCAAAATATATCATTATGAAACCTGAAACAAGATTCACATGATCCCGACAAGTCTTTCGTCATAGTGTAAAGAATTGTGAACTAATCTTTTCAAACTAACACCTTCACCAATCACTGACGCTGAACTATACAGACAAATATCTCAATGAGTTTAATCCCATGTTAAACCATATATGTAATACCTGACCAGCATGATATTCTTCATAACATCCTCTAACATTGCTATTGGTCTTCACTTGACAACTGTCTACTTGTGCTGTCTTTTTGTCGAGGGCAAACCCAACTGAAGGTTGCACAAATTGCATCTGGTATTCTTTGGAATGCCCATAAGAGAGCTATGTCCTTGCCCAAATGTTTCGACATTTTCAAAATACGCATCATTCCTATGTCTGTCTAACAGCCACCCAATGTCCACATTTTCTGTGTAAAACACTTCAATATTCAAGCAAACCGAGCATGTGCATGTGAATACCTGCCAACCATACACTGAGTTTTCTTTATACAGGAAGGGGTTGTTGAAAGGATTCAGCTGACGCAAGCGTGTCTGACAAAACACATCTGCATCTGAACCCTTCCTTGTCATCACTAGTGTGACATAGTGAGGACCTCTACTACTGGTGCAGTAGAAGTCGGTGAAATACAAGCAGGTGTCCATATCGAACAGTACGTCAGCAGGAACGTACAGACGCTTGTCACCAAAGCAGGAAGTTGAAGGTACTTTCCCTGTCGAAAACTGGACCGATGCACTGAAAAACAAACCATTGAGTTTCCCGTTGATGGGCGATCCCTGGTCTCCATTGTGGTCCTTCAGGTAGGCCTTCATGACACCGTCGTGGTTGTACAAGATGTCTCCAAAGTAAGGCCTGGGCTTGTTCCTGTAGAAGTGTTTAAGGTGGTGGTATTTGGAGCGACTCTTGCAGATAAAATCCTCTGCCATTTCCTGTAGTATCTCAAGGTGTTTAAGAGTCAGCGCTGCCAATCAAAGAACAGTTTATAAGAGTCTGTAAACCATTAACTGGACATTAATGCCATTATCTTTCCATTTGACCGGAGTTAAAAGTGATAATATAATATTTAGGCTCTTTTGATTGATTAGGTAAATTCACGATTAGGGAGTGGTCATTTATTAAGGGGAGGATGGGAGTTGAGATTATGGATGAGGGCGGCATGAAAAATATCTCTCTCTCACACACACCATCCACCCACACCACCCACCCACACCAACACCCACGACCACGACCACGACCACACACACACACACACACACACACACACACACACACACACACACACACACACACACACACACACTCACACACTAAAAAAAGGTCAGTCTCCAGTAAGTGCTTAAATTATTTTTTCAGAAATACATTTGGAAAAGTTCGTAGGAGTCTATTTTCGGGTTATTGTATTTTTTATCTAACAGCAGGAAGAGAAAGTTAAATAAAACCTTACATGTGGTGAAGGTGAGGAAACTGGATACACTGTTGATACTGAAAGCCCTCAGTGATGCTGTTTGTCTGTCCAACTCGAACATACGAGCTTCGTACTTCTCAGATGCAATGAGTGAGAACGGGATGTCCAGTTCACCATTCTTCATGCGTCCCCGGATGAAGTAGACCTTCCCAGACTTATGGAACCGCAACAGCAGCAGCATCTGCCTGTCCTCAAGGTCAACTCTTGGAGGCAGCATCTGCCTGTCCTCAAGGTCAACTCTTGGAAGCATCATCTGCCTGTCCTCAAGGTCAACTCTTGGAAGCAGCATCTGCCTGTCCTCAAGGTTAACTCTTGGAAGCAGCATCTGCCTGTCCTCAAGGTCAACTTTTGGAAGCATCACCTGCCTGTCCTCAAGGTCAACTCTTGGAGGCAGCAATGGACTCTTCCGTTTCACATTCTTCTGACCTGAGGCTAACTTCTTTTTAGCTTTTGCTATCTTTCTCAATTTTTTCTTTTTAGCATTCTTAGATAATTGGTTACCACCAACTGTTGAGTTACTCAATTCACTAAAAGGTCTCTTTCTTCCAGGCTTAAGATTTTCAACTTTCTGTTGAGCTGGTTGATCAAAGACTCTGACTTCACCATTTCCAACCTTTGACCTCTTCACAGGTGCTTGCAGAGTTTCAAAATCTTCAAAACCTAAAGATACTTCCCCCTCAAAGTCACTGTCCAACACAGTAAGGCTGTACCCGTTAGAATCAAGGACAACAAAAGCAAACCTATCTGCAACACTTTCCCTGGAAACTGCATTGCCAAGGACAACAGCTTCACGGGCAGTAACAGCATCACCTGTGGCAACACCACACCTGCTAGCAACACCTGTGGCAACACCACACCTGCCAGCTCCACCCGTGGCAACACCACACCTGCTAGCTCCACCCAAGGTGAAACCAGAGGCTCCCATGTCACCAACATTCATGGCAGTAGTGGTAGGATGTGACCCATGTTTCCTTGTTCTGGACTGAGTAATGACATTTCTGTTCATCTCATCAGTGACATCCCAGCCAGTGATCGGTGTGTACTGGGAGGTGCACGTGTTGCTGCTCACGGTGTCAGAATCGTCTGCGCTGGTCGATGGGGCAGACAACTCAGACAGTGAATCATAACACAATAAAGGGCGTAAGAATGGGCAAGGCTTGACAGCATGAGAAACATTACATGAAGTCCTCACTGTGTTGTTCCAGATATTGCAAATATTGTCTTGTGTACGGTTTACAGTGGTACATTCATTACCAGTTTTTGACTTGATTGGTTTGTGTCGGGTGTTCCCAGTGGTGGTTTTCACAACTACCTTAATACAGCCTTGTGTACTGACTAGTGTAGCATGTGTTTCTGTTTGGTGTAAGCTGGTGTTCTGCGTTTGGCCAAGGAGTCTTGACCCATGAGCTGATGTGGCAGTAGTTGTGGTGGTCGTTTTCTCAAAGACAGGTCCTTTTGCAGAATGATCAACCCCTCCATGTCCCAATGTGGGGGCCCCTGGATCTTCAACACTCATTTTGTAATGGGTCTGCACCAGCAGCTTTGGGAACATCTGAAAAGATTCCTGAAAAAGAAGGAATTGCCGTCAATATTTGTAATTGGATTGGATCTATTTGGTACAATGTTCATCATAGTGTTCATCATAGTGTTCATCAGCCAGGTCACAGCTTGAGTGAGTGAGTGAATGACAATTTGTGATTGATCACTGTGCAATACTTTCAATCAGGGGGCACTAGAAACCTGTCCCAGAATACCCACAGGGATCTCAGAATGGGGTACTGGGAACTATTCCGTCCCTGAATACCCACAAGGATCTAAGAATGGGGTACTGGGAACTATTCTGTCCCAGAATACCCACAGGGATCTAAGAATGGGGTACTGGGAACCTATTCTGTCCCGGAATATCCACAGGGATCTAAGAATGGGGTACTGGGAACCTATTCTGTCCCTGAATACCCACAGGGATCTAAGAATGGGGTACTGGGAACCTATTCTGTCCCAGAATATCCACAGGGATCTAAGAATGGGGTACTGGGAACCTATTCTATCCCAGAATACCCACAGGGATCTAAGAATGGGGTACTGGGAACCTATTCTGTCCCAGAATACCCACAGGGATCTAAGAATGGGGTACTGGGAACCTATTCTGTCCCAGAATATCCACAGGGATCTAAGAATGGGGTACTGGGAACCTATTCTGTCCCAAGATACCCACAGGGATCTAAGAATGGGGTACTGGGAACCTATTCTGTCCCAGAATACCCACAGGGATCTAAGAATAGGGTACTGGGAACTATTCTGTCCCAGAATACCCACAGGGATCTAAGAGTGGGGTACTGGGAACTATTCTGACCTAGAATACCCACAGGGATCTAAGAATGGGGTACTGGGAACCTATTCTGTCCCAGAATACCCACAGGGATCTAAGATTGGGGTACTGGGAACTATTCTGACCTAGAATACCCACAGGGATCTAAGAATGGGATACTGGGAACCATTCTATCCCAGAATACCCACAGGGATCTAAGAATGGGGTACTGGGAACCTATTCTGTCCCAGAATACCCAGAGGGATCTAAGATTGGGGTACTGGGAACTATTCTGACCTAGAATACCCACAGGGATCTAAGAATGGGGTACTGGGAACCATTCTATCCCAGAATACCCACAGGGATCTAAGATTGGGGTACTGGGAACCAATTCTGACCCAGAATACCCACAGGGATCTAAGAATGGGGTACTCGGAACCTATTCTGACCCAGAATACCCACAGGGATCTAAGAATGGGGTACTCGGAACCTGTTAAGTCTCTTAGAACATATTTATTCTTAGAAGAGATGTTTACTTCCAGGTAATTTACTGAAGTTCCATGTTAGAATTAATCTTCAGCTCCCCATGCTTGCTGTTAGAACAGGTCACGAATGTGATCCGGTGGTCAGACTTGGTGATTTGGTTGATGCACATCACCAAATCACAACTGTGCAGATTGGTCCTCATAATGTCAATCACTGGATTGTCTGGTCCAGACTCAATTATTTACATAGTGCTGTCATATATCTGACTAATATTGCTGACAATCCATTATCATGGCCTTTCCATTTAGAAAATTTCACAAGGACGATCCAGGGAAGCATCAGTTTGATCTTTAACAATTCCACAGTTCTATTTCTACACAGCAGCCATTTTAGCCACCAAATACCCATTCTAGTCGTCTTGCAAGAAACATGGGTTAATGGGATGTAGTCTGCACCTAAATCCCAATGGGATGAATTCTCTGCAAGAGGCAACAATGTTAAGAGGAACTTTTCTTAGTGTTATGTGACATTAATTTTGTTATAGGCAGTTATGTTGATTATAAGTGGCTGCAATTTGATTGGGCACTCATACAATAGCTAGTTTTGTTAGTGACCTCGATAGCTAGTGATAATGAGTGACTTCCCTCAGTGTTTACAGTTTGTCCAAGCGCCTGACACTTTCGTTTCCCTCCCATGAGACCAACTGAGGAGCCTGCTTAAAGGCTTGTTTACAGGTTTACGTATCTGAAATTGTCGACTTCCATTACTGTTTCCTTCATTCAAGAGCCGAGCACAGACCTCATTCAAGAGCCGAACAGGGGCCTCATTCAAGAACCGAGCACGGGCCTCATTCAAGAACCGAGCACGGGCCTCATTCAAGAGCCGAGCACAGACCTCATTCAAGAACCAAGCATGGGCCTCATTCAAGAGCCGAGCACGGGCCTCATTCAACAGCCGAGCACGGGCCTCATTCAACAGCCGAGCACGGGCCTCATTCAACAGCCGAGCACAGGCCTCATTCAACAGCAGAGCACAGGCCTCATTCAACAGCCGAGCACGGGCCTCATTCAACAGCAGAGCACGGGCCTCATTAATTTATTAATTGTTCATCGATCTTGTATGGTCATTTACAAATTTCACAATCAAGTTCTGTACATTTCAACTTGGAAATCAACACATACATTAGTGACATCAAAGGATCAAACCTTCATCACAAGGGCATCCATTAGGCTACGATCACACGTCTTCCTCCTCAGCACTAAAGTCTCCCACTTGGAATAATCTGAAAATACATAAATGCAAAGAAAGCATGTTAAAAGTTTCAAACCAGTCCGAAATGCTGTTTAACTGTCCTGCAATAAGGTCACGATACGATACCTGTCCCAATACTATGGGTGCAATATGATTCATATCCCGAAACAGTACTCATATTTCATAAGTGAATATTCTTTCTTTTCGCGGGTGAATTACCATGACTACAACCCTGAAACAAGTGTTTCTAAATTTCAGACATTGAAGATGGGATATTGCAAAGTGGAAACATATAGGCTAAAGGGCAGTGTGAATGTTTATGTGTTATTTATAGCAAATTAATAAAGCCTAGAGGATCTGCTATAGCTGGTTGTTGAACAGTTTTATTCACATGTTTTTACACCAATGCAACCGTAATGTGATGTATCGTATGTATCATGATACAAGGGTTGTAAATCAATGTATTATATCCTGAGCCTTGTATCGGAATACAATACTGTATCATTACATCATTACACTACTATCAGTAATGTACCAGTGTTTGGGTACCCATTGTTATTATTAAGTGAGTGAGTTGAGTTTAACACTACTTTTAACAGTATTCCAGTTATGACACGGCATGTCAGCTTAATGTGGGAGGAAAGCCCGAAGTGATGCAGGTCTCAGACGTTTACCACTTCGGTGAAACCCACGAGCACGGGAATGGTACTGACAAACCTAGAAACATAATCGGGGCGAACCGGGATTCGAACCCACAATCATAGGTTTCTGGCGTGCCCAAGGGACGCAACTCTGCACAGTACCTTAGACGACTGGGCCACCCATGCCCCCGTTATTATTAAGACAATTAAAGCAAGGTTTGACTGGATTTTGTTTTTTTTCATAATTGTGTCTAAAAATGCCAAACTGACAGCCTATCTTCACTATCACAGACATAATCATTCAATTTTCTAGCCTTGATCAATCTCAGCTCTTATGGAAAACAACAAGAAGTCTTTAGTGGAGTTCTAGTGACAGGCCTCAAAGTTTAATTAGTCATATGGTCATATGGCTACAAGTATTTTTTTCCAGGTAGCCAGTGCAAAAATCAAGAAGTCAAGCCAATATTGTAGGTAGCCAAAGGCATTTGAAATTATCTTTTATCAAATAACTATTACATGTACAAGTCATAGCATTAGTCTTGGTATTGTATATTAGTGGAAACTGTACATGCTGTTCTTGAGTTTTGTTATTTGTGACTCGAACAATGATGCAATTTATGTTACTATATCATATAGGTATACCTTTCCTTATCTAATAAACTATCAAATAAAATAAAACACTCATTAATATTAATATATTATTATTAATGTATACTCAACAACAAAAGTTCCTGTGACACCAATATTTTAGTGTATTTTTCAAACAAGTAAAGTTTGGTTTTCAATATTGTAGTACCTGTATGGAATCAAGTCACAAAAACGCAACTGCTACAAAAAAGCATGCATTCCATGCAAAAGTTGACTTTTATGCAAGCCCCATGCATTTCACTACCCAAGAATGAGTATAAAAATATGTGCGTTAACGGGATTCCCTATGCATTGTTTATGATTGTGCTGACAACAACCACTCAGAAAAACAACAAAATGACGCAATTATTCAACATTCCGAAATGCCACGCCTGTCCGTAAATGAGCGTCTACGAGCCATTGGTATGAAGCAGGATCGAGTCAATGTGATGTTGCTAGACAAATTAACGTCCACAGAAACACCATTTGGTGTTTATGGCAACGTTGGCAACAGACAAATGCAGCCAGAGACCATCCTTGGAGTGGCAGGCCACTCGTAACCAATAATCGACAAGACAACTGGATACGAACAACACACCTACGATACTGATTCCAGACAGCAACAGTGACTGCAAGAAGCATCCCTGGCCTTTCACAAACCATACGTCGTCGCGTCAGCGTCTACCCTGGACGGCCTTGCAGTGGGGACAAGTTCTATTCACTGACGAGTCTCGTTTTCACCTCAGCCACAACGATGGACGGATTCGTGTGTACTGATGTCGAGGTGAACATTACGTCAATCATTGTGTCATGGAAGAAGATCCGTTTGGGCTGCAGCAGTATGGTATAGGGTGGGATTACAGCAAGACAGAGGACCCGTTTGATAGTGGTAGAGGGAAATCTCAATGGTCAGCGCTACCTTGACGAGATCATCGCCCTGTTGTTCTACTGTTTTTGAATGTCATCCCCTGGCCGGCTCGCTCCCCTGATCTCTCACCAATCAAGCACATGTGGGATGAGATGGATCGGCGCCTTCAACGTCAACCACGTGTTCCACAGACACTCCAGGAACTTTGAAATGTGCTCCAGCAGATATGGACAGGTATCCCACAGGACTTTGTGTGATGCCTGGCCATTCCATGGGATGAAGATGTGTTGCTTGCATCGCAACCAGAGGTGGACACACATGCTATGGATTTGTAAATTGACATTTTGGCATGTTCATGTTTTTTATCAGATCACGCATTTTCTGAAGTCAGTATGGCAAATGAAACCATTTGAACACTTACAGGAGTCTTTTATCTGTTGCAAACCGAAATTGTTTCAGATTTGGTAAAAAACATAACTTTGCATTAAATCTTATTCAATGTCACAGGAACTTTTGTTGTTCAGTATATTTCAGTTCATTGTTGACTTTAGGAGGAATTATTTGTGAGTACAATTAGTAGCAGACATGTTGGTTTTTTTGTGTGTCTACATATGAGTAGCAATAGAATTTAGTCGCCACAAGATTTTTTCAAGGTAGTCATTTTGCGACCTCTGAATTTGAGACTGTAGACAAATTGAAATTTAGGTCGCATTGGCAACCGTTTTAGTCGCAACTATGAGGCCTGAGTGAGTTGAGCATGTACCTCTTGAATATCTGCAATGGCTGAAACTCATCCTGCAACATGCTCAAACACATCCAGAACAGACCCGTGAAGATCCGGGGAAGAATAGGTCTTCCGCAACCCATGCTTGCCGTAGGGTTCCTGTTAACTTACAGGGCGCAACTCTTCACAGGAAATATGGCTCCCTATAGAAGTTGAGGCGACTATGCTGGTCATAAAAGTCGACTAACGGGATCGGGTGGTCAAACTCTCTGACTTGTTGGATGCATGTCATCGATTTTCTGGTCCAAACTCATTTATTTACAGACAGCCATCATATAGCTGGAATATTGCTGTGTGCGGCGTATAACAACAACCCAACCAACCAACATCCAGAACAACTCTAATCAGTGTCATTCACACAAACACACCTTATGGCCTTGAACTTACATACTTTGAACTTGAACTTGAACTTTGTACAATTTACAAATTGACTTCAATATTTTTTTGGTGTTCACAGAAGTATAAAGTTTAAAAAGTCATTGTGCACACTGTAAGTCCTACGTTCATGTGGATTTAGTGTTCCCACCTACATTTAAATCTCTATTAACATAAAAGTAAATACATAACAATAATAACTTCACAGGCTGCTTATTAAGGATAGACTGTATTTTTTATTACGGTTCAGTGAGGTATGAATCGTAAACCAATGTGAAAACTGTATGAATCCGCGTAGCTAAACTTAGTAGTATTCAGCTTATCAAAATGCAGGATATTCACCGAACACAACAAAAATTTAATAATTTTTTTATGAACACACAAAACTGAAGACATTAATGCGAAATCAGTGACATCGTTCAACACAATAATGCAGCACAAGCCCCACCCATTCTATTATCAGCCAATCAGGAAACAGTAGTCCACTAGTGGACGTGGCCTATTTCCGTTTGTCTATGGAAACAAACGGAGACAAAACTGCTTGTTTAGCCAATCAAATGCCACTGAATCCATCATAATTTATTTATATATTCACAATACGGGAACAAAGAATCAGAAATGTTGGAGCAAATGAAAAGGATCAGCCATTCCACTCACCTTTAGAAAGTGTCAGTTTCACAGTTTTCCTGCCACTGACTGAAACATAAAAGGCTCCACTGCTCTTCCCGACCTTCCCAAGGCCATACGCCTCAATCTTGACTCCCTTGTCCCCAAACAACGTTAAGGCGTGAGTGCCCGGCTTGTCCAGCCACAAGATGTTGGTGAGAGCGTTGTCGTCGTCGTACACGGCCACACAGATGGCAGCTAGATCCAGCTTGTCCTGCTTCCATGCCACTAACAGGGACTGGAGGAAGGGCTTCATCTGTCTGAGCTGGGTGGTGATAGTCTGACTGACGGCAGCAGAGGTGGGGGGCCGCGTGTAGGGCTCGTCTAGTCTCTTCTGAACATACATAAGGGAAACCATGATAAAACACCTCTCTCAGCAATATTTCAGCATTATTACAATGGGCGCCTGAATATGATTAAGTGTTTACCAGACACCCCAGTTACTGATAATTTGTGATGATCCTCGACCCAGGGGTACAATGACACTATCGACAAAGTCTCCAAGCCTGACGATCCAATCCGTTAAGTCGCCTTGTATGCCATGCATAGGTCTGTCTCTTTATTGTTTAATGCTAAATTCAGCAATATTTCAGCTATATTGTGGCAGCCTGTAAGTAATGGAGTGTGGCTGCTTGTACTAGTCCAGACTGATGCCAATTTATAGTGCTAGCACACTGAGATATCATGCAATGGTTAAACATGAATACCTACATATCAGACACAGCATAGCCAAATGACTTGGTTGATGCATGTCATCGCATCCCAATTGCGTAGATCAATGCTCATGATGTCAATCACTGGGTTGTCCGGTCCAGACTCTATTATTTACAGACCGCCGTCATATAGCTGGAATATTGCTGAATGTTGCGTTAAACAACAAACAAACAGTATATGGACTCCGAGCCGACCAGTCCTTGTTTTAGCCCCCAAATATTTAGCCAAGTGCCAGACAGGGTAACAACAAGTACCATCTTTTAAAGTCTTTTGGTGTGACACGGCCGGGGATCAAACCCTGGACCTTCCGCTCTCCAGGTGGATGCTCTACAACTAGACCACGGAGGCGGTATTAACAAGGGAGAATCTAGGATTCGAAACAGTGCTCATAGGATTCTGGTTTGATTAAGGGACACAACTCTGCATTCTACATGACATCTACAACAACTGCTCATCTACTCATCATTGCCAATGGACAATTGGAATGCATCGATTGTTGGATTAATAACATTTCTGTTCGTGTTCATTTTTTAGATACCAACCTTGTTCTTGTTATGTCTACGACGCATTGGGCCATGGATCCACTGTGGTGACTGAGGAACTGGGTACTGCATTGGAGCTGGATTGGGAGCCAGGAACTGTTGCTGGGGAAATGGTTGCTGGGAAAATGGTGTCTGGGGAAACGGTTGCCGGGGAAACAGTTGTTCGGATAGGTCAGAACACCAGGACACGGACCAATCTTCTGAAAGCTGGTTGTTACACGGAGGAACAGTTTGTTCAAGGCCCTCGAAATATGCGGATGGGTCGGCGTTCCAGGTCAGGGATACATCCTCTGTAAATTGGACATCATTTGGTGGTGCCACTTGTTCAATACCATTCCAATATTGTGGGTACAACTGAAAAACATGACATCAAAGAATCAGTGAATGTCTGAAGGAAGTCAATTAGGAGTCCTATTTGCTGCAAGGTGACGGGAGATATGACTTGTATATACTGCACAAACCAAAAGCTGTGTCAGTTCAGCATGACAACACGCCAAGGCCTATCTCAATATTATTGCAATAGTGTTTGGGCACAACTATCTCAATATGTATCACAATAGTGCTTGGGCACAACTACCTCAATACTATTGCAATAGTGTGGGGCACAACTATCTCAATACTATTACAATAGTGTTTGGGCACAACTATTTCAATACTATTACAATAGTGTTTGAGCACAACTAGCTCAATACTATTGCAATAGTGTTTGGGCACAACTATTTCAATACTATTACAATAGTGTTTGAGCACAACTAGCTCGATACTATTACAATAGTGTTTGGGCACACCTAGCTCGATACTATTACAATAGTGTTTGGGCACAACTATCTCAATACTATTACAATAGTGTGGTGTACTATTGCAAATTGGGATGGGTATTGGAGGTTTAAAGTGTGTCACAATATTTTACAATGCACAAGGCTGTATTGAAATACATATCACGATATATTGTATGATTCATAATTTTGAATTCAGAAGCAATTTGAAATATCAATGCAGGAGTTGATGTTCATAAATGAAAAAATACCAAGATGCTGGAACAGCATAATGTTTACTCATTCAATAGTACACAAGGATGAACGCTCCAGGACAGTGATGACTTAGTGTTCCACCACTGCCACAGGAGAACTCCAGAATTGGAACTTGCATTTTGGAATTACGGAACATTTCGAAGGTACGTGTATTTGGCAAGTGTTTATCATTAAGCACACAATATAAATCGCTATTTGAAATCACCTGGTATACCGAACATGATATTGTAATGCGTATCATGGTAAGAATGAACCTCAGTTTACCGATATACCAGTAATACTGCGCACCCTTAATTACAATAAAATCGCAATAGTGAAAATAGCCCCGATAGTTATCCCTTCAGGGCTCCAGATAAGCTGCGTATCTGCGTAAAATACGCATCAGAAAAACAGAAATACGCAGTAAAATAAAATCCAAGCGTCTCAAATACGCAACGAACTTTACAGATACGCTACAAAAATAAAACTTGTGCGTATCATCAAAATATTGTGAAGTAACACTGCGTATTCGATTCGCAAATCAGCAACTTATTTTGAAATTATAAACGGGCATTCCGTCAACCTTGCCAAACTCCACGATGACAGTTACATCATGATCATTTGCCATCACACTTTCCTGTGGAAGTATCGTGGGTATTTTTGAGTCCTACAAAGCTCTCGGACCCACACTGCACCAGTTTGCAGGGACTAGATGACTAGTGTTTTTACATATTTAACTTAAATACCCACATGTGTAAAAACTAGTGGGTAAGAGAAATTTGAAAACTCAGATAGAATTACTGATACGCAGTGATTTTAAAATGCATGGGTAAAATACCCACAACACCAAAAGCTTATCTGGAGCTCTGTCCCTTGTTACCATGGTTTCCAATGCAAGATACCAGTAATACCAAATGAAATGATGTGTCAGTTATATCAAAAGCAATTCATTTCCTGAGGGTGCCACACAATGAACACAACAAGCACATTACAAGAATTATACCCCACTCACCCCTGGGGGACTCCTGGAGTTATCCCCCATGCAACTGTATCCCCCCTCAGATGTGTTTGATCCATCGTTCTGGTCCGGTCTGTACCAATGGGGCTGTGGCAATGTTGGAGGCCTCATTGGATACGGGGGTCTGAATCTGGGGCGAAAGTACCGTGGGGATTCTTGTCCTGGATGACCTTTAACTCTCTTCTTGACATTGCGGGTAACCATGTTGTAATGGTTGGCGAGGTAGTCCATGTTGGGGACGTTGCACCAATTCAGTGAGAAGTCCATGTTTGATAAGGGATCCCACGACATTGTGAAAGGACCCTGAAATTAAATCGGGACAAATTTAAGTTACAGTTGGTTGGTTGGTTCGTTGTTTAACGCCGCACTCAGCAATATTCCAGCTATATGACGCGGTCTGTAAATAATCGAGTCTAGACCGACAATCCAGTGATTAATATCATGAACATCTATCCACGCAGGATCGATGACATGTATCAACCAAGTCAGCAAGCCTGACAACCCGATCCCATTAGTCGCCTATATCGACAAGCATAGTCGCCTTTTATGGCAAGTATGGGTTGCTGAAGACCTATTCTACCCCGGATTCTTCACGGGTCTTTTTTGTTCCGGTAACTATCATCAGTGAAGAAGTTATTAGAATGGGTATAAGTATAAACAACTGACCACCATCTCTTATCAACCTACTGTCAACGTAAATCTGCAGGTCTAGGTGTGGCCAAGAGATGCTCAGTGGGCAGGCATTAAACATTCATGTACGTGGTTGACTATTATTTTGGTCATTGGATATTAAAGGTGTTCAGTTCGGTCCACAATTAGATGACAGAAATCAGTTTCCACCCTGTAAGACAGTGTCTTATGACAAGTCAAGACAAATCTAAACATATTTGTTCTAGGCATGGTTAGTAAATGTTTAATCTGTTCTGTGACAGTGTGAGTGAGTGAGTTGGGTTGGTAGCTTCTAACCCCACAGTTAACTAAGCTTATGTTAAGAATAAAACCATAGATTTGGTGACAAGTCCCCATGACATTTTAGAGACTTATTGAACTTTTCCGCACCAGGTGCACGTCACCAATCAGTGTTGACCTAAAATAATGAATGTCTAAGGTAGAGCTGGGACTAGTCAGTCTCCCAGATCCGCGAGAAGAAATTGAAAAGGGAGCCCAACTCAAGTTTAAAATTATTTGGCAGGTCTAGATTGCCTCAGCTCCTGTAATTAAGGATTGTTCTGAGCTCTATTTGGATTTTTTATTTTTATTTAGTAGATATAATTTTTCTAACTTTATTTCTGGGGCTAAATGTCAGTCTAGGCAGGGATGAGTCCAAATTTACTGCCCAACCTCCTATTACCCAACCCTACCCAGGTACCCGCTGCAGGTCCAGAGATAGGACCAAAAGTTCCAATTTGGAATTTGACTAGAGCCCAGGCAAAAGGTATTTAGGTGCACTATAAAATAACCTGGTCATGCATACACTGAAGTTGACTGAAGCTTTATTTAAACATATAAAAGTCAGAAAGAAATGTGAACATTAGTTACATGTAGCGTAACCATGGAGTTATATCACTTGACTACCATGGGTCAGGGTGGTCCTGTGGGTACCCGTGACCTACTAGGTGAGGTGAAATGGGGTTTAACGTCGCGTCCAAGATTATTGCACTTATATAGCGACGTGCATGCACGTGTGTGTGTGTGTGGCTGCTTGTACTAGTCCAGACTGATGCTGATTTATAGTGCTAGCTCACTGAGATACCATGCCGCAGTTAACCATGAATACCCCACTCAGACACAGTATACTGACTCCGAGCCGACCAGTCCTTGTTTTAGACCCTTATGCCGAGCGCCAGACAGGGTAACAACAAGTACTATCTTTTAACGTCTTTTGGTATGACGCGGTCGGGGATCGAAACCCCGGGCCTTCCGCTCTCCGGGCGGACACTCTACCACTAGACCATGGAGGCGGCTCCGTGTCCCACTAAGTACCCATCCGACCCAAGTACCCCAGTTACCAGTCCCAGCCCAAGGTCTCAAGTAATAATAATCTTAAGGCATTCAGTGCTTAACGTAATCTTCAGGTATTTCAAATAATAACCATCACAAATTCATGGTGCTAACTTATGCACTAGGTTAGTGGACAGTTTGGGTCTCAGTGTTCTTATAATAATGACTTGGGAGAGGGAGGCTAGGCATGGTTTTGTTAAGGTTAGTTTTCATAATAAGGCCAAGAACACAGTTATTGTAGCATATGGTTGTACTTTCGGTGAAATTATAGAATCCGTCGCCAATCAATATAGTATCATAAAACAAAGATATATCTCAAACATTATTTAGTATCAGAAAATATATATTTATGCAGGATTGGATTAGGTCACCCCCAAGTCTATCCTTAGCCCTAGGATCCTGTAATAGAAATAGTGGAAAACATTCTATAGCAGTTGCCAAGTTTTGGTGTTTTGTTTGTTGTTTAACGCAGCAATATTCCAGCTATATGACGGCGTCTGGATTAGACAATCCAGTGATTGACGTCATGAGCATCAATCCACACAATTAGTATATGATATCATGCATCAACCAAGTCAGCGAGTAACTATTATACAATCATAAACTTGTAGGCCCAAGTCATATTTTGTTATGCTTCAAAGATATTTGCCTACAAGTTGGTAACTTTATGATTGTTTACTATTTATTCGCTGACTTGGTTGATGCATGACATCATATCCTAATTGCGTGGATCGATGCTCATGATGTCATGATTCTACCTGAGATTCCTTTCTAAGAAGTTATTAACCACTTTCTACAACAATATGAAATCAAGTGTGTGGCTGTACTCGTGTTCCATTGTGAAACGTTGAATGGTGTACAACATGTCAGATTCATTCTGACGCTGACAAACTAGCATGATCACATACTGGCTCTGATGTCATAGATGTGTCGTTCTACAGCTGTTCTAGAAGAGAGCATCTTGAAATGGAAAACTGCATAGGCCTATATATACCGCCACTCAACTCACACGTGTTATCAGGAACGGACGTAGGTTTGGTTCATTTCCCGTGCATTGACGGTCGCCATCAACGAGTGTTAAGTATCAATAATGTTTTCATGTCCTCGCACGTGTGCACGAATCTCACGTGCGCGTGACGGCGCCACCTATGTAGATAGAGAGTTACCGATCTTGGTTCAGTAGAACGTAATAAAACAAAAGTAATTATTGTCATTCAGAAAGTGACATTCATACCGACATTCATGTTGTTTATTTAAAAGAGGGCTACGTACCATTTAGCAAAGTCAATCAGTGGGTGGCAAGTGACCAACAAGGGGAGATCACTGTCATGAAAGTTGTCAAGGGTGTTTTATTTATTTCACCAAAATATTAATAGCATGATAATTATTCCTATTACTACTATACCACATGGTAATTTACGACGGGTGTACCCAATAGAATACTGGTTATGTGCTACAAATTTGGTTAACATTTAATTGCATTCGTGTTCCCATTCATATGATTCAAATCGCCCGCTAGACAAAGTCTTTTTTGGGCCTAGGCCAAGTAGTCATTTCACTAACACACCGAGAGAGTGACGCCAGAGTTACTCCCCTTTCAAATTCACATAGTAGTCCATTCAGCGCAAAGTAGGTTAGATTTACACATTCGTGTAAGGCGGTCTTGAAAATGTTATACTTTGATATTTGCTTTCCAAGAGAACTCCAAACGAAAAATATTTTAAACACGATTACAATAAAAAAAAAACTGAATGTATGATCATATGAAATAATGCAACTGCACCCCCTTGGTAAGAAAGGTTACCCTTCTTTGAAACTTTGAATGATTTGGGTTTTTTACCACAGTAATATTTTACTGTTTTCAAAAAGTTCCTTCATACAAGGACAGAATGATCGTGATGGATGTAAGGAGACAACATGTGGGCTTGAAGTTCAAACGTTAAACGTGGAACCAGCAGATTAGAATTTAACTAAAGCTGACATGATGACGATGATGATGATGATTATTGGGTTACCATTAATAATCGAGCAATTTTCTTTCGTAAACCGAAAATACATAAGGCCACGCCCATTGACAGACTACTGTTTTATGATTGGCTGAGACCGCCTCCGTGGTCTTGTGTTAGAGCGTCCGCCCGGAGAGCGGAAGTTCCGGGGTTCGATCCCCGGTCGCGTCATACCAAAAGATGGTACTTGATGCTACCCTGTCTGGCGCTCGGCATTTAGGGGCTAAAACAAGGACTGGTCGGCTCGGAGTCAGTAAACTGTGTCTGAGTAGGATATTCATGTTAAACTGCAGCATGGTATCCCAGTGGGATAGCACTATAAATCGGCATCAGTCCGGACTAGTACAAGCAGCCACACACACACACACACACACAGACACACACACACACACACACACACACGTGCATGCACGTCGCTACATAAGTGCAATAATCTTGGACGCGAACCTCACCTCAATGAAGTGTGTGAGTGCAGAAGCTTTCTAGTGAGTGAGTATGGTTTTACGCCGCTTTTAGCAATATTCCAGCAATATCACGGCGGGGGACACCGGATATGGGCTTCACACATTGTACCCATGTCGGGAATCGAGCCCGGGTCTTCGGCGTGACGAGCGAACGCTTTAACCACTAGGCTACACGACCGCCCCAGAAGCTTTCTAGGTGACATCTAATTACGAAAGTGCACTGTCATGGAGTTCTTTTACCACACGATATGAAGATCAGCTTGTTAACGAATCCATTTTCATACTTTTGTGAATTTCAATATGTGTAAAGAATTGTTTGATAGGCATTACTTAGAAGTTGGCGGATGACAAAGTAGACACAATTTATGGATAACAATTTCTTTGCTACTGTAAAAAGCAAAGTACTGTTGCGGTGTAGATCCTTATACCGCTATACTTGCTTGACAACGGTATAACGATCTACACCGCAACGTCGCTTTTTACAGTATTACAGACGTTGTTATCCATACATTGTGTCTACTTTATGTGTAAAGAAAATTCATCTTGTCAGTTATGTGAATCGCTACAACCTAATCTCAGTCGAGAATGTATTTCGGCGTAAAGTCGTACGTTCTGTCATTTTCATTACACGGTACGAACTTGAATTTATATTATATTAGAGAACAATCGTTGCACGAGTTCAACATATGCTAAATAATACCATTACAGTCACCTTAGATCTTTGTTTACATCACTTTCCAACATAGGTATAGACTGAGGACGTATGTAAATAAACAACTTACACCACTGAACTAGTTTAAACATATTTTATTCGACTTGGGATTGG